GAAGGACACAATGACACCTATACAGTATTCTCACAAAAAAATGTTTAACCTGGATCTAAACAAGAGTAAACAAATCAGACAAATCCAAAGAGCGGAACACTACAGAACAAATGGTCTGGACTCTTCTAAATGTCAACATCATGAAAAACAAAAAGGTGGCCCTGACCAGGTAGCTCAGTTGGTTGGAGTGTCGTCCTGATATGTGAAGGTTGCGGGTTTGATCTCTGGTGAGGGCACAAACAAGAATCAACCAGCAAATGCATCAGTAAGTGAAACAAATCGATGTCTTTCTCTCTCTTGCTCTCCCTCTCTTCCTCTCTCTAAAAATCAACAAATCAATCAATAAATAAAAAACAAATAAAGGCAGATGAACTCACCAGAAATGCATACATGTGTTCACTAAATGGCACGTCAAGTACTTTCACAGCAGCAGCGCTAGTTGTAATAATCCAAAAGGTGAGACAACCTAAATGTCCATTTAGAGCAGAATGGGTAACAACAAATGAATGGCCAAACATGTTCACACAATGGAGTAACTACACATAGCAGTGATAATGAACTGTTGCTGTGCACAACATGGATAATCTCATAACTATAATGATGAGTGAAAGAAGCCAAACACTCTTTATGATTCTGTTTATATAAAGCTCAAAAACAGGCCAAATTAATCTACAGATTTTAAGTCAGAATAGGGGCAGGCTTAGGCGTTGGACAGCAAGGGGAGGCACTCCAGAAGGGCTCCTGAGGCCCCGGTAATGTCTGACTAACTGACCTGGGTACAGATGTGTTTTCTGGGTACATGTTAAACTTCAGTATAAGTTTTTTTTAAAGTCTGGTGGATAATTCTACATTAAAGCAGACTAACGCGATAAATCAATACAATCTTTTTCTTGATTGGGTCCTGTGTTCTCTTTTTTAACTGGGAAAATTCTAATATGGACTGTACTAAGTAATATTTTATCAATACTAAAATCCACAACCTAGGATGGGCCCTGAACCAGGAATCAAACCTACAACCTTTCATTTTGTGGGATGATGCCCAATCTAGCCACGCTGGCCAGAGCAATACTAAGTATATGAGGTGATGATGATATTGTGGTTCTATAAGGGAATAACCTTATTCTTAATAAAAGACAATGTGAAGTATTACAGGATGAAATATTGTGATGTCTGTAACTTATAATCAAAGTCTAGTAAAAAGACATAAGGAGACTGAGACAAAACAAATTCAGCAAAATGTAAACAGCATAACTTGGTGAAGCTTTTATAGGAGTTTTACAGGAATTCTCTGTACTATTCTTTCAACTTTCCCACAGGTTGGAAAATTTTCAAAACAAAAAGTTGAGAAGAAAAACTCTTGTTTGCACTGCTGTCATTCAAGAGTTCTTAGCCTTCCAGACCTGGCTGCGTAGCTCACTTGGCTGGAACATTGTCCCAATACGCCAAGGTTGCAGGTTCCATCCCCAGTCCGGGTACATAGAAGAGTCAACCAATGAATGCAAAAATGGGTGAACATTTCAATGTCTTCTTTTTTCTCTCTCTCCCTTCCTCTCTCTAAAATCAGTAAAATAAAGAAAATTTTTTTAAAAAAGAGTTCTTAGCCTTCCAAAACTGCATTTAGAGACGTGGACAAGAAAATTAATCTTTACTGAGCACTTAGTATGCATGACATGCTCTTTACATCAGTGATTTCAGGGACCCTCGAGCCACCCTCCAGGGTAACTGTTATTACTCCCGATTTTATAGAGGAGAAAACTGAGGCTCAAAGAGCTGGAGGGACAAGTCCAGTAGTTTAGAGAGTGTTGGGAATCAAACTGAACTCTGTCAGACACAAGGCCCTGCTATTCCACTCCGTACGTCGTCCCTGGGCGCTTCTCCTTTCTCTGCTTCTGTGTTTTTCAGCCCAAAATTTACTACGTCCAGTGAGTCTCAAAAGACGTGAAACCTATGTTCTATAATAATAGATTTCTCTATTAGAGAAATATAATAATAGATGCCTCTACATTCCACAGAAGACAAAAAAACCTGATGGGAAAATAGAGAACTAGGGATCACATTTCCTCCTCCTATGGGCCCTAATATGTACAGACTGGACAGGACTTTGATTAGAGATTAGCTAGTAATGTGGGGAAAAACAGAACAAAGATAGGAAGCAATAAATGCAATTCCAATGGACTATCTTGAAGACAGACTCAAGCAACTTACCATTATGAAGAAGCAAGTATGTCACTGAAATCTGAAAGTCACAAAGGACACCTAAGATAAACACCAGCATTCAAGGAAATTTAAATTTCCTTTAAATTTCAAGGAAATCACTTCAGAACAAATAAAATAACTTTAGCAGACAACACGAGAAATCATACCCCAAAAGACATTACAATAGGGCTTGAGGAAAGGTTTAGATCACTTGTGAATGAAAACATGGAGTTTATTGACTGGAATAATAGAGAAGACACTATGTCGGCCACTGTTCTAAAATAAGTGAACTCATTTAATCCTCAAGGGCAACCCCATGAAACAGGCACTAGTTTTATTCCTATTTTACAGGTGGAGGATTTAAGAGAAGCTGAGAAAGTTATCCAAGATCATTCAGCTGGTAATAGCGGGGCGAGGCGTCTAAGCCAGGGCAGATGACTTCAGGGCCCCTACCTTTAACCACTGCTCTGCATTGCCTGTTAAAGGAAGAAAGCATTGGTTATTCACCTTCATCTTTCAAAATGAGACACTGATGCCACACTAACAAACTCTCTGTGAGAGACAGGATGCGGGCTCAGCAGCACAGGGGTAACGCAGCTCTTCTCACATACAAGCCAAGACTACAGGGATTCTCCAAACAGTTCCTTCAACTCCCCTGTGCTTTGGCTGGAGAAATGGGAAACCAGGTTGACCAGGACTTAAATCTGAAATAGCAAGTAACTGGTAAAAGGAGTTGGTTCACTTAAAAAGTGTGCTTTTGGCCCTGGCTGGTGGCTTGGCTGGTTAGAGCAGCTGTCCCGTACACCAAAAGGTTGCAGGTTTGATTCCTGGTCAGGGCACGTACCTAGGTTGCAGGTTCGATCCCCAATCATTCGGGGTGTGTACAGGAGGCAACCCATTGCTGTTCCCTTCTCTCCCTCTCTTCCCCCGTCTCCCTTCTTCTCTCTTTGAAAAAAAAAATCAATAAAAACATATCCTCCGTGAGGATTTAAAAAAAAAAAAAAAAAAGAGTGTGCTTTTGCAGGTTATTGTTAGAAAGTGAGAGAATCTGGCATGAAGAGTTCAGGTTTTCCTCCAGGCTGCCGACGTATTCTGACGCAATCCTACCTCTACCAGCTTTGGAAAGGAGGGCAAAGGAGAAGCAGAGCTGAAAACCACACAAGTGCTGGCCAAGTGTTCTTAAAGGAACTTGGACCTTTTCCACAAGTACAGAGAGGGCAATTTCCAGAACCAAAGAAATCCTTGGGTACTGCAATGGCTCCAAGCAGCAAGATTTTTAGTAATGTTCGCAGCACTGGCCAATAGAGGTTGTAGAAGAATCAGAACCTGAAGGCAGCCTTTAACCCCAGACTGCAGGCCCTCCCAACATAAAACAGTTCAGAGAAGTCCAGATTCTGAGAAGCCTCAGCATCTCAGCAAGCTAAATGGGGTAAGGAGAGAAAGGGGGGGCTCTTCCCTCAGGACACACCACACACTCCAGAATTCCTGACAGTGAGGCGGCCAGAATCAGCCCTAATTATTTCTGATGTTTTACAATCCAGACATCGTCTTTCTGAATCATTCACTCTGTTAACAGAAGCTGGTCTGGGGAACACACAACTCCTCTTAAGTGCCATACGTATAATAAACTAATCATGAAGAAGAAAACAGTATGAAACTCTAAGTGGTGTTCTTCTGCCTTGGAAGGAAGCGCAATACCCTCAGGCTGCTGAGAAGTCCACAGGTGTGTCAAAGAGAAAGCGAGATGAGGGATGTGGTCCAGGCTGAAACCATTTTCTCCTTCCTCTAATTCCAACTAAATTTAAACGTGTTTGGCTGACTTAGTGGAGTCGCACACACCTGGCTTTAAATCCAGGCTCAGTCAGGCGCAAGATTAAGAGCAGGTTGCAGCCCTTAGGATACACTTCTGCAAAATGGTGCTTAATGGCCTGTACCTCCTAAAGGTCCTAGTGAGCATTAAAGGAGATAATAAACGTAATTTGTGCTCGCCATGACAGCGCACACTTAGCAAATATAAGGTACCGCTTACCCCCATCCCGATCCCAGCCCACCCACCATCGGACCACAAGCCCCTCAGAGGCCTCCTCGTCCGCTGCTTCCCGACAGCAGCCTGCAGGCACCAGCTCTGCTCCTCAAGGTCTCCTTCATGGAGTGAGGTCTGGAAAAACCTGTGGCTGAAAAGCTAGATCGGAGATCTTGGCCGAGAAAACCAAACTCTGGGAAGCAAGGACGGATCCTCGGCCGAAAGCTTGGTGGCGTCTGTTGTTTACAGTGACTCCCCTTCCTACCAACGCACTGTGAGGGTCCGACCCTCCAACATGGCAAGGGAAGCGCAAAGATGACAAACGACTAAGAGGATGGCAGCGGGGGCCCCCCAGGAGGCTGAGGCGGTGGGGTGGGGGGACTGATGGAGTCAGGCCCCTCCCCGGAAGAACAGCTCTGAACCACCGAGTCTCTCTCTCCTCTCTCCTCCTGCAGGAGCCCTCGCAGCGCAACGCTGGGGGCTTCTCAAGGGTCCCACCACCGACCCGGCCAAGCTCAAGTGAAAGCCCAGGGGCCGGCAGACGGGTAGTGTGACCTGTGGGCGCCCCGAGCCGGGGCTCGGTAATATGGTCAAAGAGGGGTCACCGGGGGAGGGGCCGGGCGGCTAGGACCCGGGGAGGGGCGGGGCATGGAAGGGAGCAAGAGGTCCCGGCCTCCGATTTCGGAGGCGCAGGGACCTCACCCGACTCCTGGTCGCACCCCGAGCGCCCCCTCCAGCTGGGGTCTCCGCCACCCCGGCAGGGCATTCCTACTCCCCTCACCTGGCTCGGCTGCTCTGCCTGCTCCGAGGACGCCATCTTTCTGAGGCCTGACTAGTCTATCGTCGCTGGGCGAGGCTCCTCCCAAGCGCCCTCGCTCTCGCCCCCCCCCGCCCAGACTAAAGTAGCCGGAACCGAGCTCGTCGATGGGGGGCGGCACTTGGGGAGGTGTGGGGCCGAGGGACGTCCACGTTCCAGTCACCTCGCACAATTTGCATTAGGTCTCTGTTCTCCAGAAAGATCCGAGGTCTGTCCTCTTGGCATTGTTATATGTGTATTATTATTTTTTAAATTAAATCTCTGCCCATCCCCACACTGCACTGGACCCATGTCAGGGACTCTAAGTATGTAATAAGTGAATGAATGTGAAGAAACTTGGAAATTAATTAATTGTTCAGTTCAGCACCATTTGTTGGGTCCCTGCTATTTGTCAGGCACTTGGGTGGGCGCTAGAAATAAAAAGATCCAGGACAACCCCTATTCCCAAGTCCAGGCCAAAGATACACACACAACATGTTGGATGCAGGAGTCTAGTAACAGTGTGCAGGTCCATTAGAACACAGAACAGAGGCTCCTTGGAGAGGAGGGTGTAAATGTGAAATTTACTCGAAACGGTTGCATACATGAGAACCATGAGTTCATGTTGTAGTTGTGTTTTGATCGGTTGTGGAGTACTCAGAGGTGTTCGGGCTACCTTCTTAGGAGAGTTCATTTCCTTTCACAAGCAAAATATGAGACTGACCCTGAATGAATGTGGGCTGACAATTATTTCTTGTTTACACAAAAGGGCCTCTTTTAAGTGAGGGTCCGTTTTGATACTTTTTTATTATTATTTTAATCTTAAATATTGGGTTTTCTTGGGGGGGCAGGTTTTTCTGTAAGTAGCAGAATTAGAACACGAACAAATGTATTGTCAAGCCACATCATCTCGACAATCTCAGCGATGTGGTTTGCATTTCCACTTTCCTCTCTGGGTTTGTTTTTTTTTTCTTTTTTTCATTTTTTAATATTATATATTTATTTATTTTTAGACAGAGGGGAAGGGAGGGTGAAAGAGAGGGAGAGAAACCTCGATGTGCGCTTGCCTCTCACGCGCCCTCTACTGGGGACCTGGCCCGCAACCCAGGCGTGTGCCCTGGCTGGGAATAGAACCCTCGATCCTTTGGTTCGCAGACCGGGGCTCAAGCCACTGAGCCGCACCACCCAGGGCTTCCTCTGATTTGTTTTGGCCCATAATATTTAACCTATTTAAGCATTTTGTTATTAGTTCAATCCAGCGTGCACCGCGGAAGCAGGGAATTGAATGAGTATGTGTGAGTATTTTATCCTTCTGTTATGTTTTTCAGCAAGACTGAAAACTACACTCAACTTTTTAAATTGACTTCCTTCAGATCAGCCTGAAAGATAGGATATCTTACAGGTTTTTCAGATTGGAAAGGGAAAATAAATTAACACGGGACAATGACAGCACTTATATAGGCAAATAGGAGTTCTCTAACAATTCAACGGAGCATACACCTGTGTCCTTCACGACGCAAAATAAATCCCTAGAACCCCTAGGTTGATAGAGCAATGTAACCAAGTCGCCTTCTCATCCAGAAACTACAACTCCCGGCCTGGCTGGAGGGACGCATGCGATTAGCGTCCATTAGAACTACATCTCCCGGCGTGCCTTGGTTCCACGTGTGATTTGCTCCTGAGAGAACTCCATCTCCCGGCATGCCCCGGGTGGGGTGGAGGGACACCGGCAGCTAGCTCCTCCGACTTCCCAGAGTCACTCAGGTGCCCCTCGGAAGAGGATGGAGGGGTCCTGGGACGCCGGGGCTCCGGAACCCGGAGGGAATCAAACTCTAAAGCAGTGTCTGCTGCGCCGCAACCACAGCCGCGAACAACATGGCGTGGCGGCCTCCTGCCTCGAGGACCTGAAGAGAAAGGGTTGGCACGGGACCCGGGCAAAGGCTTGGAGGGCCGGGCCCCAGAGCTGAGGGGACCCGGGCGAGGGAGGGCTTGCGGGGGCCGGGTCCCAGAGCGGAGGGGACCCGGGGCTGTGTGAGGATGTCGGGCGGGGGCCAGGAGGGACGAGGAGAGGCGGCTTGGGATTCCTGACCCTCTTGTAGCCTTGGGATAAAAATGACTCAACGTGGGCGTAGCGATTTAAAGTTTTAAAGCCTAGCTCGTGTGAGACTCATCATGGTGGAAAGGTAGACGAGAAGCACTATGAAAATTAAGACTGGACTCAGGCACCTTGCCGGAAACCACTTAGATTTTGGATCAACCCAGCCTAGTGTGTTCCTGCTGCGCGGGCTCTACGGTGGCCCTGGGGCCTCGAGCGGAGCCCAAGCTGGGTGGGGCGGGCTTCCACCCTCGGCTCTGACAGGTACCCACCTGCGCGGTGAGGAGGAAGCTGCTGCCGGCCCTTCTGGGGGTCCAGACGAGAATCGCTGCTCTGAGCGACCGAGTTGACAGAAGTTCTGAGCCCCGGCCCCATCTAGTTACTGTATAGCTGCTTGACCTTACACTTAACCAGCCGTCTGTCCACCCGCAGTTTTCTCATTGGCAAAGGGGGCACAATACGATTTACAGCCCTACTTCCCAGGATTGTTGGGACTCTCAACTGCAATGACACATACAAATAATTTACAAGCGTTATTAGCCCGTAGCAGTAAATTGTTTATCCAGAGAAGTTCTACCTGCTAAATGTGTGAGTGGTCCCCAGGCCTGTAGTCACAGTGTGTGCCCGTGTTCAGTGCTTCCTCTCAGACTCATCAAGCCCCAAGGGACAGGAGTCTTTCAGAGACCTGGGGGCAGCCAGGGTACTATAAATGCCTCATGACATGGCTTGTGCCGCCTAAGCGGTTTTGTAGTTTTTCTCGGCGTTAGGGTCAAGTTTTAGCGTCCCTCCCTTCAGTGCTCTGCCTGGTTGTACCCACACAGATTCGGGTGGCAGACGACATTGCCTGAGGATATTTGTAGGCTTTGGGCTACTTCTCTGCTTACTCTAGTCCCATTAGCATTGTAGGCTTTGCCATCACAAAATGGCATGGTACAGACTTGCCCCAGACAAGGCCTCTTGCCCTGTGATAAGATGAAAAGCTACTGATGTAAACTGCTTCTTTGTACTTTCCTAGGTTATAAAGGCTATAAAGAAAGACCCTATAAAGAACAAAAAGCATTACCTTTTTTCCCCATTTTTTCTTTTTCTTTTTCTTTTGCATTTGACACAGAAGAATGTAAGATGACCACTGAGTAAATGAGCAAAAGACTGCTTGTTTACAAGGAATGGAGCCAGACTGTGTGGGTGTAAATCCATAGCTTACTGTGTGGTCTTGGACAAGTTATTTAACTTCTCTGACCCTTCGGTTTGATATCTGTAAAATGAGAATAACAATAGTGCCTACCTTATAGGATTGTTGTGTGATTAAATACTCTTGGAAAAGAACTTACAGCAGTACCAGGCATGTGAAAGTGTCAGTGCTCCTAAAGTAGTGATTGCTATTGTCGTTCTCACCTCCCGGAATTCTGCTAGGCTCTGGGGGCATACAAATTGAGAGTGAAAGGATAGGTGTAGTGTCCTTATGGATACGTGTCAATTGCCAAATATTTTATTTCTCTCAGCCTATGACATCCTGGCCATTGATAAGTCCCTGGCACCAGTTACCCTGGTCCTGGCAGAAGATGGCACCATAGTGGATGATGACGATTACTTCCTGTGTCTACCTTGTAACACTAAGTTTGTGGCGTTGGCCGGTAATGAAAAGTGGGCGTACAGCAACTCAGGTAAGAAATGCTGGCCATGTATAAAATGATCTACGCAGTACGACATCCATCATGATTCATTTGACTGCATAGGCCTGTGGTTACTGTTTGTCTGGCTGTTTAAGTGTTTATGCAGCAGATGTTTACTGAGCACCTTCTGGATGCCAAGTGTGGTGCTGAGTCTTGGGGTGAAGACGAATGAGACGTGGACCCGGTTCTCAAATAACCCCCAGACCAACAGCAGCTGAAATGCAGCACGGCTGAGGGATCAGTGCCACAGGAAGAGGCGGGCCGCCCCATCTGCATCCTGGCTCTGTCCTTCACTAGCCATGTGATCTTAGCCAAATGACCTAACTTCTCAGCACTGTTTGAGATAATTATAGTACCTGTCTCCTAGGGGAGCAGTAAGGATACTAGAACATAGTACGTGTCAAGCGAGGGTTTCTCAACAATACTAATGACATTTGGGGCTGGAGAATTCTGTTGTGGGGCTGTCCTGTGCATGCAGGAAGTCTAGCAGCACCCATGGCCTTTGCCCTCTTTATGCTACTACCTCTCCTTACCCCAGCTGTGACAAGCAAAAATGCCTCTGGACATTGTCAGTTGTCTCCTGGTAGGCAAACTCATTATCCATTGAGAACCACTGATAGCATTTACATCTTACCTGTCACGCAGTAATGGCCCAGTAAACGTTAACCTGTCGCCATCATCACTGGAGACATATAAAGGGAACTAATATTGATAAGCAAGGATCAAAGAGCTAAAGAAGTATCTTAAGGAAAGTCCTCATGCCACTAAATTGAGGAATTAGCCTTCAGCAATGGCTCTACCAGCCACCTTTGTACTCAGTCCCTGAGGACAACAGTGGCTGCAGCTCCTCTTCTGAAGGATGAGACCAGTCCACAAGTACAGGCATGCTGGTGAGAATGAATGCTTTGTATAGAAAAACAGAACACGCCCAGAGACACAAAAACTAACCAAAAGGGCAGTGTGGTAGGACCCTGGCTATGCGTAACCATCCATTGGGGTTAAGTAGCTTCTTTCCCTAAAAGAATAAAGAGTAGTTACATAAAGAAATAAAGTAAAGATGGAAGAAGAGGGAAAATTAAGGTCCTACTTGTGGATTGGCTTTCACATAAATCCTTGAGAAAAGATGCTTCCTTCTCCGTCGACGTTATTCTGCACGGTCAGTCGAAAGGATGTGCGGACGTCTGGAGGGCTGTGTTTGTTAGGGGAAGAGGCGAAACAGCACTGAAAGTCCATCTGACTGACTGGCCTTTCCCCATGTTTATCAGACGGAGGTACGGCTTGGCTTTCCCAGGAGTCCATGGATGTAGATGAAACAGACAGCGGGGCAGGGCTGCGGTGGAAGAACGTGGCAAGGCAGCTGAAGGAAGATCTAGCCAGCATCATCCTCCTATCAGAGGAGGACCTCCAGGTAAGCCTCCCCCCCGGCCCCGGCCACGCACCTGGCCTCTGGCACCCCCAACATTGTCTCAGTTTCCGCATGTCCTGCCATGATACGTTACTACGTACTAGTTTTTAAATATATCTTAGATGATGACCAAGATTCTCGTTTTTTAATTCTCTGACTTGGAGTAGGAATTTTTTCAACCTTCACCTTGGATCAGAATCAACTGTGGAGCTTTTTAAAAATACAAATGCCTAGCCCTAGATTGTGTGGCTCAGTGCACTGAGCGCCAGCCTGCAAACCAAAAAGTTGCCAGTTCAATTCCCAGTGAGGGCACATGCCTGCGTTGAGGGCCAGGTTCGCAGCTGGGGACAGGAGCATGCAAGAGGCACCCCATCAAGGTATCCCTCTCTTTCTCCCTCCTTCCTCCTCCCTCCAGGGGGAAAAAAAGTAAATAAATAAAATCTAAAAAATGCAGATGCCCAGGTCCTGCCTAGACCTACTTAGGCCCTCTCTGGGGGTAGAGGGTGTTCGTGCCAGAGAATGTGGAGTTAACGTAACTCAATTAAAATCCAGCTCCATCACTATGACTTTGAGCCAGTAACTCAGCTTCTTTGCCTGTGTTACCTCTCTAGTAAAGTCGGGGTAAAATAATGCGTTAATTAAAAATATATATTTATTGAGTCCCTGCTCTGCGTCTGGCGTGCCTCTGTGCACCGGGGGTCTGGCGGCAAACAAGGCAGCCCCGGCCTGTGCTCTGACGGAACTCGAATCCTGGCGAAGGGAGGCGGGCACAAGAAGCCTGTGGCACAGGGCGGTGTGCTGGCGGTGGCGGGGCCGCTTCCAATCGGGAGATCAAGGAAGTCCTGTCGCAACAACAGAAAAGGAAGGCCCCCTTCAAGGAGGTGACCTTTTGGTTATTTTGTAAACTTACACATTGATTTTGAATAAATAATATGAATACATTCACATGTTTAAAAATCCAAGAGGTAGGGAAGAATATCCAGGTAGCCAAAAAGTAAAAATAGCCCAAATGCCCATCAGCTGATGAATAAATAAAATGTGATCTATCCAGCTAATGGAATACTCGGCCATAAAGAGGATTGAAGTATTAATGCACACGGCATTGTGGGTAAACCTTGGAAACATTATGTGAAGGGAAAGAAGCCAGACGTGAAAGGCCACATATTTCATAACTGCATTTGTAATGAAAAGGCTAGAGTACACAAAGCTACAGAGATTGAAAGTGTTCTAAAATGGCTATGCTGCTGATTGCAGAACTCTGTGAATATACCAAAACCCACTGAATTGTACACCTTATGTGGGTGTAGTCTATGGTACGGAATTATATCTCAATAAAGTAGCTTGGGGTGGGGGGAAGGATAGGCAGGAAGGTCTGACTCCTGCCCCCACGTGTCCCTTCCCGGAGACAACCCATCTGTCAGTTCCCTCCTCCTCCAGGGTATTCTGTATACAAATATACATAATGGTCTCCTCCTCCCTACATTACACAAGTGCAAGCATATCTACTCTGTGATTATAGAAGTATTGGGAGAGAATCCAGGTCAGTATATAAAAGACATCCTGGTTCTTTCTTATCTCTGCATAGTATTCTGTGCCGTGCTGTGTACCACGCTTTGTCTGAGTCTTCCCCACCGAGGGATGTTTGGGTTGCCATCAGTCTTGTTCTTCTAGACAGTGCTGCAAAGAAACTTACACCAGTGTCATTTTGCACACGTGCTTGCGTGTAGGATAAATAACTAGGAGCCTGGCGGATGAGCAGTGGCAGGCTTCCGGAGGTGACGGCTCGACTGAGAGCGGCAGGACAGGACAGAGCCGGCCTGGGCAGGCTGGGCCCAGAGCGCTGCAGGCAGCGGGAAGGCAGGAGCAAGCTGGGGTTGTTTTTCCTTTTTTAAGAAACGGAAAGGGATCGTGAGATCCCTCCCCATCCCCACGGATTGCAGTATCACGGTGCACCCTTAGGGTAAGGAGCACCGCAGGCCTTGCAAAACGTGTAAGGGACGTCAGGGTATGATGAGCACAAGCCCCGACAGCCGGGTCTTCCGGGACGTGTCGGGCGCTTAAAGGGGACTTAAGGAGGCGGGCCTGGCAGATGAAGAAAAGGCACCCCCACAGCAGGGACTGGGGGCAGCGTGGACAGGTGGGAGGGCAGGGAAGACGCTCGGGAGGTACACGCTTTATGACATAGGTACCGTTACTGCCCCATTTTACAGATGGTGAAAATGAGTCAAGAGACTTTAGTAACTTCAGAATTTCAACAATTGGATCTTTCTTCTGTGCAGATTATTTTTAATCTAGTATATGCCAAAAGAAAGAACCACCTTCAAAATTATTCTTATAGCAGATTCAGGATATAATGAGTTCTCTCTTATTTCAGACTGAATATGTTATTTAAAAGCTTAGTATAGTTTATCCCTGACCAGTGTGGCTCAGTTGAGAGGGCATCATCCCGCAAAGCAGAGGGTCGCCAGTTTGATGGGGTGCATAAGAGAAGCAGCCATCACTACTCTCCCTCTTTCTCCTTCCCTTTCCATCTGTATAAATAATAAGTAAAGTATATTTTTTTAAAGCTTAGTATATAGTTTATCTTTTAAAAATCGTCTTTTAAAGCTAGGAAAGTATACAATAAAAATGTTCAAGGTTAAAATCATTAGAAAAACTTTTGCTTGAAACAACCTCATATCAATTCATTTTATAAATAATCATACACTTTTCTTTATATTCCTTGCAACTGGGTTGTTTAATGTGAGGATTTTGTTTAGTTTTTAATGAGGCACTAGGGCATCATTTTCTGAATCTTTTCACCAGAGGAAAACTGAAAAACTTGCATGCCTCTCTCATGATTCTTAGGCAGCCACATTAAGTTAACTTTGGAAAAGAGATTAAACGGGTCTCTGAAACCGATGAATTTGAGAGAACGAACACCATGTTCAAAAAGTACTTGTAGGTTTCTTAGAATCCGTGTTTGTTAGGTGCTCATCGATGTTCCCTGTTCAGACCTGGCTCGGGAACTTTGCCAAAGCTGTGTCACAGTGCAGGGGCTGCAGAACACCCTCCAGCAGGTCCTCGACCAGAGAGAGGAAGCCCGTCAGTCCAAGCAGCTCTTGGAACTTTACCTCCAGGCTTTGGAGAAGGAAGGCAGCATCTTGCCAAAGCAGCAAGGTAGGAGTTGTCGGCGGGGAGGGCCCCCAAGAACTCGGTGAAGGAACCACGCGTGGTGACTTGGTTACAGTCAGTGAGGCCACAGTTGCTGGCATCTTGAAATGACAGGTGACTGTCATGGCCACCCGATTGCTCTGGCTGGGTGGTGTAGCTGACCTCCATCTCACGTCTGCTTCGCAGAGCCCGAGGCTGGCTTCAGTGACGAGAGGGACGCCGTTGACGCGGGTGTGAGCAGAGCAAGCCCCTCGGAAACTGCCCTTCCAAGCCAGATCCTCACCGCCCTGAGGGAGAAGCCTGCTCCAGAGCTGAGTTTGTCTAGTCAGGATCTGGAGGTGGGCGAGACCCAGGGGCCCTGACCGCAGGGCACGGCTTCCCCGGAGGTGGGAGAGCCCTGCGGAGGCTTGCGTGGGACTCCTTTCACTTCTGCAGACCCCAAACCTTAGCTGCCCCTTTGCCTATTATTACATGCCAAAGCACTGGCAAACGTCTTGCATAACCTAAATCAGAATGGCCCCAACGAAATGGATGCACCCCACAGATCCGCAGACATGATTTTCTGATCGAAGTGGGTGATGCAGTGAGTTAACCTGACAGGGAGGAACCAGCAGGGCTCCAGCTTCTGACACGGCTCTGGCTCTGCCCATGCTGGAGAAGAGTCACAGGCGGTCGAGGCACACACACTGTCCCAGGGCAGGCCCTCTGGCCGGGGGCTGGAAGCCTGGTGCAGAGAACCCCTCACCGCGGGTTCTCCTCCTCCCTCGCCCTTGGCCCCGGCCCCGCAACCTCCCCAGTGTAGCTAGAAGGGAAGGAAACTGAATGGGCTTCACTTGGCTAAATTTCCTGTAAGTGAAGGACTTGTAGTTGCTCCAAGCACAGTTCTTTCCAAAGAGCCTTTCCTGTTGGTGTTCTATGGTAAGGCCCATGAGAGTTTACTATGAAGGAGACTTGGCATTTCAGCAGGGACATAACAGACCGGTATCGCCTAACCTCACGGCCTTAAAGAAACCGTGGGAGCAGCAGACAAGGCGGGCAGAGGTGGTTCTCAGTGGTTCTTATTCTTGCCGCAGTTGGTTACCAAGGAAGACCCCAAAGCACTGGCTGTTGCTTTGAACTGGGACATAAAGAAGACGGAAACTGTCCAACAGGCTTGTAACCAGGAGCTGAGCCTGCGCCTCCAGCAGGTACAGAGTTTGCACTCCCTCAGGAGCATCTCGGCACGGAGGAGTTCGCTGCCCGGAGAGCTGCAGAGTCCCAAACGAGCCAAACTCGACCCCACGTAGCTGTAGCTGCAAGGATGCCAAAGAGAACCCTGCGACCTTGGTTTTTGTTACCAGTAAACCCCTTCAGCCTCTTCAGCTACCTTGTAAACTGCTCTACCCCTTGCCTTGGAGCACGTTCTTCTGGAACCGGCTGGAAGACTGGCTCCAGGCCTCCTTCTGAAAAGCTGCGCCAGGTCTCAGCAGCTGCCCTTCCACCCATTTTGAATGATGCAGGTGCACCAATCGTATCTGGCCTCTTCTAATTATCACATGTTCTTGTGTTCTCCATTGTAAAGTAATTGTGAAGGGCAGTGAAAAGAAATCATCGTCATTTTAGACTCATCCTTGTGTTCTAAAGATAGAAATGCAGAATTTAAACCCATAGTGGTAGAGAAGGTGACATAATACTGTGGATTATGGCCACAAACTTATTTCTCAGGTTACTGAACTTTTTTGTTTGTCTGCTTAAAGGTATATATTAAGGCGGCAGACCACAGGCACATACGGAGAGTCTCACCATTTCTAATACTAATTCAGTATTGTGAAATTATATCTGAAACTCTCCTCAGTTTTCTAATGCTTTATCAGCAGGGGCTAAATGAACTTCCGTGAGATATGACTCCAAGTCTCTGGGTGCAAAGCAGAGACTTCTGGTTTATGCGCCTCCTGTCTCTGCAAGCGCACTGCTCAGGTTTTATAATCTACAGTACAGCCCCCTTGCAGGGAAAAGATAATGGGTTATCATTGACTTTTTTTTTTTAAAGCATGCTTAGAGGAAAATAGAATGCTATTAAAATATACATTGGCTAATTATTAAGTAAAGAAATGTAAGTCCTGAGGTGAGGGGAGGTACAGAACACAAACAGGCCAAAAAGAATTGTATCCCTCTCCTGGGGTCTGTCAGGGGACCTCAGGTGGGCTTGTCGCCCTTTTACTGAAGCCTTACCTCCTTAGTTCTCACGTCTCAACCCCAGCATTTCCTTTTTTAATAAATAGCTTGTTTTGTTGCACCTCCTTAATTATCCTTAAGTGAAAGCCAGGGCTGATTACCTACCTACACGTATACTTCTAGAACCACTGACATAATACCCCAAATGCAGTGTTTCCGAAGAAACAAAAAGAAGATAATTTCCAATAAAACGGCATGTACCTCCTCAGGACAGGTCTGTCTGTCTGTGTGACCATACCAACGGCACCGTGAAGCTGGGAGGCGCTTGTACTAAGGCACTGGGTTAGCGTGAATGGGACGGGCAGCCTGGCCCGGGTGTGCTGTGATTGTCCGCTCAGGTATCACGGGCAGCATTGCCCTTTGTGATGGGGTTTCCTCTACTGATGGCATTTTGAACAAAGTAACATCTGTCCTTTTTTCTTCCTTAACAAGGTAGCTGCATTCTTGGAAAACTCCAGGGAACATTAAAACTGGGAAAAATACTTTCTATGTAAAACAATTCGATTTCAGGCTAGGCTCACTTGGAATGGGTTTTTATCCATATGAATTCCCAGCATGGCTCATTTGGGCATCATCCTGAAAAGCAAAAGGTCGCCAGGAATTCCCAGTCAGGGCATGTGCCTGTGTTGGAGGTTTGGTCCTTGGAATGGGCATAACAAGAGGCAACTGATCAGTGTTCCTCTCTCACACTGATGTGTTCCTTTCCCTTTCTCCCTCCCTTTCCCTCTCTCTAAAAAATAAAATAAAAATGTCCGGTGGGACATGGGACTATTCTTCATTGTGAGGAATTGTCCTATAAATTGCTGGAAGAAACCCCCCCTCTTACCCCCATGCGTTCAATGCCAGTAGCAACCTTCAGCTATTGAGACAACTAAAAGCTTCCTCACAGATTTTCAAAACGCCCAAAGGGGTAGTAATGGCAGCTGAGGATTTCCATAGCGGTTTGCAGTCTGCTCTGGCCAGCACCCACCACACCGGGGCCGCACAAAACTGCATGAGCTGGGTACGGTGTGCGTGGCTCAAGTGACTTGCCTTGTTACAGCTGGGGGGCCAGAGTTCAAAGGCAAGTCTGGTTCTAATCCCAGCTGTCTTTTCACTTGTATTTGCTTTTAGGTCCACACACTCTTCAATTCCAGATCCAGAGCACTGGTCTTGTTACACCAATGTAATAAGTTGGAGCCAACTCCCACCGGAAAGGGCCTCATATGTCTGCAACATAATTGCCAAAAGATTTCTAATTACAGTCAGCGTACCAGTGGGGTACGAGAAGTCAATAAGCCTTGTGAACACTGTACAGTTAGCACAATAGTAAAAGCTACAGAACGGTATCTTTATTCACCAGTTCTAGCAACATCTCCATCTTTGCTCCACTGAATTAAAACTGTTTTCTTAAATTATTTTTGTCAAATACACAGTGGAGGGTTAGTTTACTGGCCTGGCTGTGGGTATTTTGTACTTGAAACAAACTCACCAAGCATCTTGGCTGCATAGGGTAGGGGAAAAAGTAATGTGGGTTTGGAGACAAATCCATGTTGAGTCTAGCCTTTTGGGACCTTAGTTTCCAAAAATGCAAGGTTAGTGTAAGGCCCCAAGACAGAAAGGGTTAAATGTGTGAGAAGGTGCACAGCACCTACCCAGTAGACCTCGAGTGATTCCCTTTCACTTCCCCAGGGACAGAGAGGTGGGGGCAGGGAAAAGACAGGGAGGTGCCTCTCTGTGGGTCTCTACGGCAAAGACCTTGGCCTGCAAACTCTAGCCCGAATGTGTAGGGAGAGCGGTTGCAAACACATTACATTGCCCCTGGTAACCATTTGCCTTCCCTCCCTCCCTGTGCCTCCGGTCCTTCTAAAATAGAAAAGTAGCAGCACAGCAATATGCCTAAAAATAGGAGAGCAAGCAGGGCATGCCTGTTCTTACGGCAGAAGAAAGAATGTCAAGGAAGGCAGCTGGGACTAATGAACTCGACATTAGCCATTTCCCATTCTTCCAACTCAAGTCAAATGTCAGTCCCCATTAGGCAATTGGCTTTGACAGGAGCTCTGCTAATTACCACTTACCAACCTTTAATTTCTGGGTAAAAGCAAAAGGAAAAAACTAATGGATTTTTCATTTTCCAGAGAGAAAGGAATAAAATAGTTGTTGGGGGGGGGGGAACCCTGCATTAATGCAAGAATTATTCATGTTCCTTTGCTAACCAGAGTGGCGTTTAGCTGTTTAATTTCCTAATTATCCTTTTTTTTTTCTTTCAGGAGTTTTCAACATTTTATTTGTAGGGTTTTGCCTTAAATTATTTTGGTTGCGTCTTCTTTTATGTGAGGTGTTTAAGGACCTTGAAATGACCTAGTCTGCACACGTTTACTGCCTTTGTCCTCCACGCTGCGGACTGGGCCCCCTCCCTATCTGAAGGCCCCCAGCGCGGGGGGGCCAGGCTCACTCCCCAGGAGGTGCTTTCTGCTTCCGGGCCGCAGAACCCTACCGTTGGGTCTCTGCTTGAATTAAACCGGGTAACGCTTGCATAGGAGTAAACCAACAGGTTAATGCATAGACACTGGATTTTCATCAATATTTTCCAACCCCATGTTCAAAGAACTATAACCAAGAAACTCTAGCTTTTTTCCAGCTTATCATTATTTTAATAAGACAAACATTATTTCTGACCACTTAACTACTTAATTATAAAGGAAAGAATAAATGAGTGTTTATATTAGGGTTATGAGAAATAGTGGGTTGCTCAGCTACCCTTTGCCTCTTCCTTTCTAACCCAGAAACAGAAAATTCCCTTGTTTTTACCACCTAAATGACTTTTCCTCTTCTGATTTGTTCAGAACGGAATCCACCATCTCCACTGAAGCAGCTGCTACTGTTAGGATGGGGGCTGTCCCTTCAGCAGGTGCTGTTACTAAGTCAAGTTGTTTAAGTGAGTATCTCCCATGAGCTTACTGGCCTGAGTTTCCAAAAGCCTGGGATGGTTTGCTGTCAGCCCAGAAATATGAATGGTAGGAAGGGATTTCTGTCGCATGCTTATGTCACCCTTCTTCCTCAGCAGTTAAGGATCTATTCTGGTGATAAATGCTGGAAATAAGTGAAAGAGAATGAATTAGAAGTTGTCCAGGTGCTGACGTCCCATGTCGCCACATGTGACTGTACTGCACCACAGAAAGGTAGGCTAAGAAAAGTCTACCAAAAACCTGATGGTAGGAAATTACCCTAATTACCCATTTTACCCTAATTTATTAATCATGAGCATATTAATCTAGTCTCACATGCAGTTGATGCCAGCTAACGTTTTATTAATTCCCCTGAACTAGGATAGGCTCAGCCTTGATGGATTGCCTGGCAGTATCATTAGTTGAGCCTCATTATCCTTCAGATATTACTTAGTTCAAAGTTAAAATCCCAATCTTAAGGACTGCGTGCGTATGACCTCAATTGAAACTGAAAAACAATGGCCATGCTTTTCTTCTAGAAAACACTTAGAAGACAAAGTTCTGAAGGTTGGCTGGTCTTTCAGGCAGTCAACTCCCACCAGTGTGCTGACCCAGTTACTGGCCCCCAAAAGCTGCTGTGTTTGGAAATGTGGATGCTATTAAGGCTCTTCTATCACATCATACTTTTACTCAGCCAGTAATTAGGCACATGAGCTCAGCTCTGCGGAAACAGAACGGAACGGTCAGCAGTCAGACCCCGTGAGTCTGTCCCCCTGGCATCGGAGAGGGTGTCACAGTGTCCCCCCACCAGCCTTCGCCTAACTCCAGGTACAGGTCTCTGAGCTTTACAGTTTAGCATCTAGACATATCACCCCAGAAGTTTTCTTTAGAATCTATGATTCAAGGGTTATAGTCGTGTGTAACCAAGCAAGGATTTAGATGCTATGGTGGAAAATCAAAAATTTGATTAGGGTTTTGGAACTGAGCAACTTGTTTACTCCTAATTGCATTTGCAGACCAACATCCTGGTCCACACAGGGCTCAGCAGTGGCTCTGTATTCCCTCACAGAAAAGGAACCCCCTCCCTTAACTGACACGCACTGTCCCTTCTATGGGAGATCACTAAGGAACATGGAAATACAACAATTACACACTTAGCACATCTCTAGACATACGCACCTGCCTCTGAACAAGGCCTGGATCCTGGGACTCCGCAGGTCCTGGGGTTAGAACGCGAGGCCAGTGGGCTCCTGGCTGGGCAGCAGCACTGCTCAGCTTTCGGTGTGAAATAAACCTGAAGCACCCATCCATGAGGAGAATTCCAACAAATTTTGATTTACTAATTAAAATTAGTATGTGTGTAACAGCTGGTTCAAATGTAGCTTTTATAAACATGTCAGCATGATGTCTGTTTAATAGGATGACATTTGTTTTTTAATTAGTTTTTGCTAAATCATGAAGAATAACCATTTTGCTATTTGAGCAGTATTAAAAATTTGCTTTTAAAATGAGGGAAATATTTTTAAATTAGTTCGTATCAACATAAACTGAAATAAGATGTTACTCTGAACTTTTACACATGTAGCCTTTAGCTATTTTGAGTCCAAGACAAGGACAGACAACTGCCAGGCACATGACGAAGGTGGAGGCAAAGCCCCTGGCTGCACTGAGTACAATACAGCAAACCCCACAAAAGTCTTGCAAACACATTCGCTTTGGGTTCCAGATTACTCGAGACACTCAGCACTGGGCGTTACTGGAGTTTAAATTAAAAATACTTCTCAAATTACACAGAAACGAGAAGACAACTGAATAAAGAAGATAGATCACGGCTGCTTAATGCATTTTATTTGGATCCATCCTCACACTTCCTTGCTCGAGTAACCGCGGATAGAGCTTTACTTGCAGGAGGAGAAGGTCTTCCAGAAGAAATTCTTGCAGGGCACTTTATCTGGGCGCGTGGATTGCTGAGGGGGCGGGCCTTCCTGCCGTTTGGACACCTCCCGGGCTCCCCCGCCTATGAAGGGTGCTGCGCTGGCCTGGGAGGTCCACTCGTACCACCACGCTAGGAAAGTCAGCAGGCCATTCTTCTTGATTGCTGCCACTTCCTGCAGATGCTTTAAAAAGGAGAGGACAAAGAAAAATCAAACATCTGGCTCAGCCAGCATTAAAAGAAATAATTCCTTCCTCTCTTCAAAAAAAGAAAAAATGCTCTGGAATAATAAATCACATACCTGTTGAAAGATGAGAAAGTTAACACTTTAACTGCATTGCTCTAATTAGAGAAAAGGGAAAATTGAGAACTTTCCATCAGGAAAGAAAAAGACTGCTTATTTGGCCCATAATCTTCGCTGAGGCCCTTGGTTCAAAGAGGTCAGGAGACCTAGTGTTCTCCCCGAGAAGAGACTGACCACTCAGGAGCCCCCGAAGTGGGTCAGGCTGGGTGGGCACAGCTTTCCCCTCTCTGCTCTCAGTCCTGGCCATCCACAAATTGCTCTTCAAGACAGATCAGATTGGGACATGAAACTCTGGCCTTTCAGACTCCTTAGAAAGCTTCTTCCAGAGTCATCTGATGATAAGTGGCTTGTCTGAAACTCATCTGGTAATTTCAGAGAAAAATCCATTTTTAATGGTCAACTTTATGTACTCTTCTTGGAACTTTTTCAAAATGGAAAAAAAGAGAAAAATAAATCACCTCAGGAAGTTACGAGTTCTCACAGTGGAAATGCAATGCTGTCAATTCCTCTGAGCCGGTGAGAACGTGTGCTGTGTATATAAATTAAGATTCTAGATGCACATGTGTGTGTGCTCCTAAACCTGCAGCGCGCTCCGCGGTCACTCTGTGACAGACCGGTACGACCATGTAACACGCAAAGCCGAGCAGATGCAGGCAGCTGGCACAAGGAAGCTCCGCTGAGTTTCTCAACTTTCTGACTGAAGGTAAACGAGGTCGGCGGTCTGTGTGCACATCACAGCGCCGCGGGGCAGCCGTGCAGCCCGCCCTGCACGCCTGGCCGGGCAGATGCTGGGGGGACCACAGGCATGGCCCAGGAGGCCAGGCGGCCAGGCAGCCAGAAAGGGGCTAGTGGGAGGCCAAGGCAGAGGCTACTCACCCCGTGGTGGCTGTCCTGGCCAGCGAGGCCGCCCTCCGGGGGCCGGGCAGCGGCGGCCCCTGGGAGCAGCGGCGGCAGCAGCAGCAGCAGCAGGCAGAGGGGTGGCATTCTGCGGGCTGACAGGCACTCCTCAGCAGCTCTGCGGCGGCTCATCTTTCTTGACAGCCCCGAAATCAGGGTTTTGTGGCCATGGGTCCCTTCTTTGGGGACGGGGGCGGGGGGGGGGGGTATTTTTAGCTCAACCTGCAGCTGGTTTTTGTACACATACCTGTGTAGAGCCTGCACTGCCCCCCCAACACTCGAGTGGTGACGCATATGCCACAGCAATCAGCGCCCACAAAAGCGCTTTTGGATGGGACTTAACTCCATTAAAGCCACAGGTCTTTGCCTGTGTTTAGAGCCGATTTGCTCTTCCTCCGCAATTCATGTGCACTCACTTCTGAAGACGTTCCACTTCCTCGTAATCAAGCCTGTAGCAAGCAGGAAGCCATGAAAACAAAACCGAGTGATTTAACGCCGCACAAATTTAGCTTTGGATAAGGAGCTTGCTCTCTGGAAGCGTGCCCACAGAAGAGCATCACCGAATCTGCTACAGGCACAAGAAACAAGGTCGCAGCGAGGGCTCCGGCAGCCGCGTCAAGCATCCCCCGGCTTCACAGGAGCACAGGCAAGGACGACCCCAGCGGCTGCTCCCCAGCCCAGCAGGCTGGACACTGACCCTCGGCCCCGGTCCTCTCACGCTGTGCACGAACCCAAACTGCCTTACTAAAATTCAGATTAAAACACCGATTCTGACGCGCTGCAAGGAGGGTAGTTCTAACAAGCGCCCAGGTGATGCTGACCCCGGAGTAGCCAGGCTCAAGTACAGTGTTTTTCAAACTGCTACTGGCCACTCACTAGTGGGTCATAAACTAGCATTTTTTTTATTCTCACCTGAGGACATTTTTTCATTGCTTTTAGAGAGGAAGGAGGGGCGGAGAAGGAGAGGAAGAGAAACATCGATGTGAGAAATACTGATCAGCTGCCTCCAGTACACATCCCAACCAGGGCTTGAACCTGCAAGCTAAGCATGTGCCCTGACCAGGGATTGAACTCACAACCTTTTGGTATACAGGACAACACTCCAACCAACTGAGCCACACCAGCGAGGGCTAAAGTAGCACTTTTTTTTTAATGAAACAGAAATTAGAGTGCATCACCGGGAGTACAGAGAAGCTTGTTTCATCTGAGTGTTAGGCGTAGAACATCTTCCTGAAGGACCTGCACTTGACCCGCCCCTGGGCCGACTCTTCCTGAGGACGGCACCACTGCTGAGAAGTGCAGTCTGGGACGTCCTCTGTGCACCGCCCCCCGCCCCCCACCGGCTTTTCCTCACAGGCCCCACTTTCGGAATCACAGAAACAAACGCACAGCTCCTGTGCCCCCAACTGAGACCACTACTACAATCTGAAACATCCACCACACACCTACTAAAGGTGACCGATATCCAAGGCAAGGTTCTAAGTGAAGTAAAGCAACCGAAGCACTGACCGCTCTTTCCAGAAGTGAACATTAACATTTTCCTTTTCCCACAGGCCTGGCTCGTACATCTTCTTCACAAGGGGAATTTCCATCTTAAATTTCATTTCACGACAGGCTTGCTGTTTAAGACTCCAGGTGAAACTGCCATGGCCTGAGGACCCAGGCTGCCCACACTGCTCGTTGCTTTGTTTTGCCTAATGCAATTCCCACAAATGCTATTACAATTCTGAGCTGCAGATGAGAGAGGCACAGCAGCTCTGCCAGCGTCCGACTTCCTGAGTATATTTTGCAGATTTCAGTCAATGGCCTCGGGAAACACTCTCAGCACCTTGCATGTACAAAGGAGCCACGCCATCCAGCCGCCAGCGCTGCCGCAGCCTCGCTAAGGGCGGGCTCCCTACTGCACAAGGGGACAGCGGTACTTAGTGCACAAGTGTGCCAGGGGGGGTTCTTTGAGGAAGGCTTCGTGCTTTCTTGTTACTGGCCGTTTTCAAGGCACTGGCAACATAGCTTAGGTTTTTCAAGCTGAGTGCTCTAAAGTCCTGGCTTTGCCATTTAATCAATCTCCCCGTGGCCTCTTTCCTCATCTGCAAAATGGGGATAAGAGAACAGCGCCTGCTGCCTACCTCACAATTGCCAGGACCAGGTTAGGATCACGTAAAGCCCTGGGTGCAAATGGAATGCACACTAGGCGCTCCTGTTAAAACTGTTGAGAAGATGCGCTCAACCAGTGCTCCCCCGGTAGTGGAAAGGGCTCCTCACTGTGAGCGTGGGAAATCCCTGGTTAGAGCGCAGGAACCTCGGCAAGGGCTCCCGCTCACCCACGGGCACACCGTAGGCTCCAGGGAGCACGTCCTCACAGGGCTCCTGCCACGCCAGGCTCTACACAAGCAGCCTGCCTTTCGGAACACCACCGTCTAATGTTTGATGCAAGAGTGTGTTTCTGAAAAGAGATACAGTGGGACCTTTGGTGAAAAGGAATTCAGTATTGGATTATTTTGAAAAACAAAGACTGCTTTTTCTGAAAGGCAGAAGAGGGCCCAGACAGAAGTTAAGACGGTGGAAGACTTTCCTCTATGAACAGAAGAAACCTGGAATTGTTCGTATCCAATATGAGACAGGGCTCCCTGTCCCTGGGGGGCTCAGCAGAGCCTGGGGAACCGCAGGTCAGGAAGGCTGTGGGAGGGGCTCCCCACTAGTGGGAGGAGACTCCACAGTTCAGTAAAGGGAACGGGAGGTCCAGGTTACCTTTCCTGGGAGGTCAGCTGTGTGCGAGGCAGGGCAGACCCTTCCCAGGGCATTCCAGTCACTGCAATGTGAAGAAAGGGATGCTGAGGCTGGCCTGGCTCTTAATTTCAGTAATAAAAATTAACACAGGATCACCCTGGCTGGTGTGGCTCAGTGGACTGAGTGCCAGCCTGCAACCCAAAGGGTCGCCAGTTCAATTCCCAGTCTAGGACACATGCTTGGGTTGAGGGCCAGGTCCCCAGTAGAGGATGTGCAAAAGGCAACCACACATTGATGTTTCTCTCACCCCGCCCTTCTCCCTCCTTTCCCCTCTCTAAAAATAAATAAAATCTTTAAAAAAATTTTTTTTAAAAAATTAACACAGGATCTTTTATTTCAAGCTTTTTGAGGAACTGGCATACAAGGAAGACAATAAATATTAAAAATGTAAATTGCCCCACCTATGTTACCAGGCCACAGTTATTTCAAAGACCTCTGCTTCTTTATGGTGAATTGTCTGCTATAAAGACGGTAAGTCTAGTTAAAGTTCAGATGCACTTCCAGGGCTCTGAGGAAGCAAGCCCATGAGAGAGAGCCCTCCAGCACTCCTTCCTGCCACTGAGACGTGAAGGCTGGCTGGCATGGCCCTGGACGTCCAGAGTAAATGCGCCCCTGGCTGGACGGTGTGGTGGGGAAGAGGCTGTTCCTGAGACCACAGGGAGTGCAGTCAGCTATTCCCAACAAAGTCTGACCACCTGCGTTACAATCCCTGAAAAATCTGAGACCACACATCTAAAATATGAACAGGCCATACATTAATATGCAAATTAAACCAAAAGGTTACAAGAACACCAAGTTAACTTTCTCACATGGCTAGAAAACTTCACGTCAGAACCCTTAGGCCGGCAGGGCGGGGCCCTCCACAACCCTCCACCCAGAGACAGAACACCCATGGTGCACGCAGGTTCCCCACTTTATCATGCGTATACCAAGTTTCTGGGGCTACAGAAATCTGTAAGACTAGCTCTGGCTGGTGTGGCTCAGAGACTTGAGTGCTGACCTGCAAACAAAAAGGTCAGAATTCTACTCCCAGCCAAGGCACATGCCTGGGTTGCAGGCCAGGTCCCCAGTAGGGGGTGCACAAGAGGCAACCACACACTGATGTTTCTCTCCCTTTCTCCCTCCCTTCCCCCCTCTCTAAAAATGGATAAAATTTTTTAAAAACACCCGTAAGAATAAGCTGCATTATGATCGTTCTACTCATTTCCTCTTACTGTCACGTGTAACCTCACTGCACGGTATTTTTAACCCTATCTCACTGATAAGAACTCCACGTTTCAAAAAGTCATATAGCTACCAGAGTGGTAAAACCAGGACGCAACCAGGTTATGCCCACATTTGGAAACTCCATACTAGTTAGCCTCTAAACTCTCCTCAGGGATGAGTTTTGGGAGAACTTACCTGAAAATGAAATTAACATGCAGGGAGTGGGAGCGTGGAGGGGGCCTAGCACACGGTGACCGAAGGTAGTTTGATCTGGGTGGTGGGCACGCAGTGCAATATACAGATCTGGTATTATAGAAATGCACACTTGAAACTTGTATGATCTTATTAACCCCAATGAATTTAATTTAAAAAATAAACTAACATGCAGATCTTTGGCTGGAATGCACTTTAAGGGTGGAAGCCTTCATGATTCCCTTTTCCTTCACTGATGTGACAAAGATGTCATATCTAACATGACATCACATGATTAGTTATTTGCAGAAGCTGAAACTAAAGTTTAAATTCAAAGCTTTATGGGGGTGGGAGTGGAGGTGGGAGAGGGTATGGGGGGGATAAATGGTAATGGAAAACTACAATAAAAAATTCTTAAAAAAAAAATCACAACAAAAAAAATTTTTAAAAGACACTGCCCCCCGCCCCAAATAAAAACAGCTTTACTAGGACAGCAGCTTAGCATCTCTTTTTGACAGTCAGACTTTGAGGTGTCTTGTGATAATTATATTTGGACATTGATGGTAAAAATTCTATCCAGAATGCACCCCGATCCCTTCGCAAGTCAGGACCCTGAATGTATGTAGTCTCCACTGGTCGGCAGATCCTGGGCAGCTGGCTACCCTCATCAAGCTTCGGCCTGCTCGTCGGCAACACGAGGATAACCACACACACCCTGAACAAGCTGTGGGCATCCAGCGAGGCACCCGTGGAGCGCCCGGAGCAGAGCCCAGCACGCCGAGGGCTCTGTAAGTGCCAGGCCCACTCCGCACCCCTGCCACCCCAGTGGGAAAAGGGCGCGCCCGGGACCTCTAAGAAACTCCAAAGAGAAGACAGCAGACCCAGGGCTCCTGGAAGCGTCACCACTTGCAGACTAAGCGAGGACAGCACCCGGGAGGGTTTGGCGGAGCCGGAGACCAGGTCTTGCTCTCGAGCAAAGCAGAACCACAGTTTAATTATGAAACAGCCTGAAGAGAAGTCCCATAAACTATGTTTCTGAAAAAATCACCTTCAATAAATAAAACAGACCATTTCATCAACCTTTTTACCTTGTGATCCCAAGTGACATGGGTTTAAAACACCGGTAATCAAAAGAACTAAGTAAATAGCACTGGCTGGTGTGGCTCAGAGGATTGAGTGCCAGCCTGTGAACCAAAGGGTCTCCTCCTGTTTGATTCCCAGTCAGGGCACATGTCTGGGTTACAGGCCAGGTTGCCAGCAGACGGTGCGCGACAGGCAACCACACATTAATGTTTCTCTCCTCTTTCTCCCTCCCTTCCCTTCTAAAAAATAAGTAAATAAAATCTTGAAAAAAAGAACGAAATAACTACAGCTTTATTCATCTTCCAGATTTATCCATCTTCCAATGGTCAGCCTGGAAAATTATGTAAAAGAATAAGGAAATAACTAGGATTTCTGCTTGAAAAACAATCAATCATATTTAACTGCTAACGCAATTTTATTAATTGCAATAGATATAATTGCCAACATACACCGCTCACACACAAACCTTTCTTATGCCTTTCAATAGGACACAGGGGGAGTATTTTGCTTAAGAGTTTCCAGTTCTCTTTCACACTGGCTTCTGCAGTCAGCGACTTGGAGAATACAGCACCAAAAGCCTCTTCGCCTTTTTTTCCCCCTAATCTCCACTTATTCTTTCAAAATTCCCTTTGTGGCAATGTGCATTTTGATGGTGCTACCTGCTGAGGGTTGCTTTTCCCAGTGAGAGTTTAATTCTCACTTTCCACTTCTCCAGCCTCTGTGGTCTCTACTGAATTTTTGTTTCCATCCTCCAACTTCTTTTTCTTCTTTGTTTTTCGTTCTATATTGAACTGAGCAATCTCTTCATTTTTCTCTGTGATGTATTTTAGCTACAAAAAAAAATTTTTTTAATTTTATTTGTATCTGGTTGTAAAGCCATTTTATAAACCTAGGGGGAAAAAACCCTACACTCTCTCCCAACCACTTCCACCCAAAAAATCTGGTTGGAAAACCCCGGGTCACATTCCTTACAATTAAACAGAGCTTCAAATTCTTCCCCACAGCAGGAACCAACTGCGAAAGTCAACTCCCTGCCACTCACATACGCCATCAAACAGGAAGGAGCTCCTTGAGTAACCAACAAATTAACACTTGGAGCTCACAGAAGGCATGCCAATCACAAATATACTTTACAAAGCACAAATCTGGTCAATATCCTCCTAAATTTATCCAACTAAAATTGTTGAGCAACTACTATGTACCACATATTAGGGATACAAGATAAACAAGACACCCTGCCTTAAGGGAGAATTTAGTCAAAGGAGCAAATTTAGCTGTATGTCTTCGTTAATAAGCTTCTGCCAGATGAAACACAAGAGTCCAAAATAAAGACAGTGTTCTGAAGTACACAAAAGCAACGGCAACAGTTTTGCTTTTAATGCTCTAAGAGGACTTGCACTGACCACTCCCCTGCCGAAGACAGAAACCGCTCCCTGCAGCCAACCGGGTGGCAGCACAACCCAGAATGTACAAGGAAGAAATCCCCCCTCCACTGGGACTCAGCACCACCAGCACCTTAGCTCTTTCACTGCGGAATCGTATCATCTTTAACCTTGACTTAAATTTTGAAGAAAGCATGGCAGAAAAGTAAAGGCCAGAAAGAGCCTAGCAGAAACAGCACTAATGCAGGGACAAAAGGTCACGGTTCGGCTGTCAACCAGGGAGCCCGAAAGTTACCCACTCCGGCTGCTGGCCTGTAGAATGGGCTATGATGTCATGTCATTAAAAACTCTCTCTCATAGGGTGGCTGTGAGGTTGAGATAATACACATTAAATATCTATAAAAAGCCCCCATGAATGGTCAGTTGCTATAGAAATTTATTCAACAACTACTTACTTAGCACCTACTGCATGCCAGGCCCTATTCTAGGCACAGCAGATGGAGCAGAGAAGAAAGAGATGAAAATCCCTGCCCTCGTGCTGCTCCCATCCTGGGGAGGAACAGAAAGCGTTTCCCCTGCCAGGCTTCACAGGTGCCTTGGGTCTGCCACCAGCCCAGCCACCGGACTGGGAGGTCACAGCATCCCCTGCAAAAGGAGGGCCGGTCAGGATGACCTCTAGGTTTCCTTGAAAAGACAGAAAATCATCTGCCCATCCCAGCTTTGCAGATACTCCTTCCCCACCTGGCGCCTCAGGAAAACTGTGGGCACTGCAGTGAAACCAGCCCCATGCGCTATGACCCGTCGCTGACATCACGCGGTAAATGAAACATGGGACCGAAGTTTTGAGATATTACAAAAAGGCAAACCATGAAATCCAGAGAGTGCTGATTAGAAAATTTCAAATTGGCTTGGCAAGATCCATCTTAATGAAAGAAAGGCTATAAATTACGGGCAGGTCTGAATGGTTCAACCATCTCTCGTTTTTAATGCAAGGTGCCCTGGGGAATCACTTCGTGGCTAAAAGTGATTAATCGGGAATAATGTATTCTGATGGGAAAGGGGAGTGAGGGAAGGAATCCGTCTCTCACCAGTGAATTACTCCTCCTGGCTAAGAGCTTCACGTCTTCCGTGCTAATTGTGCTTCTTTTCGCATGCCTGTAGAAAGGGCAGAAGCAATTCACCAAAATGTTTGGTATTATTCAAAGTTTTGATGAAACACAGAAGTTCATGGTCAGACTTCAGACTAGCAAGAATCTCAAAGTAGCCCATCTTTTCAGATTCAAGTCATTAAGCAACAGGGACACAAAAACGAATAAAATGACGAGCCAAAATACCAATCAGATAAGCGTCCGTTCACTTCCACTGAGGGCCGAGGGCGCCTGCAGAATACGAGCGCAGAGAGGAGGCTGCGGCATCAAACCTCCCAACGGGCCTTGTGTGGTCACAATGGTCAGGGCAAACAGCAGAAAAAGCAGGGTCACTGTACAACTTCAGTGAAGAGAGAAAACGGCACAGTCTCACAGTGCTCAAAAGAAGCATGAAAGCCCTGGCCAGACAGCTCAGCTAGTGAGAGCATTGTCCTGATACGCCAAGGCTATAGGCTCAATCCCCAGTCGGGGCACATACAAGAATCAACCAATAAATGCAAAAGTGAGTGAGCAACAAATCGATGTTTCACTTGCTCTCTCTCTCTCTCTCAATTTTTTTTTAGATTTTATTTATTTATTTTCAGAGAAAAGGGAAGGGAGGGAAAAAGAGAGGGAGAGAAACATCAAAGTGCAAGAGAAATAGCAATCAGTTGCCTCTTACATGCCCCCAACTGATTAAATAGAAAAACAAAGGGAATTTCTGTAAGGCATGGCTTTCCTTAGACCAAGGCCCTGAAGCCCTTCCCCAAGGGCTCGGTCGCAGGAAAAGCTCACGCAGATGCGACTCCCAACGCCCCGTCGCCCAGCACGGGGCAGCGTCCGCTCCGACGACAGCCTAGTTGGAACAAAGAACATCCTTCACACTGGAGTCTCTTTCTTGCTCATAAGTTGGACTCAAATTTTCTCTCCAATCCCCTTATCTTTGCCTCAAAAGGTAATTTGATATAATAAACTCTATTAAGCTCTATTCAATAATTTGTTACTCTACACACTTTCTTGCCATTTCTGACTTCCTCCAAAAATAAGTAGGAAGAGTGTATGTAGGTACAGGTAGGAATCTTTGTATCCAAAGCAAAGTGGCCTGTACACAATAGGTCAAGACTGAATATTGGCTGAACTACAGACAAAGTCACACAGAAATTATATTCCATAATTTGGCCAAATTATTCCTTCACATCCTCCTAAGTGTCCAAATATCACATGTCATCTTATCATGTTGGGCAATATCTGCCTGTCCTGGGATAAAATCCATTTCAGGAGATAACTTCCAATTAGTCACCTGCAAGGACCAAGGTGAAGAGGGGAAAAAAGTCAGACAGGCGATACAACAGCAGCCACAGTGTGTGAAGCCCGTCCCTAGACGTCCTTGGGGAGGGCGTTAGTGCGGCCACGGACCAGGGTGGCCCTCGTCTCGGTCGCCCCCTCCGGCTGCAGTCGGCATTTCATTCTCTGAAGTGCAGTAGCAGGACCGAGTCCGAGGGAGCAGCCCGCTGACCTTGCACAGCATGAGGTCAGCCTCTCTGTTCACAAAGAAGGGTGAACAGATAAGAGGTGACCGAGTCCGTCCGCTCTCGTCCTCAGCTGGTCCCTGGTCTCCGGGCACATCGCGGGCTCTTCTAAAGCAAACCTCTGACTGCGCAATGGCACTCCAGGGAAAACAACAAAGCGACTTCTTTGTATAACACTTTCAGCAACACTGGTTTTATAGGTTATTCCCAAAATGTTCCTAAAATTTACTTACTATAGAATATCTATCTTCTTCAAAACACTCCATCTTTAACACATTAACAATACGGACTAGAGATTTCAAAGCTAAATACAGGGAATTCACAATTTAAACTGAGAGACAATTTCTCCAAAGTTTATAGGTGAATTGAATATTCAGAATTAAATGTATCTTCTCACAGAAACAATGTTACAGGCAGCCCACAAAGGCTACTTAATACTTCTAGACCTCTGATCACTGTGAGGAATCTAACCAGTCCGCACTTGGGGGACTTCTCCCAGGAGCCACGGCTCTAGGAGCGGAGACTGGATGACAGGGGAAACCCAAAGCCACAGGATAAGCAAAGGTGACCTCCTGGGAATATCAATCTATTCAGTGATAAACTTTAAAACAGGATTTTTTAAATATGAGAACTAGAATATTATGAAAACCAACATAAAACTAAAGACAAAGGATGGGTCTTCAAAGAAAATCTGCTCTTGCGTTCACTCCAGTTCTTGTTTGGAAGGAAGTGTGAGGAGCAGTGGGGGACACGGGACAGGAGGGGCTGTGGTGCTCGCGGCGCCTGAGGCCACAGACAGTCCCCCTGGGAGAACGGCCGCTGACGGCCTGCACCCAGACTCCTGTCTCCAGGAGGTGAAGTCTCGCCACGTGGAGCGTCCAGGCTCTGTGACACGCACACACCACTTGGTCCCCAGTACCCAGGAAAGGAAATTAACCTTTCAATGTAATTGTAAAAACACAGAGGAACTGAAAACTTAATGATTACAATGCTAAATATTTCTAATTTCATTTTTATTTCTAATATTTTGCAGAAGTATTAAAAAATGTTCATTGTCTTTTCCTACAACTAACACAGAAATGGCAAAAAAAAGAAAAAAAAGAAAAAAAAGTCACCACCAGGGGCACAGCACTGGTGGCAGAGGCCAGAGATGCTAACAAACCTCCTACGACTCACAGGACGGTCCCCACAACAGCAAATCCCTCCAAACGGCAACTGTGCTCAGGTGGGGGGACCCTGATCTCTGTTGATAAAACTTCACAAATCGAATAATCATTTGTCTACTTATTTACACTTTTGTGTCTCCCTTTGTAATAAGAGTTGTATTTAAAAAAAAAGAAGAAGAAGAAAAGAAATGGCAAGTAAAGGTGATAAACGTATTTCACAGGAGACACGGGGGTGGGAAGTAATGGGCCCCAGGTAAGGGGCAACAGCCTGAATTAACAATGAATAAATCATATGAGCCATCAGTATCCCATAATATTACCTTATTTCTTTTGGCCAAGTTGAAGATGCTAAGCAGTTTTTAGGGACTCGTATATACAGGAAGCGGAAAGATTTAGAGCCTGCCCTCTGAGAACCTGCTGCTTTAATTCATTCAAAGTGTTCACCCGAGAGGCAGAGAGCTACTGGGAGCAAGGTGAAAAGTACTGGGTGCAGGAGGGGCTGGCACCAACTCAGAAGTGGGAGCAAATGAGAAAGCTTCAGCCCTTTCAGGCCTTAGTCATTCAAATTGCTTCATAAAAGCAATTCGTTGCAATTGTTTTCAATTACCTGAGGTGCTAATTGAAGAGATGAGCATAAATCACCTGTAAAAGCTAAAGCTTTACCAGCTGAAAGCAAGTCGCCCACTTTGCAAGGAGTGTATGTCTCACTCGGAACAAACGCAGCAAAGGCAAGCCTGATGTGGCTCCGTGCTGCCATTATCCGGCCACCTGCCAGCGATCGCCGCCTGGTGCCCCGTGCACCCGGTGTGGGGACCAGGCCCCCGCATCCGCCACCCTGCAGAATCAGTCTTGAAAGCACGCAGGCCTCGCACATGGCGCGTCCTGGAGGCACCATTCATGCCTTTTTAACCTGAAGCTGAATAACTTCAGCTCTCTTAACAAAAATACTTGGAAAACTTCAAAAAATGCCAAATCAAGTCTGAATGGACGTGATTACAGCAGATGTTATATTCTTGTGGAATCCTGATTAGAGATGAGCCTCCGCAAAATACCAAAAACAAAAAAACCCGAATAGCTAAAGCTCTCCTGAAATATACCACCAGATGGAGAGTATCAATAGAATGTAAACAAACACAGTAGCAGAAAATCAAGCTCTTCACCCACCTTGCAAACATTTCAAGGTCTTTGGCAAAAGTTTCTGAAAGAAAAAAAGAGATGTGCTTCAGCTCCCTGACCACATCCTGTCTGAGGAGGAACAGGGAGACCTCGGTTCCACAGCAAGCTCAGGCCCTCCCCGCAGCCCCGGCACAGCCTGGGCACCCTCGGCCGCGTCTCATTATGACCGCCTTGTCCTCTGGCCCCCAGACCCTGTACTCCGAGCTTTCTGGTAACTGGGGCTACACCTTTCATTCTAGAAGCTATCCCTTAACTTGACATTCTGTTACAAGTTAGGGCTTGCGAGGACATTAATTTCCTGTGAAGTCAAGCAAATACCTCTGCCACAAGCTCCGCTGTCAAATAAACTATGGGTGATATAAAAATGTTATAAAGCAATGAAATAAAAAATTTAATGTCTAATGTTCCAGGCAGTTTAAAACAATAAAATAAAGGTGCTAATGCCCCAGTGTTAGTGTAATAGAAAAAAACCGTTCTTTCATAAACTATCTAAATCTGACAGCCAGGAACAAAGCTGCTTCATGAACAGTGTGAGGTGACAGTGCTCTGTCTGGAGGTGACCCGCCCCACAGCACTCACCCACCCACCCACCCACCCACTTCTCCCGGCGAAAACCCCCGGGGCTTCCGTGCCGGCGCAGGAAGGCCCGAGCCTCCTACCGCACTGCCGGAAGGTCGCCTCCGAGATCGCCGCGATGGTCTGCTTGCTGAGCTGCACCTCCCTGTCCGAGGCAACCTCCGCGCAAAGGCAGCCCACGGTGTAGTGGACGGCAGCCTTCAGCCTCTGAAGCAAACACCAAAATATCTTGTGAGGGGGGTTGCAAATAAGAGCTTTTCACATCTTAAAACAGTAAGACCAAGGAGAGGCTCAGCTCAGCCTCACTCCTGCAGCCCTTTCCATGACGGCTCGGTGACTTTCCAAGTGCACTAATAAATTAGTGAGGCCCTCTCGGGTGTGACTTGTAGAAACATTACTTCCTGGTTAATGGTTATGACTTAGGTCAGGTAAAGACAAGGAATTACGGTGGCAGGTCAGCGGGGAGAGATGTCAGATGGCACTGCCAAGTGTCTGCATGACTCAACTCAGTCCACAAATGTGCTCCAAGTCCCCACCAAGTGAGGGCATATGCTGGGTGCTTGGGGAACACAACGAAAAACCAGATGGGGACTTTTTTGCCTGGATGGGGGTTAATCAAGTAAACACAGAGGGACCCCAATCCTCTGCTGCAAGTCCCTGCCGCCCCAAGGTCGCATGTGGCGAAGGAGGGATGATCAGGATGACACCAGGAAGGCTCTGGGGGCACATCTGGCCCTCCTTCGAGGGCTGGTTTGCAGCCCCTCAGCAGGACCCTCCCAGCCCCTCAGCAACCTTGTTAGATCCGGGAAAACATCTCTCTTCCCCACACAGAGGAGCAGAGGAGCAAGGCAAGCTAAGCCAAGGTTTTCATCTCATGTCAGCGAACTTGTGTCTGTTCCATCTCTGTGCTAGAAACAGCTGAACAGGGCGTGGGGACAGCTGACCCCAAGGCAGCATGGGTTCAGCATGGAGGAGTCCCGGACCCTGGAATAAGGGACAGGCAGGTGAAGCACCTAAGCTGAGGTCGTGGGCAGAGGAGACAAAAGGACCGTCACCCTGGGAGGGATAAAGGCCCCCCCAAGGTCACCTTTCCTAGGCATGTGGGGGATGGGGTCAGGAGTGAGAGGAGGGGACAGGGCTCCAGCCAGTTTCCCTGTCCCTCCTCCTCCCGAGCCTCTTGGACTGGGCTAAGAGCCTCTTCACTGCCACAGACATGTGAACTCCTCAAGGACAGGACCTCATCAGCTTTGTTCTCTGCGGTCCACCGGGTGCCGAGAACGGCTGCTTGAAGGAATGATCCTCAACCTGCTCGCCACTGAGGATGAGGGTGGCATTTCTCAGCCCAGAAGGTGGTAAAAGGGGTCAGTATATGGTGACAGATTTGACTTTGGGTGGTGGGCACACGATGCAATGTACAGATGATGTAGCACAGGAGTGTACACTTGAAACCTATATAAATTGAATTGATAATTTTAAAAAATGTTCTCAGCCCATCTTTGCAGGGTCACTTGTTTAATCAGTAAGCATTTACTGTCTACCAACAGCCAGGCTCGGTACCAAGGGCTGAGTATACAGAAATGAAAAGGACAGGCCCTGATCTCCAAGTTTGTCTCCCACTAAACCTCCGCCGTGAACAGACTCTTCAAAACCATCATGAAAGGCAAAGAGCTGGGGAGTCGTTCCAGGGACGACCAAAGAGACACGTGATCCTTGGCCGGGTCCTGGATCAACGAAAAAAGATCACTAAAAGAAATCTCTTTGGGACAGCTGGGGAAATGTGAATTTGGACTGAGCACATTATCTAATGATAATAGAATTTCGTCAATACTGGCCTCCCTGAGTGTAATAATTGAGATTACATCGGGGGTTGGGAGACGCATACCAAAGTACCAAAAGGTAAAAGTGAATTACTTTGCAATTAATTATTAAATAATTCAGGGGGGGAAAGGGAGCAAGGGAGCAAAAGCAGCAAAAAGTTAACAACTGGTGAATGGAGGTGAGGCGCATATGCGTGTTGAGTGCATTAGTCTTGAAACTTTTTCTGAAAGCTTCTCAAAATAAAAGGAAGGGATGGGTAAACAGCGCCCGAAATGTGATGCTTCATAGGAAGGAAACTCCCAGGTACCGAGCCCATTCACGTGTCCCTTCAGTTAACCCTCTTCGAGGCTGTCACCTGGTTCCTGCTTCCCACGTCCTGACAGCGCACTCTTCTGTTCTCATCGCTCGGCCACACTGTACTCATTCCCGGGCGGCTTAAGACCCGCCACTACCCGACGCGGGGTCATTACCACTCTGACTTTCCATATAAGAAAACCGAGAGTGGCAAAGTCAACACCACCCTCCCGCTGCCGAGATGATGTAGCACAGGAGTGTACACTTGAAACCCCGGGGCCGAGAGGTGAACGCACCCCGCAGCGGGGACGCCGGGCCGGGGCGGCGCGGTGCGCACCCAGCTCCGAGGCCGCCCTGCAGATCGGAGGGCACCGCTTACGGGGGCCAAGCCAACACCTAGGGCTCGAGCCGCACACAGCGCACCGGGCTCCGGGCTACGCGCTTAGCCCGGATCCCCTGTAATGCTCACACCCCACCCTCGCAACGACCCTGTCTGAGAAGGGAGACCGGGGCGGTCGCAGAGCCAAGAGGCCAGCCTCAGCCGCCGCCAGGCGCGGGGCGCGCCGCACTCCGCGGGAAATCCACCGCCTCGGCGCGTTACCGTGGAAACCGCCTCCCAGCACCATTGCCTCCCCGCCCCCCGCGCGCGGCCGCCAAGCCGCCACCTGCGCAGGCGCCCTGCCGGGGCGCGCCCCTGCCCCTGGGTGGTGGACCCCGAGGCGAGGACGCGCGAGGCCTATGAGGTTTTTCCTCTCCAGATACGACGCCGTCCTCCCCCAGCCCAGCCGGGACACGATCCTCCTATACCTGTTGATAAGAGAATCGCTCCTGTTCCTCGGCCCCCTCTTCCTCCTCCTCCATCACAGCGAAGACCCAGGCAGGCGCGCGAGTGCGTAAGGAGGACGACCCTACGGGGCAGTCAGATTTTCCCGCCACGGCACCCGGCGACGGGCCGCGCGGAGGGACAAAGCGCGAAGCTCCACTCTGCCTCGAGCGCGCCCCCTGGCGGCCGCTCTGGGAAGGGCCCTTCGCGGTTGGTGGGCTCAGGCTGGTCCAGTGCTTCGTTGGGTGCGGGAGCTGGGCCGCCGAGGCCCAGCTCCCTGTAGACACCTAGACTCAGCTCGGTCCTGGCCTAGCGGTTCACCAGCGCTGGGAAAGAATGCGTGTGTGTGTGTGTGTGTGTAGGGACAGCAGTGTCCTGCCCCATTCCTTACTGTACCTTCCATACAACTCTATAGCTCCAATTTGCAGTGTGCCTTGCAAAATCTACTGTGAGTTTTTATCCATCTGCCACCAACAATAGTGTCACAAAGTCAGACCACAGATAAATGCATGGTTACTATCCAGTTCAGTGAATACGTTGTTCAGCTCACGTCGTTACCATTGACAAAGGAGTATAGTTTTGATACAAACGTTGACTGATTTTCCTTTATGTTTACGTAAAACAATGAAACCTAGCCTTGGATTTTCACTGCTTCCAAACTTTCTTTGGTTATTTCCCACGTTCCCAACATCACTCTTTTGGGGCTTCTCTCCTTTCCCAATGACATGAGCAAGGGACTTCTTTGCTGAATCAAATAATAGTGTTCAAGTACTGGAACAATTCTCAATGTTTTGTGTTATTCACAATGTAAAGACTCCAGACAAGGCACACATTCAGGTCTAACCTGCATAATTAACAGTTTCCCCATCACTTCCTTAGGTAGACAGTCAACAACAAATCAAACTGATTTGTAGCACTTGCCCATTTCCATGGTGTAAGTATTCCCATCATTGCCAGTTTCAAACTACCACTGTGGAGTCATGGAACTCAGAACTGGGAAGAGATGCTGCATCATGTTTGAGATGTGATGGCTGTAAATAATGTCAAGATCATAGATAGAAGAAGAATGTACAATGTAGTGCCGTAAGTGATGAGTTTTGACTTTTCATCACATTTGTGTTTTTTTTTAAGTTGTTTAAACCTTCATCCAAGGATATGTTTATTGATTTTTATTTTTAAAAAAATTTATTTATTTATTCTTAGAGAGAGGGGAAGGGAGAGAGAGAAACATCAACCTGTGGTTGCCTCTCTCGCGCCCTCTGCTTGGGACCTGGCCCTCAACCCAGGCATGTGCCCTGACTGGGAATCAAACTGGCTACCCTTTGCTTCGCAGGCTGGCACTCAATCCACTGAGCCACAGCAGCCAGGGCTGTTTATTTATTTTTAGAGAAGGGAGAAATGTGAGAGAGAAACAGCTATTTGTTGCCTCCCGTATGCACCCAAACTGGGGATTGAACTCATAACCTTTTGCCGTACAGGACAACACTCCAACCAACTGAGCCACCCTGCCAGGGCTCAGTATTTATGTTTGTGCTTATTTGGAAGAATACACAGCCAGCCTCCCCTCTTACTCAGTCTGTGGAGAAAGGGCTAGATGAAAAAGAGTGAGAAACTGCAGATGAGGAATCATTCAAGGTTTCCTTAAGATGCCTCAGCTGGCAACTGCCTGGCTGAGTCCCAAGCGGTGGCAGCTGAGGAGGTAGGGATTCAATATACAAAGGGATTGGGGTTGATTATTCACATAACCCAAGGATTTTAATCTTCAAACCAATCTACAAAGGGTTCTTGGAAACACAAACTTCTAATGTATTTAAATTGCCAGTTTATAGAATGATGCTCTCCATGACATTAAGAGAAAACAGCTTGCAGACCAGTATGAACCAAATAATCTTTTGTTTGAGAAAAAAAGCATTTGGCCCTGGCTGGTGTGGCTCAGTGGATTGATTGAGTGCCAGCCTGCGAAGCAAAAAGTTGCTGGTCTGAACATGCCTGGGTTGTGGGCCAGTTCCCCAGTTGGGGGCGTGCGATAGGCAGATTGATAGATGTATCTCTCACACATTGATGTTTCTCTTCCTGCCTTTCTCCTTTCCTTCCCCTCTCTCTAAAAGTAAACAAATAAAATCTTTAAAAATAAAAAGAGAAAAAAATATGTGTATCTTTTGTGGGGGTGTGGGATATTTGAAAGGACTAGAAAAACAGCTGGAAGAATACCCGGCAGTTAATTTCTGAGCCCTGGGTCAACAAGGAGGCAGATAAGGGCTCTCAAATTTTTCACTCTCTAAATTCCTGCAGCCTGCATTTTTTAAACAAGCACGTATTTCTTTTATAATCGAAGGTAAGCATATAAGCCACTCTTCATCCTCGTTGTCCACTCAAGTGCCCCCACGCCCCCAAAGCCTGCAGAGGTCTGAGAACAGAGGACCTCTCTCTGCAGGAATCGGTCTCCCCATCTGCGTCTGAGAGACAGGCGCCCCAGCCTCTGGTCCCCACTGCTCCCTGGCGGAATCCCAGCCTCCAGTCTCCCGGGCCGGTTCTCAGGGCCGCGCCGCACAGACCTCTGTCAGAATTTCCCCGCTCTGCTGCCCCTGCCTTAGCAGGCCCACTCTGCCCTCCTGCAGCTGCCCTGCTCCCTAGCAGCTGTCTGATGGGCTCCGGGGGCAAGCTGGGGGGCGGGGGCGGGGAGAAGGTGGGGGAGGGTGGTGAGGAGCTCCAGCGCTGGGGCCGGACCTTGGGGTCAGAGCTCAGCCTCTCTCACAAGCTTTGTGACCCTGAGCAAGTCTCAGAGCCTCACAGTCCCCTCATTCATAGAGTGAGGATCATAGTACCAACCTGACGGAGAGGTGACGAGGTTTAAATGTGAGGTTTAGCCCTGGCCACGAGCTCAGTGGGTTGGAGTGTTGTCCTGTACCCCCAAAAAGGTTGCGGATTCAATGCTCAGTCCGGGCACATGCCTAGGTTGCAGATCCAATCCCCAGTGGGGGCATGTACCGGAGGCAACTGATCGATGCTTCCCTCTCACATTGATGTTTCTCTCTCTCTCTCTCTCTCTCTCTCTCTCTCTCTCTCTCCCCCTCCCCCCTTCTCTCTCAAATCAATAAACACATTCTCTGGTGAAGGTTAATAAATGTGAGGTTTAAATTACTCACATAAGTGCTCAAGAAATAGTAGCAAGTATTTCCCAGGCCGTTTTTATGCTCTGTGCTTTGCATATTATCTCATTTTAAAGCAGCTGCTTCCCAGGGCAAAAGAACATTATTCTAGTGAGACTTGTGAAATATCCAGAGTCCAAAGAAAAAGGCCTAGGGCTGAGATACTGCATTAACGAAAAGAAGTTTATTTGGTTGGAATTTCTCGTGGATGAAGAGCGAGCTATGCACATTGGCCACTAGATGTCAGCACTGAGCCACACCGCAAAACAAGGCGGGTTCCCCACTGGTGATGACTTGCTCTGGCTTTGTTCCAGGGGCCCATGTTTTATCTCAGCTGCCCTCAGGGGAAGGTGCGGTTGCCTCTGTTTACGTGTAAGGAAGCAGGGTCACAGAGGTGATAGAAACTGCTCGCGGTGAAACTGCTCGGAAGTGGTAGAGCCCAGATTTGATCCTGAGCAGTCTAGCTTCTGAGTCTCTGCTCTCGCCATAAATGAGACAAGGACATTTGCAGGCTTCCTCCTTGGCCGTATTCAACAGGGCACAGTCAACATTTAGTTTGTAGCAGTCACCATTTATTTCCTCTAAAACTGCACTGTAAAAATGCTGATTCAAAAACCAGTCTCCGTTAGCTGTTGTGTGCATTGTACAAGCTCCTGTGGCCGGGGCCCTTGCCTTCTCTCTCTCCACTGGACAATCGGTATCCAACACAGCACTTGACACACAGTAGGCACACGATCAAGATGCTGAAGAGTAACTGAATCGCACACGTCAAACGGTACGGTAGTCTATTGATTAAGTGCATGGACTCTGGCACCAGACGGCCAGGGTTCAAATGCCAGTTCTTCTTCAGGAGCTATGTGACCTTGGACGAGTTACTGATCAGCCATGTGCTTCATGTGTACATCTGGGATAACGATAGCACCTACTTCAGAGGGTGTTGTCTTAAGGAAGTTAAGTTAGAATGGGGTCTGGCGGCCCTGACCAGTGCGGCTCAGCTGGTTGGGCATCACCCTACAGAGTGAAGGGTCGTCAGTTTGATTCCCAGTCGGGGCACATATCTGGGTTGCAGGTCTGGTCCCTGGTTGGGGCACATATGAGAGGCCACCAACTGCTATTTCTGTCTCTCTCTCTCTACTTCCCTTCCTCTCTCTCTCAAAATAAATAAATAAAATCTTTAAAAAAACAGCATAATATCTAGCATACACACTGAGAGCTACTATAATCTTTTTTATTTTTTAAGATTTTATTATTTTTAGAGGTGAAGGGAGAGAGAGAAACACCAATGTGTGATTACCTCTCACACCCCCTCCACTGGGGACCTGGCCCACAACCCAGGCGTGTGCCCTGGCTAGGAATCGAACCAGTGACCCCTTGCTTCGCAGCCTGGCACTCAATCCACTGAGCCACACCAGCCAGGGCTAAGAGCTACTATATTCTTAAAAATGCTGTTTATACTGTATGAAACCCTCAGGAAAACCCTTAAATAGACCCAGGGTTCCCAACTTCCCCATGTAACAAATTACCCTTTTTGAGGGAAGCACATGTGGCAAGTCATCTTTAAAAAAAACAAAACACACACAAAAAATTACCTCCTGACCCCCTCACTCACCTATCTAGAACCTTCCCATTCTGCCATCAAGTAGTAGAGTCTAGCCCTCCACCCCTTGAATGTGGGGGGCTTATGGCTCGCTCCTGAGATATCGCCGCTGAAGCGATGCTGTGTGACACCCATGGCGAGGTCCTAAAAGGTACTGGTGTGTCCACCTCCTTCGCTGGAACACCCACCTGCGGGGCCCTGAGCCACCAGGTTGGAAGTCTGCTGAGCCTGAGGCCGCCGTGCGCTGAGGTAGCCCAAGGCCACATGGTGAGGCCACTTGTACCTTTCCCAGCTGATGGTCCTAACTGAGGCCCCAGCCAACAGCCAGCATGAACTGCCAGACGAGTTAAGAAGATGGACACCTCCGAGTGATCGCAGCCGAGGGGTTGCCCCGACTTTCAGGTCTCCCCACTGAGGCCCAGACATTGCGGAGCAGAGACAAGCTGTCTCCCCAACCCCCCGCCATCCCAAATTCCTAACCCACAGAATCAGGAGAGTAAAATGGTGATTATATACTCCACTGAGTTCAGTCATGTGCTGTACAGTAGTAACTGGAACAGCAAATACAATTACTAGACAGTGAACGTACAAATACTAACACATACACTGAACACAGTACACAGCTACATGCCACTTAGCAACAGTGATACATTTTGAGAAATGTGTCGTTGGGCGATTTCGTCATGTGAACATCACAGAGGCACTTACACAAACCTGGACGGCACAGCCTGCCACACATCGAGGCGGTTACGTGGTGTGCCGCCGACGTGCGTCGCCTGTCACTGACCTAAACATCGTCATTACGCGGTACGTACATATTCTGAAAGTCCATTTCTCTTAAAAAAGGTGAACTCCCTGCCTGCCCCACAGAATGTGTAACACCTGCAGGTCCCCTGCCTAAAGTCTCTTTGCTGAGAAACCCTGTCTGTTCTCTTGTCTGATCCACATCTTCGTAGCAAACTCTGTTGTATCCTGAATAAAGCAGGAAGAAGTGGCTGAAGTCACAAAGCACACAATCCCTGTGGTGGAGGGCCTTTGCTAGGATAGCCACCAGCCTGTCCCTGCGCAGTTACGCTGGCCAGGACCGGCGTGGCAGGGGGCAGGACGCCTCTCTGTCCACCTCCATCTACTTCCAGAATCGTTCGGCTACTACCTCTCCTTTAGCAGAAGGTAGGTGAGAAAGAGCAAACCCTAAAAGGTAGTCACGATGCAGCAGGTGCTACTTTAACCCTCCAAGCGGCTCTGTGAGATGGATGTTAGCACGAGGGGAACGCGTGAAGTGACGGTGAACTAGGGGTGGCGCCGAGCTGCGGGCCCAGGCGGATCGGCCGCAGAGCCCGGCTCCCAACCAGGAGGCCTGGCCGCCTTTACAGAGCTAGCGAGGGGCTGTCTGTGGATGTGGTTTTCGAGTAAGTCGTGGCAGGTAAAATTCAAAGACATGCAGGCGTCTATAGAAAAGAAAGGGGCCCTGCCAAGGACCTAGCTAGGCTCATATTAACAGTAAAAATAGCTTTTATTTATTAACTTTTTTTCATTTTTGAGAGAGAGGAAGAGAAACATCAATTTGTGGTTCCACTTATTGACGCATTGGTTGATTCTTGCATGTGCCCAGACTGGGGACGGAACCCACAACCCTGGCGTATCAGCATGACACTCTAACCAGCTGAGCCAGCTACCTGGCCAGGGCTGTTTCCATTCGTTATGCTCTACCGTGGGTCAGATACTGTGCAAAGCACTTTAGATAACTTCATTTATCGTCACAATAACCTAAGGAAGTTGTTCTTAACCCCGTGTTACAGATGAAGAAATGGAAACTCAGCGGACTTGAATAACTTGCCCAAGGGGCCATGCTGGAAGACAGTAGAGTTAGGGCTTGAACTCCGCCGTCTTCACGCTAGGATAAGCATCCACGCTCCCTGCCATGGCGGGACAGCCGGCAGCCTGGCTCCGCTGCGAGCCTGTTGGAACACGGGGGGTGTGGCCGGCCCCAGGCCCATTGGATCGGAATCCACGTTCCGCCAGCTCCCCTGGGAGAGAGGGAGGGCAGGAAGGAGGGAGGGAGGGGGGCATCTGGCCTGATTAGCTGTGCTGGCCCCCAGACCCTCCTCTGTCTTACCCCTCAGCTACCGAGCAGCACACAGGAGCCCCCGGGGACCTCCCGAGGTGGCTTGTAAAGAAGGCCCTGCTGGCTGCTGCCAAGTGACATCTGGTTCCTGAAAGTCAGAAAAACCACAGCTTCAGGGACAGGCATACCTGAAGTGGCCATGCTAATAACTGCCACTTGAATAGGCGCTTATCGTGTGCCAATCTCTGCTCTAGTTTTATTGGGTGAATCCTCAAACTAGCCTTAAAGAGGCAGGTACCATTATTATCCCCTGTTACAAATGAGAAAATGGAGACCAGCGGTAGCAAACAATTTGCCCAAAGTCATATAGCTTGTAAGTATGAAGGACTTGGATTTGAACCCAGTCCACCATTCACAGCCTCTGGAGGGGAAAGCAGGGGCTGAAGTTCTGGTTCTGCCAGATCATTAGGTCTTTTGACATCTAGCCTCCCATTTCTACAGTTTCTCTTGGAAGGAGCCCGCTCTCTATTCTGGAAGCACCTGTGAGCTGCAAAGCACGAGGTCAATAGACAAACCTTTGAGAAAAACTGTTTCAGAGTTCACGACCCTAAAAAGGAATCCCGAGTCACGAGCCACGACTCAGTGCCTCTTCTACTTGCAGGTAGGCATGGGAGGTGGCGACAGGGGCAGGTCTAAGTGTTCAAGTCCAGGTTAAGACATGAACAATCTGATCATTTATTGAAATGGACTGTCTCCCAGGTCAGCTTCCCTGCCCCTGCATTCTTCTGAAAGAGGCAAGAGGTCAGAGTAGAGGCACTAGCTGTTGAAACACGGATGTTGGCTCTGTTCTCTGGCCTCCTCCAGGACTTTCTGAAGCCCTGCAGGGAGCCTTCCGAAGTCAAGCTGCAACAGAAAATCCATCCCATGGGCACCAGCCACACAACAGGCCAGTCCGTGTGCAGTCCACCCTCTAAGACGAAGGGAACAGGTCCGATTCCAGTAGCATGCTTAGGTCGCTAAAAATCCTACCCCAGATCCAGGGGCCTGGTTAAGAGACAGACAGACAGACAGAGAGGCAGGCATGGGCGAGGGGCTGAACCAGGCCAAGCCGAGTCCATCATTTAAGGGTAATACTCTAAAGTGTTTACGACAAAGCAACTGACATAAAAAAAGCGGCATAAAGAATGGTACCGTAGCCCTGGCTGGTGTGGCTCAGCAGATTGAGTGCCAGGCTGCAAAAGGTCACCAGTTCGATTCCCAGTCAGGGCACATGCCTGGGCTGCAGGCCAGATCCCCAGTAGGGGGCATGTGAGAGGCAACCACACATTGATGTTTCTTTCCCTCTCTTTCTCCCTCCCTGCCTTCCTTTCTAAAGATAAATAAATAATACCTCTAAAAAAAAAAATGATACTGATACCATGAACATCCAGACACCTATTGCTCAAGGAAAGAAAAACAATACATTCAAGCCTCCTGTTTGCTCACTCCCTGCCACCCCTCACCCTTTCTTGCAGTTAATTGTTCTTCTTCAATAGGAGCTTTAATAGTTCTTGGCTTCTTCTGGAACCTTCTTTTTCTTTCTTTTTTAAGAAAACAAAGAGGAAACAGTAAGGCTGGAAAGAAGCAAACCGGATTGAAATGTCACGTGCAAGTAGGCCGCTGCTCAGAGCGGCGGAGGTGAGGAAATCCGAGTCTGGAGAGAAGCTGAAATACACTGTAGCTTTTATTAAGGAGAGGAAAAGGGAATCGGGCTGCATGAGACAAAGGATCCAGTCTGAAGAGATTCCATAAGACCCCTTCCCTTCTCTGTGATCGCTCTATCAAGGCGAACTCAGGGGGCCTCCCTGATCCGTGGGGACCTGTGGACAGTGACAGCTTCAAGGAGCTGGCTCCTCCTACGAAGCACGTGACAATCCCCCGTCAGTCCCGGGAGGCAAGGGCAGGGGGCGGGACGGCTCTCACAGAACTGCTCCCCAAGGGAGCTCGGGGTGACTTTCAGGAGCCTCTTACGATACTATTTTAAAAGATCTGTGCAGCAAGTAGGGCAAAGGGCCGCGTAAGCAGTGTTGTGTGGTAAATGGAATGTCTATGGAATCGCGGGGGGTGACCCAGGTCTAGTTAGGCGTTGTACGAGGATGACGACACGCTGCCCCCGTGGCCTGTCCAGTTGGTGTGGATAAACTTTCCGGGCTTGGCTAAGAGTTCATAGGTGTGAGCCCCGAAGTAATCCCGCTGAGCCTGGAAAACGAGAGGCGAGGCTGGTCAGGACGACACGCAGGCGCCTGGCCCGGCTCACCGTTGCCCCCTCCGCCCGAAACTCACCTGGATCAGGTTGGCCGGCAGCATGTCGTGCCTGTAGCCATCGTAGAAGGAAAGGGCGGTGGTGAAGCAGGGCATAGGGATGCCCGCCTGCACCCCCGTGCTGACTGCCCGCCGCCAGGAGTCCTGCACGGAAAACAAAGCCCACAGAGCGGTGAGCGGTCCTTCCGCCAGGCGCCCCGGGCGAAGCCCAGGGACAGAAGCCCGCACCCCGCTCTGGCCACCTACCTGGCAATTTTCAACGGCTGACTTAAAGAAGTCATCCAGCAGTAGGTTCTGCAGTCCTGGGTTTCGATCGAATGCATCTTTTATCTTTCCTAGGAATACGCTGAAATAATCGAGAGGGAAGAAGTCAATGAACCTTAACCACATATAGCAGGCTGACCGCGGGTAGGAAGCAGGGGAGGAAGCGGGATGCCGATGTAGGTGCTAGAGGGCGGGAAGGTGCGTTTCTCAGCCCTGAGAGCCAGCTGTGTGCTCCCTACAAGTGCAGAGCGGCAGCCCCAACGGCAAGGCCAGAGGGCAGGAGCGCTCCCAGAGGCACTTTGGAAAGCATAGTGTTTGCTTAGTGCAGGCAACCTAGCGGGCTGGCCGAAAGTTCATTTAGTTTTTTCTGTACCTTGTCCTTAGTTGTCTTTACCTTCATTTGAAACAATTCTGTTAGACTGTATTGTGACAGCTGTCATAGCACGTGCACTTAAAAAAAAACGCACCAAAACTGGCGAATTTTTTGTGCAGCCACGTTAATATTGAAGATGGAAGAAAATATGGAACATCTTTGGCATATTATGCTTTACTATTTCAAGAAAGGTAAAAATGAAACTGAAATGCAAAGAAAGATTTGTGTTGTGTATGGAGAAGGTGCTGTGACTGATGGAACGTGTCAGAAGTGCTTTGCGAAGTTTGTTGGTCCTACTGACATTTTGGCCGAATCTTTGCTGTGGGGCTGCCTTATGCACTGGAAGGTGTTCAGCTGCACCCCTGGCCTCGCCCCACTAGACGTGATAGCAGAGATGGCCGACACACTCAAAATATCCAAAGCAATAAAGTTACTGGTGAAAATGAAAAATGTGTTTTCTATTTTACAGAAAAAACTAAACAGACTTTTAGGCCAACCCGACAGTTCGAACAACTGCTGTACAGGAAGACTGGGACGTGACTGTCTACACCGGTCTCTGGGCCACGTACCCAGGAGAGGACGAAGGGCACCGGCTGCAGCGACCCGGGGCGCAGTGCCCTCAGACCTCCATTCTCCGGCCCGGCAGCCCAGCCGGCACCCCCCATCACATACCTTCTGATGATGCAGCCGCCCCGCCACATCAAGGCAATGCCACCATAGTTGAGGGTCCAGCCAAATTCAGTGGCTGCCTGTCTCAGGAGCATGAAGCCTTGCGCGTAAGAGATGATCTTGGACGCGTAGAGGGCCTGGAGGGTGGCACAAAGTTGGATGAGAGCTGCGGTCAGCAAAGTGACCCCTGGCGCCTGCTAGCCTTGCCACGGGGCAGCGCAGACCCCGCAAGGACAAGGGGGTGGGACAAGGCTGCACGTGAGACCACCGGAAGCCGCACTTGATTCCACCTCCACCCTGTGGACTCGTCTCTTCTCCTGAAACAGCCCCGCCCCCACTGCCTTCCCAGGGACAGGCCCCACCTTGCGAATGTCCTCCAGGAATGATTTCTTATCGCCTTTAAACTGGGTCTTCTGAGGCCCCTTCAGCTTTTTGCTAGCCTGGATCCTCTCGTCTTTCAGCGATGACAAGCATCGGGCAAAGACGGCTTCTCCTACGGGGGCACGGGCAGGGGGGATAACATTTTACCAAAGTTCACACGTCAACCCAGAGGAAAAAGAGGACACACAAGCTGGAGAGGATGAGGGAAAACAGAAACGGAGCAAGACTTCCAGCTGTTCCAAGAGTGCAAAGTCTCAACCTTTTGCCGTAAAATTTCACCTGGATCAAAAAGAACTTTTATAAAAAGCTCTACACAGTTAACTCGATAACTAGGCCTCCAAGTCAATTTTCCAACAGATACAGGTATCCAACCATGAATATCAACATGAAATTCAAAGGGGAGTTTTCAGGGAAAAATAAAGTTGTAAAACCACTATTATCCAGACTTACTCGGTGTTGATCCATGAGTGAAATTTCAATTTTAATTGCAAGGACTTCGATTTTTAAATGCTCACCAAGGACTCGATGTCTTTCCTTTTGAAGCACCACCCGGGCGAAGTGACGGTGTCACGGGGAAGCAACGCCTACAGCCTCACCCTCAGGAGCCTCCATTCGCGGAGCCCCCGATGGGCAGGCCCCGGCGCGGCCCGGACCCCCGCAGAAGGCGGCTATCACAACAAAGTGAGCCGCCCTCTCTTTGCTGGTGCAGGGGCGGGCCTCCCGCTTGTAAAAAATGCACCATCTGGAGCGCTGCAGGATGAGGTGCCTCCAGCTTAGTGGTCAGCGTGTCCATAGGCACCGCCAAATGGACACAGTGCTACCTCATTGGAATGAGAAGCACCTCAAAGGAGTATCTGAGTGCTAAGATATCCAGAATCTTGCAGCATCATCCCTTAGAAAAGGCACTCGCTCGACTGACAATTTGTACTATAACCAGAATGAAGCTGGTGCCTCTGCCCTTGCTGGTCACCCCAGCCGCGCACACACACGATGACTTAGCATTTGCGGGCGGAAGCTTGGTAAGAGCTGACGCAAGGAGGCGAGCATGGCGCAACCGGCTTAGCCGCAGGGCTGGCTTCCCCACCAGCTCTGCAGACAAAAGGGCTCCACCACCCAGGGCGGGGACCTAGCCTGCCTTCCACTGGCAGTAAGGGTGCAGCCTCTAAAATGAGAGTAAAATTCTGTTGGAGACTAATACTCATATTTGAGTCAGCAATAAGTAAACTGCTCCCAGCTACTGGCCCCTTGGTCCCCACCTACGGTGTCACTCAGATTAGCTAAAAAGCACCCACCTCCCTTCTGTATGGAGCGGGACCAAGCCACCTCCTCCCTCCTGAACTGGGGGCCTTCCCAGCACCCGGTTCAAGGGGCACAGGAGGAAATCTAAAGGGGGCAGGAGGCGGGCTGGGAAGGCAGCCGCCTCTGGGAGAACAAGAAGTTCTGCTTTACCCCAGAGGGAGCCGTCTGCGGGAGCAGAGGTGCGTGAAGCCCGCGAGGCGCCTTTTCTCATTCTCCGTTTTCAATCTGCCAGAAGCCTATCTGTTCTATTTTAAAGAAACTACTTGTACTTTTGTTAGTCCTTTTATGATCTGTTGTTTATTTCTGCTTTAGGATTTCCTTCTCAGTACATCTTTCTGAGTTTGCGCTTTGCTGTTAATATAAGATAAACAACATGGACGGGAAGGGAACACACTCACTCCAAGGCAGTTTTTTCCCAAAAGAAGAGGAAGCAACTTAGGAAAAGAATATTAAGGGACTTGAAAAGTACAGGTAATATTTTAATTTTTAAATATTTGGGAGGAAAACCTCAGCAAAAAATAATAAATGCCGAGTATATAAACTGATGCTACTCTGGGAACTTCTGCAAGAAAGACTGTAGTTCTTTTGCCCATTAAGAAGATTCAGCCCTGGCTGGTGCGGCTCTGTGGACTGAGAGGCGGCCTGTGCACCGACAGGTCGCCCGTTCTCTTCCCAGGCAGCGCACAGGCCTGGGTTGTGGGCCAGGCTCCCAGTTGGGGGTGTATGGGAGGCAACCATGTATCTCTCACATGTTGATGTTTCTCTCCTTCTCCTTCTCCCTCCCTTCCCCTCTCTCTTAAAAAAAGTGAATAAATAAAATCTTTAAAAAAAACGATTTTGGTCACTGACTATATTTAAATCATCAAAACTATCCCGAAGATAAAATTGGGTATGAAATACAGAAGCTTCTGAATTTATCCCAAGGCTCCTACGATTGGGAAGAGGATCACAAAGAAGAGACTGAAAGCAGTTCCGGCCTCCCCAACACCGGCTTCATGCGCGAAGAGCAGCAGGTCCCCTGAAAGCTGGCGGGGACTGGCCAGACCTAACACAGGACCCGGCTCTCAGGAGCCAGCCCCCCCCCCGCTGTCCCCCAGGACAGTGAGCTCAGAACGGAGCGCGAGGGCCCGGGAAACGCCCCATTACCGATGAGGGTGACGGGCACGCCGTACTCCAAGGCCGAGATGGCGGTCCACTTCCCCGTGCCCTTCTGCCCCGCGCTGTCCCGGATCTTGGGCAGCAGGGGGGTGCCGTCGCTGTCTTGGAACTTGAGGATATTGGCCGTGATTTCAATCAGGAACGAGTCTAGCTCGGTCTTATTCCAGTCCTCAAATGCCTACGTGCAGGACGAGAGACAAGGGTTCGTTTAGGCAGGGGACGCTCCATGGACGGACTCAGGCTTCTCCTCGGCCCAGGTCGACGCGCACAGGGGGCTCCGCAAGCGAGGCTGGCAGGCCCTTCTCCCTGCCCCGCGCGGCCGCGGCCCCTGCTCCCGGCCGCCGCGGTTGCCACTTTCTGACCCGGCTGTGCCTCCTCTCTGACCACGACTGCTCTCCCCACACCACCACGCCCCGCCCCTCGCGTGGAGGGCGTCTGCACGTGTCCCCTCCTCAGACGCCTTCCTTGACTGCCCAGTCTAGATCTGCCTCCTACACCAGTGTGCCGTTCTTTAGAACAGCGCTCGCTCACTAGCTACCACTCTGGCTTTAACCTTTGCTGTCTGTCTTCCCGCCTCCATGAGGGCAGGGGCTTCGTTCTGTTTTCAACTATTGTACCTCCAACATTCAGAACAGTGCCTAGCACACATTAAAGCACTCGTATACATGTATTGAATGAATACACTAAATATCATGTAAACCAATTAAATATGAACGCGCACCAAAAAAGCGCTGCTTCTATGAAAGCTAAGTCAGCCCTGGCCCAGTAGCTCAGTCGGATAGAGCCTCGTCCCAAGTCACCAAGGTGTGATCCCCGGTCAGGGCTCAGAGGAATGCATACATAAGCGAAATAACCAATCGATGTTTCTCTAAAATAAACTTTAAAATAATAATAAATGAATGAAAAGAAAACTAAATTGTCTTGGAAAGAAGAGCAAGGGCACGTCAGTGAAACAACATAAGCGGGGATGACACAAATTTAAAAATTAGAAAAATATGTCTTTAAATCATGTTCCACTTGAAATAACTGAAACTAGAAATTCTAGGTGAAAGGAAGGACAGCCAGAGGTCTCATCAGAGGAACTGAAAGGAAAAGGCCCCATCGGCGAACCAACGGCCAGGGTTGGCGAAGTGCAGCGAGGTGCTAGCGGCCGAATCTGCGAGCCTGTGTGACCGCTCCCCGTCGCCTTCCTCCCCTCGGCTGCGTGCGAACATTTCCGTAACAGGATGGCGGGGGACAGGCTGTCAGATGCCAGTCCCGACCGGGTCGGAAAAGGAGGCTTCCCTGCACCTCCCACACGGGACCACGTTGAGGTCCGATGAGACACGCCTGGGAAGCGCGGTGCCCAACACACAGGACGGGTCACGCAGCGGTGGGAACGGCTGGCTCAGCGACCGGCTGTCATATCTGACAGTCCTGCACCTGACGGCTTGCTTCCCTTGAATTAGGCCGAGCCCACCAGAGCAACCGAAGGAAAAAGAACGAGGCGGGCTTCACTGTGACCGCGGGGGCAGGGCCCTCACCCACCTGCGCCATCTCCTTGTGCTCCATGCCCAGGATGTCCTTCATCAGGTGGTAGGCCTCGCAGATCAGCTGCATGTCCCCGTACTCGATCCCGTTGTGCACCATCTTCACAAAGTGTCCTGCTCCCTCCTCTCCCACCTGTCAGAGCCGCAAGCGCCCAGGGGCCCGTCAGAGAGCAGAGAACGCACCAGAAAAGCTGCATCGAATTCTTCACCGAGGCTCCCACCCCACAGAGAAAACAGCAAGTGCGAGGCAAATAGTGATAGCATTTTAAAATAATACTCAATCTATAAAAATTCAATGCAAGCTTCAATCCAGTCCAGCGTTTCTGTAAACTAATTCCAAATTCATTCCTCTAAAGAGTTTGCAAAGCCCCTCAATTCACTAAAAGCCCCTAAAACTCATCAGCCTACATTTCTGTTCTTTCTCATTGTTATTAAAAGCAACTCCCCACTCCCAGCCCCCACTCACTTGCTGGGGGGAAGGTCCCACTCTTCTAGCAATTGGAAGCGACAACAAGTTGGCTAAGTAAATCACTGTACTCTTGAAAAAGATGTACACATACTGTAGTTGTTCCTAACGGCTGCTGAGAGACAAAAAGGCCCTTCGGTCCCAGGTCTGGCCCACAGCCTCATAAAAGCACAGAACTGTGTTCTCGCTGGAGCCTCAGAGTTGACAAGACACCAACTTTATAGGAGAGCTGCCAAGGCATATATGGTCGCAGTGCAGTTTACGAACTCATGAGGAGACATTTCACTACGGACCTTGGTGGTCACACCTGTCAGTCCAGCCAACACATTCTGTCCCTGTGCATGCTACGTGGGAAGCCACGTTATCTGAAAGCTGTCTGGAGGGCAAGGCATCAGAACAGGGCGGGCAACAGGGGTCAAATAGTTAACGGCAGCCAACCCGCAGCCCCGTGCGCCCCTCTCCGCGCTGGCGGCACCGGCCAGCGGCCCAGCTGTTTGGGGCTCTGCGCTGGCCGTCACTGCTTCTGGTGTGGACACCGCGGGGACAGCCGCATCGGAAGCTTCCTTTATTGGTTTCCACTGCTCACTTACTCCCTCTGGTTTTGACACTTTCTGGGACCATGAGGTAACACGGCTAATGACATCTTACTTCACTTCATCCTTCCTCTCACTCCAAAAATGAACTAAAAAATAAAAATAAAAAAAGGAACTAGAGTCCCCGCTTTTTGTGTGGATACCAGCGTCTTCGATACCCTGAGACTAAGCCATGGAGCTGTGGAAAGGCAACCCGACTTAATCAAGATACATAAGGGCACGTACTGTTCTTTTCTTCCCAATTTCGTCCTAAGTGCATCTAAAAAGCAGCTGCTGTGCTTTTATTGTCAGGGAATGAAAGCTCCCTCCCCAAACCTTCACACTAAAGAGGAAATGAGCCAACGCTGTAAATCACAGCCCTGGCCTCCCCCTACCCCTACGCGGCACGATTCAGGTCAGAGGCCACCGGCCGAGGTGCAGGACCAGTTGCGCCGCTAGAGCCACAGGCGCCAGGCCCTGCGAGGCCCAGGAGCCTCAGAGGCTGCGGTCCCTCGCTCCTCGCGCACACGCCTCAGTCCGTGTTTCACCCCTGCCTCCCGTCGCATGTAAAATGGATCTAATAGAATAAAATAGCATCGCGCAGCGCTGATACACAACGAACGGCGATTAGGAGCTGAAGAGATCTTGGAGCGTGTCCAGTCCAATCCTGTACTGTACAGGTGAGAAAACGACAGTCCACGTAGGGAAGGCGGCTCGCCTCCCATTGCCTGGTCAGTTCAGGGAGAGCCAGAATTACCGCCTGGGCCTCCCAAGCCTCGTGAGGCTGCAGGAAGGGACACCATTTATCTCAATAGCATGACAAAGCACAGGAAGGAGAGGTGCACGTGACGAGCCCCGGCCACTGTGCATTCGGGCCAGAGGGCTGCCACGAGCACAGAGCACCACCGAGGTGCGCAAGCCCCACTTTTGGTTTTGACATTCTTTCCTCAGTCACAAAGAAACATGGCGAAAAAATCTTACTTCACCTCCTCCTTCCTGTTCCCCTTTAAGGAACCCGTCTTTCGGGTGATTTGAGGGGGGCTGCTTTTAGAATCAACCTCGAGATTATGAATATGCCATTCAGATATAAGGACGTGGGCAACAGGCACGCATTTTAGACCCCAGCTGTACTAGCGACTTAAAGATTGAGAAGCTTTTTGCCACAAAGCCACCCGCTGGGACCCAGGGGGCCCTGCGCCCTTGGCCACCATCGTGTCACGCTGCCGCCTGGCTGGAGGGGGCCCAGCACTTGCCCAGTCACAGCAGGGCTCTCCGGTTCCTACTTTCGCAGCGATGCCCTGGAAGATCGTCTTGATGTGGGGCCTGCGGAAAGAGGGCACATGGGTCAGCCGCTGAGGAAACAGGCCGAGACCTCCCTGAATACTCAAGGACACCTCCCCAACCCCAATTTTCTCTCTAAGCTTTGAGAAGACCGGCAAAAAGTGGGGCGCATCGTGAAAGCCCCGGAGGCTGCAGCCCCAACAGCAGCCCCAGGAGCGCTGCTTCGAGGCCCCGTGTCATCAGTCAGGCTGCACGGCGCAGGCCCAGCGCCACTGCGCAGGGGACCGGGCGGCAGGGCCGAGGGCGGCTGCTCGGCTCGCCCCCACGGCGCCCCCAGGAGGCCCTAACAACTCCCGACGCCCTGTCCTCCTCCTCCCCGGTGACCAGCAGAGCCTCCCACACTAAGTTTTTGGGAAAGACACAAAAATCTGACAGGGTTGTAAAGTCAACACTTAGGATGGGGAAGCTAAGACAGCAACACCCTACACCTTAGAACTTCACGCATCTTTTACTGAGTGTTTCAGGTAAAAGTGCCACTTCCATCCCCCATGAGACTATGTGAGAAAGTGCATGATGGGCAATTCAGCCCCTTTGCTGGTCAAATATTTTCACATGTATTGTCTGCATTTCCAAAAGCCACTGGGCAAGTACCCCTAGATAAGTACCTTTAAGCTTTTGAGAAGCAGGAAAGTCTTTACTTCTAGATTTATCATCCAGAAGCAAACCCTGAGACGCACTCATCGGAGAGGTAAGGTAAAGAATAACCTTCCCCAGTAAAGCCTTCGCCTTTGGGGGTCAGGTTTGAGCACTCCTTACGTTAATGTTTAATATAATTCGAGAGAACGTGGAAATCAAACTCATTCTAAAAAGAATACCGCCTTTCCACGTCTCCCTCAGAGGGACCCCTCCTTCTCTCCTCCTCTCTCCACCCGGCGCCCCTGTCCGGCTTCTTCTTTTCCTGCAGTCTCAGGCGCGGGCACAGCCAGCCTGTCATGAACAGCCAACTACTCGTGCCTCGTTCGGACTCTCTGTCCCGCTCGCGGCCCCCCCAACGCCTTGTACACCCCTTCCCTCCCATCCCCAGGGCACCTCCCCTCCTACGGCCAACGCTTCCTCTCATACACAGCACAGCGAACAGCATACAACTTGTTTTTCCCCAAATCAAATAAAACATCTCCACCCCATTCCCAGGGACAAAAGGGGCCTCAGAGGCCCCGCCAGATCTTTCCACCACTCACTATTATTAAACCAAGTTATTTTAGGGCCATACGTCAGTTAAAGAGGCAGACCGTGCTCCTAAAGCCAGACAGGGCACAGGATGTCCTCTGAACTGCTTCCTTAGAGCCTGTGACCCTTTCAGCCTACGTAGAACTGGCGGGATCAGCCTCGGCAGGAACAACACGAAGGAAAGGCAGAGGAAGAGTACGCACATACACTGAGTCAAAGCAACGGAACATACAGACGGGCACTTCCAGCATCTCCTGTGTCTGACACGCAGGCACCATGGCAGACACCACGCAGCTGAAGGGCCGGGGCTCACCCCTTCTCAAAGGCCAGGCTCCCTGCGCTGAAATGCGAGCGGCACAGTCGGCACTCACCAGGCTTCTTTGTTCCCTCCGGGCATAAGTGACGGGCCATACCGGGCCCCGTCCTCTCCACCGCTGACACCGCTCCCCACAAACAAGATTCCCTTGGCCTTGAGGTCTCGACATCGTCTCTACACGGGTGAAAAGTAACTCGTTACGCTACCATAAAGTAAGTTTCTCCCAGCGAATGAATGGAGGTATGACAGGCATGGAGATCCCACACTAGACCGGAAATGACCCAGGGACCCAAGGATAACCTGGTCATTAAAGAAATGGGATCCCCTCAGCCTGGAAGTTAAAAGGAAAATCCGCCCTGACCAGTGCGGCTCAGTTTGTTGGGTGTCATGCCACAAAGTGAAAGGTCGCCGGTTCGATTCCCAGTCAGGGCACGTGCCCGGGTTGCAGGCCTGGTCCCCAGTTGGGGTGCGTGCAAGAGGCAACTGACTGATGGTTCTCTCACACATCAATGTTTCTCTCCCTCTCGTTCCCCCTCCCTTTCCTTCTTTCTAAGAATCAATAAAATTAAAAAAAAAAAAGAAAAAAAAGAAAAAGAAAAATCCACGGAAGTTTAAGAATGCTGCTCTATCCCCAAAGACAGTAATAACGCCAATCAATCATACATTCTCATTTTCCCGGAAGAGACCTTGTTTAGACTTGGTCAAGAGTTGGTTTAGTGCAAGAGCAAAGCAACGTGTTGCGCTCAGCCCTGGAGGCCGTGCGGGGACTGCTCCCAGCACAAGAGCACTGGCACGCTGGTCCTCGACCACGTGACACGCTGCCAGGCCGCACCTCGGTGGGGGAGGCTCGGGGGGAGGCTGCCAACTCTCGGCCTGCTGTGTCTATGCGGAGTCATCCGAGCTTAGGAGATGGGCAAGAACGTCCTCCATCAAGTGTCTGAGCAGAAGCGAGGGCTGAGAACGACTGCACCAGCCCCCACGGTCTTCACCATGGAAGGCCAGCCCACTCCTGTCGCTTGTGCGACTCGTGCGACGCGAACCTTTTTTGCTGGAATGCTCTCAGAACCTGGGAGAAGTGGACTGAAGGACACTCACCGTGGTATCCCTGTACTCAGAATTTCCTCCATCAATGATGATGTCACCGGCGTCCAACAATGGCACCTGTAACCACACGCCGGCATTAGGAGACCAAGGACATCGAAGACAAAAATGGTAAAGCACATACCTTAGCCAACTCAAACAGGTTTTATCCCACATAAATCCCGCCTACAAGTATGTTATTATTTAATATTCAATATTCCCCTCTGTGGCTAGAGCTGGACCGTATGTAAACTGTTAGGGCTAGCGACCCAGACAGAACTCTCCACAGCTGAAATAATCCTTTGGAAGTGGCCTAAGACTTCACAGCAAACGGAACCTACTCGGACAGTTCTGTAATTCATTGTGAACCGTCCGCCTGGTTTCTATTCCCAACAGGCCTGGACGGGACCGCCTCCCTGTGGAGCGCTGACCGGCCAGCATTGCTGTTCGCTATCAGTCTCCCCCTTCAAGGCTGCAGTTAACGTCACAGAGCATTCTGCTCTGCTGAAGAACGATCTACCATGTTCCAGGCCATTCCGTCTACAGCCAATCATGGGCAGCTTGCTATGTCCTGTATCACAATGTTGTCCTTTCTAGGTCATTTTCTCCTAAAAATGGTAACACAGTGGTTACAGAGTCCTCCCCTGCAGAAACAGCCCGGTGTTGACACCGCCCCTCCGCAGAGGGAATGTCTGCCCCTGCCTTTGTTTATTGTCGCCGCATTTCTCCCAGGACACTTCTTCCAGATGGCCAATGCCTTGGTTTTCTCAGAGCTCTTCCTGCAGAATGGTTTTCCACTATCGCAAGAAATAACTTCCACAAGCTCCCTCCAGCCATGTGCTCCCCCCGCCCCGGAAAAGCACCCCGAGGCTGCGGGGCCCTGGCACAACGAGGTGGTCTCCACTCACCACGGGAGAGGAAATGCCTCCCAGGTAACGCAGGGCGCTCTTTCCCCAGGGGTATGCTGAAGGTGGGGGCCTTACAGGCATCCCAGAAACAGCTTACAGCGACAGTGCTTTGGCCAGGAGCTGCTGTTGTCCCCACCAGCAGCCCCCTGCCACAGCCAATCCAGCGGGAGACTGGCAAGCAGGGCTCCGGTGGGAACAAGTTGGGTCAAGAACGGACAACCCACAAGCACGAGAGGCGGTAATGACCACCCACTGGCATGGGCCCGCTGTCCCGTAGCCCCAGGAGTAGGGCTATGGGGGAGGACAGCCTCAGAGAGGGCCAGACTGCAATGTGTTAAAGGGCCAGGCACAGCGCCTCCAAGAAGCCCGCGCCACCGCGGCTGACGATCGGGGACCAGACAACAGCTGGGGCCTGCCTCTCCGGCCTCTGGGGACTCAGCACGAGGCACCCACCCACCTGTCCCGGCATGGCCACCACAGTCCAGATTCATATTTGTTTTCCTCCAACAAAGATTTACTTTCTAAAGGCAACAAATTGTGTGGCGCAAAAATAAGTACCCAGTGTGTAGTTCCTAGGATTCCTGAAGGAGATCTCTTGTCGCTTATATTAAATTTTACAATGATTTGAGAATTGTTGCTTCATAGGAACATAGAGAAAAATAAAGTCCATTGCAAAATTTGGGCACCGAGGTTTATTAGTGAATAGTACTAAACAGTCATAATACACAGTCAAAACATGTCCACAATATGGCCCACTAAGGCATCGCATAACCACATTTTGATCAGTGAGGGACCACATATACCACGGTAGTCCTGTAAGTTATAACGGAGCCCTGGCCAGGTAGCTCAGTTTGGTTAGAGTGTCCTCCTGATGTGCCAAGGCTGTGGGCTTGACCCCTAGTCAGGGCACGTGCAGGGATCAACCAATGAATGCATAAATGGGGGAAACAACAAATCGATGTTTCACTCCATCTCCCTTCCTCTCTCTCTAAAAAATCACTAAGTTAAAAAAAGATTTTTTAAAAAGATTTTCTTCATTTTTAGAAAGAGGGAAGGGAGGGAGCAAAAGAGGCAGAGAAATATCACTGATGTGCAAGAAATACATTGATCAGTTGCCTCTCACATGCCCCCTGCTAGGGAACTGGCCTGCAACCCAGGCATGTGCCTTGACTGGGTATCGAACCGGTGACCTTTTGGTTCACAGGCCAGCGCTCAATCCATTGAGCCACACCACACACCAGCCAGGGCTGAAAAATTTTTAAAAGATAATCATGGAGTGGAAAAATTCCCGTCACCTAGGAATGCCATAGCCATCTTAACACCACAGCACAGCCCGTACTCACGAGTTTTGTGCTGAAGCTGGTGTAAACAAATTTGCACTGCCAGTCCAATAAAAGTATAGAGCGTACAATTATGTACGGTATGTAAGACTTGAATGATAACAAATGACCAGGTTACTCGCTTGTGTACTGACTATACTATGCCTTTTATTGTCATGTGTCTGTGCATTCATTCTACATATTAAAAAACTGTTTGCTGTGGAAAAGCATGCTGTGTAACAGCAGCAGCCGCGTACCTCACACATCTCGCGTCTCCTGATTTCATCGTTTATTCTTGCGACTGATTTGCTCTTGTGTTGTTTTGTATAGTGACGTCCTGTGCAGACTTGCAGCCCTGGAGCAGCAGGCCAGGCCACACCACCCGGGTTTGTGTTAGGGCATTCTGCGATGTTCACACGATGAGGAGATGGTCTAATAATGCATTTTTCAGAATGTACTCGCCGTTAAATGGCGCATGACTGTATCGTTTCTACTCTTGTTAATAAATTCTTATTGAAATGTCTCTTGAGCCCTGGCCAAATAGCTCAATTGGTTAGAGCATTGTCCTGATACACCAAGGTTGCTGGTTCGTTCCTTGGTCAGAGCACATACAAGAATCAACCAATGAATGCATAAATACATGGAACAACAAAGAGATGTTTTTCTTTCTTTCTCTAAAAAAATAAAAAGAAAAAAACAAACAAAAAGCAAATGCTTCTTGATGTCCTCAGAATTTTATGTATATGTAAGTATTACCACCTGAGGATATGTTGTTACTTAATTAGGGCCAATCAGGTTAACCAACACTGAGCCATTGAAGCAATTATTTTGTTGGAACTGAGTAGTTTATACCCAGAAACTGAAAGGGGTAAGTATTCTTAAGTAAAAAGAAGTGAAATAGCTAAAGGAAAGAATGAGACAAGTTGTCACATAGGTAGCAGTCGGGAGCAGAGTTGGCCTCACCAATTTTTCGATGAAGTCATCGACAGCCTGGCCAGCCTTCACAAGCAGAATGATCCGCCGCGGCTTCTTCAGCTTGGAGACCATCTCCTCCAGGGAGTGTGCACCCACTACCTTGGTTCCCTTTGCCTCGTTGGCCAAGAAATCATCAACTTTGGAGACTGTCCTATTAAAAGCACAGACCTAAAAGGCCAAAAAGTCGATTAGGAGACCTCGGGCATACTAAACAGTCAGAGAGTGGACCCAGTGACAATGACATTTCTATTCAGCCCCAGGTTTTGGGGAGGCTGGACTCTGCCTTTGCCTTGCCCTGCCCAGGTGCTGACTGATCACTGTAAAGTCATTTCCAGTGAACAAAACGGCAGAGAACTGAAGACAGGGTGGGGCAAAAGTAGGTTTACAGTTGTTCCTACGGAAAATAATGCAGTAATGATACAAAACGGCAAACCTACTTTTGCCCCACCCTGTATAAGCAAAGGTCAACTACCCTAAGGTGTATCAAGCTGGCATATAGGTCACCACTGGTTAGAATGCAAATCTAGGAATCAGCTGGTTCCAGACTGATATTTTTTTTGTCTCTGATAACCCTTGTATCCAAGCCAGTTTCATATTTGCACCTAAACTTCTCACAATCCCCAGGTCTCCTTACCCAGTAAGACCTCCCCTCTAGGTACTGACAGGTGTATTCAGGCTGCAAACCTTATAGGACTGACAGATACGTTTAGCTGGACTCTTTCTCAGAGAACTGTGCGCTGCCCCCCCTCCGCCCGCCCCCCCATGTAAAGTGGTGCTTCTTCTTTTGCAAAATTGTCCTAAGCAGCAACAGGGAATGTGTAAAGAGGAATATGCTCCAGGCTATTTGGGATCTTTGACTTCAGCAGGTCACCAGCACTCAGGCTAACACACACCAAGAACCCATAGGAGAAGAGCATGTTCCTTGTGACTTACCACAAAGCCATGGTCGTTCATGTTCAAAATTAAGTTCTGGCCCATGACAGCCAGTCCAATCAGTGCAATATCAGCTCTGAAAGATCAGAAAAAGGAATAAAGAGGAATGTATCAGTTCCACTTAATCCATTCCAACTCAGGGACCCGGAGTTTTCCAGCTTTTGCCGAGAAATAACTTGTTTAAACTTCTCTGCCCCCTACTCCCTTTTACACTCTAGAACCCCCTAGAAAATTTACCTAGAATACCCAGGCCTGTAGCCTCCGGTGAAACTACAGACAGACCACCCCTCGCTCTGCCACTTCAAGGAGCCTCCGGTTCTCCTGAGATGAACTAAACTCCACGTAGGAGAGCATTCACAGCGCGTAAGCTCTAGTCTATCCGGCAATGATTGTTCCAGGCGTCCCCGTCTCCCACAGAGAGAAAAAGACCGGCCATCCAGCCCCTCCCCTCCGGATCGGGCCCCGGATTCCCCCGGCCAAGCCTGCCCCCCACCCCGCCCTTTCTAGCAATGGGGATCCTCCGCGCAGCCGCGAGGAGCAGGGGTCTGACTCCCGGGAAACGGGAGGCTGCGGGGCTGGCTCGGCGTGCGGGGAGCTCTGGGGCCCGAGCCGGAGGGTGCTGAGACCCCAGGGATCCGGAGCTCCGGGCATCACGAGGCCAGACTCAGGCGACCCCCGGTGCCGAAGCGACGCCGGGGACGGCTCCACCCTTTGAGCCGACTCTCCAAAAGTTCCCGCGGGGCGTCACTCACTGGGCCATGGCGGCGGCTGGGGCGACGGCGGAACTGGCAGGAGTGAAGAGAGGAGGAGAGCAAGGAACGCACGGTACCAGCCACCCAGGCTGAGTTCCACTGTGACTTGTCTCCCGAGGCCACAGCCGCGGCTTTCCGGCACTGGCCAATCGGAGGGAAAGGGTGGAGCCATGCAGGCACGCCATTGGTCCTCCCTGACGCCTGTTACACCACCTGAGGCAACGGGCCCGCCCACTCCCGGCGCACGATTCGGGAGAGCGCCGAGCACATCGATGACAACGTTCAGGGTGCGGCGGGACTGGCACAGAGGGCTGGGGGCGTCGGGACCGGCGGAGGGGGTCGGGGGTAGGGGATCCGGGGCAGGCGGTGGGGGCTGAGTGGAGCCGCCCGAGGCAGAGGACATGCAGGGCCGGGGCTCTGCTCTGCGGCGCCCTGCGGGATGGTGGGTCCGGGTGGGCCGCACTTTCCAGTGTTGCAGGCACTTTGACCCCTGTTGTCCGAGGGTCCATCACTCCTTCCTCCCATCGCTGCCGTGCACGTGGAGCTTATGCATCGTATCCCTCAACTCTGGGACCGAGGTTTACTCTTTTGGTATTTGGGCAAGTGTAGTGGGTGCCAGGAAATGCTGGTCCTCACACGGTCCTGTGTGGGAAACAGCCTCTTTCTGCAGGTGAAGAAATGGGAGCAGAGGGAGCCGATGGGATGTGTACTTGCAGGGGTGTGATGGGCCTGGCTCCGACATCGTGTCATTGAACCCCTTCCTCTACGGCTCAGGAACTAGAGGCCAAGTGATGGTGAACCGTCGGTCCAGGGCATTATCAATATCATGTCCCACATGTCTTCTCAGAAGTCTCCCCGGTGCCCAGGCATCTTGACCTCAGCACTGAACCCTGCCACCTCCAACAACAGATGCTTGGGAATGAGGCTTAGCTCCACCAGTACTCTTTTTTTATTTTTTTATTTTTTATTTTTGCTTCACATCACCTAACAGTTGCTGGCATCTAATATGTTCAGCAGATGTTTAATTACAAAAGCCACACAGCTAGTTCATGGCAACTTAGTGGCCCAGCTGTGACTGATTCAAGTAACCTGTGCAATTCCATCACACCAGTCTCACAGATTACTCTGTAATACAGGTTTTAACACATACTTCCATGTTAGCCAATGTCCCACTAGAGTGGTTTTGTCCTATTGGAAGTTGGGTGTTAAATCATAATCACAATATTTTTGAATGCAGTAATGGAATGTTACTCCAAAATTTTAAATGATGCCACAATCTACTTTATCTTGTATGTAAATATTTTCCTATGTTAGATTTTTACTATAGATTCTTTATATAAACTTGTTTTTTCCCCCTTGTGTTGCTTCCATATTTGCCCGTTTTGTGCCAGCCAGGCCTTAACACTTCGGTTCTTTTTATACTCTCCCACATCCCGCAAAGGGGATCCTGGTCTGTGGCTGACTCACAGTACAGAAGTCCAGGTGGGGCCAAGGTTAGAACAGAACTTCCTCCTGAAGGGAATAGAAATACCTGTCTTTTCTGTCCTTTTCTTTTGCGTTCACTAGATGCAGAAAGAGAGAGCTGTAAGCAAGTCCAGAATTAATTTTCAAAGCTATACGCCAGGTGCCTGGCTGCCCTTAGCGCTTCCCTGAATGGTACAAGGAGTGAATGAGAAGATGGTGGGCAGGGAAGCCCCGCACACCGGAGAGCGGAGCAGCTTCCGGGTCGCTGCCGGGCAAAAACCCCGCACTGGGACCTAGGTCTTAATCCCAGCTCTGCTGCGACAGGCAACAGGTGACATAATAATAAAGTCATTCAGCTCAGATGAACCAGGCTGGCAGGAATCTCCGAGCTCTGCAGTCAAGGGTCCCCAAACTCCAGTGTGTAGGGAAGCCAGCTAATTGTGAACTCCGATGCCACAGGTCAGGGACTGGCCCGGAAATGTGTGTTTTATGAGGACACCCAGGTGATTCTGATTGTGGGTAGTTTATGAGCCACTTTTCAAAATAATTCTCAGAGGGTGGCCTGGAGCCCCTGGACGTCCCCGAGAGCCTTTCAGGGAGAAGTGGGGGCAAAACTATTTACACAGTTTTCATTCATATTTGCCTTTTTCGCTCTCATTCCCTCACAAGTGTACAGTGTTTCCCAGAGGCTCCGTGACATGTGGTATGGGAGAGAGGAAGCGTGGGGGCAGAGGTGAGAATCCAGCCTGCTTACGCTGCCTTAAGCCGACATTAGGTTTGCCAAACCTACCTTACTGAACTTTCCTTTTGTTCTGGGAAACTGTTATTCAAGTTTCTCAGTTTTAATTTTTTAATGGTATGTATAGATAGATGTAATTCACATGAACAAAAACCTTTGGGTCCTCAATAATTTTTAAGAGTATAAGGTCCTGAAACCAACAGGTTGGAGCACCGCCGATCTAGTGTAGAGCCGAGACTTGCTGAGTCACAGTGAGACACCAGACCCGCCCCTTTGGGTCAGAGCGGACAGCTTCGCAAAAGATCTGCAACTTCTTCCTTGGAAGCTGCCTGGCGGAGACTGAAAGGAAGCGGTTTTGCTGTTGCAGTGACTTTAGCTTCTGGCTCCAGTTTCATGTCTTTCTAGCTGTTCAATTTGGGGCAAGTTACTGAATCTCAGAGTTTCCTCGTGTGTAAAACAGGAATGACAACACCTCACAGGTAGCTCTAGGGTTCAATGCAAACGTGTCTCGTACTTAGTATGCACATACTAGTTCCTGTCTTTTTAGTGGAAAGGACTCAGAAAGAAGAGATGTAAACTGTAGAGGGAGCTAGGACTGAAGCAAACAATTGCTCCCAGGGTTCCTTGTGAGCCCTGGGAGGGAGGTGGGTGAGCACCTCTGCAGCTTCCTGCAAAGCTCAAGTGTCCCCTCGTTCCAGCTCAGACTGGTGAGGAAGTGGCCCATTAATTGGATTGTTTGCTATAGAAAATACTCCCATTTGACATTGACACGGCTGTGAATTTTGCACTGTCTTCCCAATCCACACCCCCCCCAGGTGTCTTATCCTTTCCCCCCCCCCATGGCCACCACCTTCTGTTTTGCACCCCTTCAAGGCGCCCTCAATAGCGGGCACCAGCACATCCTATTAGAAGTCACCCACCACCGGCCAACACATCCTAATACAGCGTCTGGGAACGCGCCTCGGTCTGAGCTTGGGGCCATCGGGGTCGACCCGTGTGACTTGCAGTATTTCTTGGAGGGCAGGTCTGCGAGTGCTCTCTCTCTCAATGGTTCTTTTTTTGTTTTAAATCTGGGAATGTCTTTATTTTGCCCTTATTTTTGAAGTGTGGTTTGCTGGATAAAAAAATTCGTGGTTAGCCGTTTTTTACTTTCAGCACCTTGAGTAGCTCGCTTCAGTGGCTGCAGCTTTCACCGATTCTGAGGAGCAGCAACTGCTCATTACACCGTCCTTCTCCGGTACACGGTGTGTTTGTTGTTTTTCTCTTGCTGCTTTGAAAACTTTCCCGTTGGTTTCAAGTGGTTTATGATATGTCTAGGTGTAGCTGTCTTTGCGGTTATCCTATTAAGGTTCACATAGTTAGAACTGTAAGTTAATGTCCTTTAGCACCTTTAGAAGATTTTCCCCATTAATTCTTCAAATTAGTTTTTCTGGCCTTTTTCTCTCCTCTCCTCTAGAACTCCCATTTCACATCTTGATATCCTGTTGAGATTTCTTATTCTTACATCTGTTTTTAGCTTGGCTTCCTGAGAGTCGTCCTGTGTCTCCTTAACTTGGTTGCCAGCCGGTGATTTGGGAAGAAGTTGTGTGCAGACCCCTCAGCCCTGTCTGTGTGCGTGTCGGGAACTGCGTTCCCTAGTTTACCTGGGCTTTTACTTCCGGCTGGGCTCTCTGGAATCTCTGTGGCACACGTGCAGTGTCCCCGTCAGCCAGGGATGTGTCGAGATTCTCTCCAGTTTTTGTATGGCACCCTTATTTCCAGAGCCTCCCGGTGAAATTTCTGGCAAGCCTGTGGCTTGCCTAACTGAGACCTCAGGCTAGCAAGCCGTGTTTTTCCCCATTCCTTAGCAAGGTTGCCAGTTTTAGCTGATAGAAAAGGTATAGGCCTCCTCTCTGCCCAGCTGCCCCAAACAAATATGATCAAGTCTGCACCCTTTGAAGCGGAGTCCTGAGCTGGCAGAACACCTTTCTTCCCACCGAGAGGAGGTGCAATAGGGAGCCGCCCCTGCCAGAAGGCTGCAGGCTGCTGCCGCTCTCGCCTGAAGTGTAGTCGTTTTTTTCTCAAGAATAAATGGTTTTTGATTCGTCTGTCTTTCGTCAATTTCAAGGGCCTTAAAATGTTTTTAGTCATTTTTACCAATCTTATGCTTTCTGATTTCTTCCTATTGCCGTAGCCAGCACACCTGCGTGACCCAGTCCTTTCGTCTGCGATGGAGGCCTTCCCCCCGGGGCCCTGGGAGGGGCCAGGGACTGGGGACTCTCACCCATGGCACCGATCGTGGGGCGCGCTGCAGCAGACCCCAAGCCGCCGGCTGCCTCCTCTGGTGTTCCCCTTCCACAGGCCAGATTCCCATAGCCTCGCAGCAAGCGAGGCACCCGGAAGCAGAAACGCAGGGAGAAGCTTCAGAGAGGACACGCGGCAGGAGCGACCCCAGCCCCAGCCGCCATCCTCTGGGGGCCGAGCCTGCTGGCCTCTGAGCGCAGGGATTCCGCCTCGGGTTGGGCCTCCCTCCTTCCCCGCACCAGAACAAGCTGGTGCCGGTAGAGTTCAAATCGCTATACAATTCTAAGATGTCATTACTAACATTAGCTAATGTGACGAAGAAAACAGCGCAGGGAGGCTGACCTTCTCAGCCAGTAAGCGGCAGAACTGAACTTTAACCCAGGTCCATGGGGGCCAGCCCTGCTCTCCTTCCTGATGCAAGAGCAGGCTGCAATCACGCGGACATACCTTCCCAGGGATGGCGGGGGTAGGTTTGATTAGATGTGTTCAGTAACTTTAAATAGAAAGCCACATGGAAATTAACCTTCAAGGGCTAGTTTTGGAGGGCATTGGTAGAAATTTTACAGGTACGACTTTACACAGTAGCTCCCTTAAAGAGAGCCTAGGGCCTCCCACACCCTTCAGCTTTGTTGCAACTGTTTCCTCTTTCTGTGGGTTGGGTTACAAGGAAGCCTACTATCAGATTTGTTGCAGGAACAAATTGATTGCTCTAGCCTGAGATTTGTCAAGGGAGAAGTTATGCTGAGTCAAGGTGACTAAACATCTGGACCCACCTCAAGTTACTATGAAGTAGGATTCTTTTAAGGAAGACATTTAAATATCTAATCAAACAACCAGTAATTTTTTTCTTCTATTACTAATGTTGCATCCTACACAGGCTTATTTCTTTGTTAATGTGCTAACAACCAGTCCAAAATACTGCCTGCGAGGTCCCAGGATTGTTGGAAAACTACAGTAACCTGGGTTCGGGAGAGCAGGGCTGGGGCAGAGGTAAGTAAGCGACCCCCCACCGTCTCCCCCAGCCCCTGCCCTGCCCAGAGATGGACACAGTTAAGCCACAGCTTGCTTGATTTAGAGCTTCATGCTGACTTCTAGTTTTTAGAAAATCCTGCAATACTAGGCCTCTGATACTTAAGAAAGTCAACTCACATTACTGTTTACCTTAACAACCTTTGGCCTGGCCTTAATTCCCCAAGTTCCAGCTCAAAGCAAGGCCAGGAATTCTACAAAAACAGCCCTTCCGTGCAAACATCCCAGGGCTGAATCCTTTGTTTGACTTACATAAGAGGGTGTGGAACATACTAGTTGGGGCAGATTTGAAAATCCCCACTTAGCCACTCACGCTGGTGTATAATTCCTGCAACTGCACTCCGGTGACTTGTTCATATGCTCGGTACAGTCGTTTTGTAAAAACCTAGAGACTAAATATTCTAAAGCCAGGTAAGTGTGTGGTGTGCTCAGAAAAGCTACAAATTTAAGACTGTGCAGAGACAAAGAGTTCCTAAGGGAAAGCGGAAAAATCTCTCCACCCAACCCAAAGAGGGATGACGAGAAAATCGAATAGAGAAGTAACGCATGAAATGTGCACCCTTCCCTGGACCTCCTGATGTTCTCTAGAGTCAACTTTGTGAGACATGGCAACTCACAGAGAGCGACCCGAAGTGAGGGACCAAACCTTTGTGACCCAGGATGGGGTCTAGTTACAGGGGACAACCAGCTTTATCAAAACTAATTCAGTTTAAACAAAAGGCCCAGAGTGGAGTCCAGGATGACATGGCCTGATGGAATCCCTAGTGCTGACCTAACTTCTAAGACCAGTGGGTCGGAGTCCTGGAGAAGACCGTGCCCAGGAGGCGACTTGCACACCCTCCTGTCTCGGTGCTGCCTCCCGGTGCTGCGGGTGGACCGCAGGCGCTCCGGGGCGATCGAGGGCCTACCTCACCACTGGTGTGTCGGCTCCACCCCGCCAGCCTACTCAAGGGGGTCACTCCTTTCCCACCTTGTGGTTTCCCCTCCAGTTCATTCATTCCAACCAGCATCCACACATGCTGGGCCAGCTTGTTTCTCTAAAAACCCCTCCTTGACTCCATGTCCCCTCCTCTTCTGCCCTTGACAGTAAAAACCTCTCAAAGAATTATCTGTGCTCCTTCTTTCAGCTTCCTTTCCCGACTTCCCTTGAACCTGCCCTGCTTAGACTTTCTTCGGCACCACGCAAGTGCTCTGGTCACTGAAGACCCTGCTGGGGCAGAGGCATGGCATCTCCCACGTAGAGCGGGCTCCCTCACCAGAACATTCCTGACCTGTCAGCCCCCCAGGAGAGGGACAATGGTCATGTGAGTTCGGAAGGAGCTGCTGGGCACGGGCAGCCGCCACCCCCCTACCCCCGCCCCCTGCCCCCTCTCTGAAGACCTCAGCAGCCTCCAGGCCACAAGGCCACACTCTACTCCCCCTGCCTCTGTACTTCCACTACTCAGAGCCGCCGCAGCGGCAGCATGGCCGCCACTAGGAAGCACAGGAGAAACGCAGACTCTCAGGCCGACCCCAGGCCTCCTCAGCCAGAACCTGTACTTCACTCTAATGCCCCCGGTGAGGCTGCTGCATATTCAGTTCTGGGAGCCCTGCTCCCAACCCTCTAGTTCTGAGGTTGTGTCAGGAAATCCACTTAGCCACCGACACGAGTCCCCTTCGCCAATCACATCTCTAACAGGAATACGGGTGGTATTTTGCCCTTCCATCCGCCTTATTCTTTTCCTTGGCTGGCTCTGAATGTGGGAAAAAGTGATGGTGTTCAGTGGCCCCCTCAGACTTCCTACACCTCCCTGTCCTCAAAACCTGTGGTCCCTGCTCAGTATTCATTTTTACCTGTCAGCTGCGCTGCACAGTTACCACTTCCTCCACCTTCAGACGCTTCCTTAACTGGGCTGCCCAGCGTCACCCCCTCTTCGCAGGCCACTTCGTCGTCGCCAGATCGTCCTCTTCCTGACCTCCGCATGTCGCGGTGCTCCTAGGCGCAAGCCCTGGTCCTCTCTAGCCGCCCTCGCCCGCCAGGTCTACTCGCCTGCCGCCCCCAGGCCGGCAGCTCTCAAATGTGTGTCTCCCAATGGCTTCATCCACTACACAAGCAAGTGGAAATGTTGGTGTCGCAAAGTGAGCATGACCAAAGTGAAATTCTTAGTTCAGCACTCGCCTGCGAGTGTTCTATCTTCTCCACCCCAGGGGGCTCCCACGCGGTCCCCCTGCCCAGGCACACGCCCTTTGAGTTGCTCTTCCCCTTTCCCTCGGGCTCTGCATGCGGGCCTGCAGCCAGCTGTCAGCTCCGGTCGAAACACACCCGGAATCTGGTCGCTTCTCCCCACCTCTCCTGCTCCCACTCAGTCCAAGCTCCCTTCTTCTTCTCTAGAATTTTGGGCTAACAATGTCCTTCTAGTTTGTCTCCTTTCTTCCACTTGTCCCCTCCCCGCCAGCTGTTTTCCACTCTATAGTCAGAATGGTCTTTGAAAACTCACACGCAGTTGCCCTCTCGGGCAGCTGAGTTGGTCAGAGTGTTGTCCGACACGCCAAGGTTGTGGGTTTGATCGCCAGTCAGGGCACATACAAGAATCAACCATAAATAAGTGGGAAAATCAAATCGATGCTTCTCTCTCCCCCCGCCTCCTCACTCTAAAATCAATAAAAAACAAAAACAAATACACACAGCCACACACTGCTTCACACGTTTAGGTCAATGACGAATGCACACACCACGGCGGTGTGCCGCGCAGTCTAGGTGTATAGTAGGCCACACCATGGGGGGTTTGTGTAAGTGCACTGTACACACAGATGAAATCGCTGATGATGCATTTCGCAGACCTATCCCCATCGTTAAACAATGTGTGACTCTAAGATCATGTGACTCATCTTCTTGGAACCCTTCGTCGGTTTCCTACTTCTCTAATGCACTGAGAGCGACCTGAGCCCTAGGCCACCCGAGCCCTGGTCCCTTTCTGACATCACAACTCCAGGGCTCAACCCAAGCCAACCTCCTCGCTATTTGTGAAACCCACAGAGAGCACTGTTGCCTTTAGGGCGTCGTTTCTTTGCTTGGAAACCTCTTTGCCCGGGAATCGGAATGGCGTACCCATTCCTTCATTTCACAGTCTGTGGGAATGTCGTCTCCCAAGAGAGGCCTTCCCAGACCATGCGATCTCCTTCCCACCCCTTCTCACCCTTTACTCGGCTTTCCTTTGCTCTGAGATATATACTGCTTGACGTAAGCTTGTGTGCTGAATGTCCTCCCCACTCAAACGGGAGGGTCACGGTGCAGCGACAGCATCCGGGCAACACGAGGACAGGTGCGCACTCAGGCGTGCGGTGAGAGAATCGCTGCCTTTTGCCGAATGCTGCTTCTCCCTCTTCTTGTTTTTCTCCAAATACCCAGGACAGCGGTCACTGCACATGCTCCGCTTACAATGGGAACTTGTTAAATTAGGCGGATATGGTGAAATCTTCAACTGCCCCCACCCCAAACAACACCACCGCTACGAAATCATCGGTGGCTGCATAAAGAGAGGCTTTGGGGGGCAGTGCGTGGAGAAGAATCGTTTACTTCCAATAGCCACTGCCATACGTGGGAGGAAAGTACTTTCAGAGAAACAGCACCTCATTAGCTTTCCTGGTTATACGATAACTGGCATTCTGAATGATCAGAAAGGAACATGTAGGTCACAACATCATCTTCACAAGCCAAGAAAAATCTCTGCAGAACGACCATTCAAAGGGTGAAGAATAAATGCACATCGAGAGCCTTCTGATGCACTGGTTGTACCTTTATTATGTGACCTCGTTCACTAATAGTTCCGTGATGCAAGGTTACCATACACAGTTAGATAACGTCTGCATTGCACATCTACAGCTATACAGCAAAAGAACCAGAATTAGTACAAATACAAGAACTATATTTACATTCTGTATACCCAAGCTCCAAACATCAGGTAGTATTTACATAATAAAAGATGGAAATGAAAACCTGAAATTAATAATGTACATTGTCGCTAGTGTGCTCAACTCCTTCACTGGGGAGAGATCGGTTTGCGAAGTCTTGGTTCAAAAAGGCCACTTATGTTCATGGGTTTTGCTGCAGTGCACAGGGTGGCGGCACGAGGCCCGGGGTCTCAGCAGACAAGCACGTCAGAGCCACAACGCCTAAGACACTGCCTTCGATGAGAGAAGGCTGAGACAGTCCTCGCGTGAACTGTTGCCAAAATACGCAGCTTGAAACAAAAGTAACTCGAAGACATGAACAACACACGACAGCCAGGGTTTGGCAGGAGACCAACCTCAGCTCAGACTTACCATCTGAGCACAGCCGTTTGGCTGTGAGTTTTTAACACAAAATTTGTATCAACTCTAATTTCTTCCTTCAAATGTTTAGAGGCTTTCCTAAGACTTTAATGGGGCTCAAATACAGATTTCATAAATGGCCTTTTGAACAGCAAAAGCAGATACTCTCTCAGCTGACGTTTCAGTTCTAAGGAAACACACATCAACACATTCCTAGCGCACGGAGTAATGCTCTGGCCACACACTTGGCTGATCATCGCGGGCTACGGCGGACAGCTGCATGCAGGACACGCGGGCGGGAGTCCCATTTAAAATGCATCCGACATACCTCCTGGGTGCAGCAGCAGAGTTAGAATTCTTCTTAAGGAGCAGGTTAACCATCACATTTTAAAAAGGGAACCAAACGGAAAAATGAAGGACCCAAGTCAGACAGACAGACAGACAAGCCATGACGCCGTCCAGGAGGACCCGAGTGGAGTGCACGGCACGGGGGCGCCCGGTGCGGCCGGTGCCGCACGCCAGGCCATCCTTTCTTTTCCAGTCCACGGTGCAATTAATTACAGCTGTATAAATATACAAATACCTTACAAAATTAAATATCCCTGTAAATTAGAGGAAGAGCAGCAGGCAACAAAGTCTTTGCTTTGAAATATGTGCCAGGCAAAGTCATTTTATTTTTAGATCCCAAAAGACCTTTCATGATGATTTAATTTATCCCTTCATCTTATAGGAGCTGGAAAAAAAATCCATCAAAAATGTGAGTAGCTCTTTAAGTTCTACAGAGCTGAAGGGGGAAAAATACATATTGATAAAATCATAATGGTTTCCTGGTTGGGAAAAATCATCTTCCCTTGCCATCTCCGGTTTTCACAACGGGCTGCGATTCGGGGCCCACCCAGCCGCTGCAGCGGCCTTCCCCGAGCTCCTGGCTGCGCGGGGCTGGCTGGCCCCGCAGAGCCCCGCCTGAGAGCTGGCTGACCCCAGGCAGGCACAGGCAGGAGGGGGAACGGGGAAGGAGGGAAGCAGGCAATTACTGTTAACTAGCAATCGTTTCTTCTTAATTTGTGTAAGAGTTTTCTTACTTTTTTTTTTTTTGGCTTGGTGAAAGAAATACTTTAGGAAAAAAAATTAAAACCCCTTAAAAGGTGGTTTTCTTAAAAGGTTAAGTCCATTCCTCAACTTCCCTGCCACTATGGCTTCAGCTAAAGCCTCGTAAACAGTTCCCATCATAAACCATCTCTCAGAGCTTCGAAGTGGTGAAGAATCTGTCCAGAAAGGGAAAACCAACCCTGAAACTGCTCCAACTCCAATGTGAAGACGGGCCCTTTGAGGAAGGGGCACCAGGAGGGGCTGCCTGGGCCCATCAGCCGCAGCGGCAGGGGCCCCTCGGCTGGGAGAACAGCCTGCCCGCGCCTGCTCCTCGCGAAGCCGCCCGACCGGGCACGGTGCGCACGGTCCCGTGCAACTGGTTCTAAGAGCTGACACTTCCAAAGCAAAGACCTTCCAAGCCAGTTCTGAGTCAGGAGAAGAAACAAAAGCCATTTCAGTGTGACCCACGACTTTACTCCCCCTCCACCTTCCCACCCACTGTCGCACAGACGTGGGTCCTCCCATCAGACTCTGTAACAGCAGCAGCACCCAGGGTTTAATTCTGAAGGAACCTTCCAATTTCATTCCCTGAAATTAGATTCAATTCCAGTCCAGGAAGCTGTCTGTAAGCACTGACAGATCTCAGACTTGAGTATACACCGGGAGGGGACACTGTGTCCATTACACAATGCAGAAATCCCTAACTACATTAAAACGTCATTTAGAAAACAAGTGACATTACTGTTAGTGATTAGTATTTAAGGAGAAGAAAGTTTAAAAAAACCGACTAGAGTTTTTATCGACCACTTGTCAGGTGAGGTCACTGCCTGTGACTTCTATCCTCCCTCTTACGAAGCTCCCCCAGCTTCACTTTCCTCCTCTTCGCGAGGCAGCTGCAACCAGTACCACCGGGAGCCCGTTCTGCGAGGGGCCCCCCAGGCCATCGGATGTGTGGCTCTGGGTGACAGCGAGCCTGCCCAGCCGCGGCTCTGCCGAGCACGTGGCCCTTGCCCTTGGCTGCCTGGAGAGAGGCCACCCAGTTCCCCGGCACCTGAGAGCCAGCAACCTCAAGGCTTAGGAGCCACAGTCTCCACAGAGTGGGAACAAGCAGACGCGGCCCTGAGTGCCGGAGGGAGGGCCAAACAGAGGTCTGAGCAGGGGAGCTAAAGGGTGGCACAGGACGACCCATGCCAACCAACTGGCAAAGCAACTCAAGTGCCTTGGAGGCCTTCTCCTCTCCAGTCATTCCTGTAAAGCTTGGGGGCAGCAAAAAAAACACCTTCCACCATGGCCTCCAGAGGCAGCTGTCCCTGTCCTGTCAGAGGGGACTATCAGCTTCCTCCTTCCTCCCCTGGCAACGCTCCCAATGGACAGAACAAAGGAGAGGCCGGATGAACGCACGCAGCAGAACACTGCGGCCAGGCTCCAGCGGGCGCTGTCCTCTAACCCCAGCCATGCTTTTGTTTTGGTTTTAGTGGGGGGAGGCAGGTGGTTTTAATGCTGGGATCAAGAAAGCAAAGCCTGCCATGTTTGCTTGTTTATGAGTATGTGGGAACAGGCATCACTGCAAGTATTTTCAGTTTGACAAGGATTATTGCAAATAACTACTGAATTCAGAGGAGACTTCCAAGTTTATACTTGAAAGCTACACTTCTTTGGTCAAAGGGAGCTACAACAATTACAAGGTCATTACTCAGCGTTCCCACAATTAATGACAATGGCTAAGTTCCTCATCAGAAAGTGAAACACTCCCCCTTGTGGGACATTTGCGGATGACAGCACACTGATTCCGCACGGTTCCGCATCATCACCGAGGCCCAGAACAGAATGGAGAACAGAGAAGAGGCTCCCTCCCAGCTGAGAAGCGCGATTCACAGGAATCCTGCTGTGAGCAACGACTAGCACCCTACTGACCGACTGCGCCTGCAGCCCGCCCCTGCTTCCTAGGGTCCTTTGAAACCAAGGCTCCTCCTTTCTGACAAGGTCAACAGCAGCTACTGTCTCAGGCCTGCTAACGAGTCCTCTCTCTTCCTCTCCCCCACTAACTGTACCCCTCTCTAAATAAGCCCCGACTTCAGAGAATATACCTGTCCCATTGCTGACCTTACCACAACCTTCTCCCTGAATGGAAAATGCAGGAATTAGTGATGGAAAAAGGCAATAAAAGGGGAAAAGGTAAGTTTTTTCCTCTCAGGTTCTAAAAAGGTCAGATGTCTCCTCAATTTGTCTCTAAGCCACCCAAGAAAAATTAAACTGATATCACAAATAGAGAAAAGAAAAAAAGTATTATGTTGTCTTAAAAAAAAGACAAAGATATCCAAAGAGAGCAGTACAGACATCAGAGGTGGTCACAGTGGGGACCTATCATACAAAAGGAAGCCAAATATACCAAAAATAATTTGGAGATTCACTGGATTCCCCTCTGGGTTTTTTTGTTTGTTTGTTTTGTTTTTTCCCCCCCTTTTGTTAGGCCACATGCTACTAACAAGATTCTCAGCACAGGAAAAAAGAAAGAGTACAGAGCAATGGATAGGGGAACAGGAGCTAGAAAAAGTACTGGACGAGGAGGGAAGAGTAGTTTAGCCACAGGATTACATACAAGAGCAACCGTCAAGAATCACAAAGAGAAATGAGAGGTAACACTTTCTTTTTATCTTGGAAGGCGAGTGAGGGTGCGCAGCAGCCACCTAGTACTTCGGCTGGCTCGGGCACCTGCGGGCGAGCTTGGACCTGTGGGCGACATGTGGAGAGGCAGTGAGAACACTGGACCCCAATGTTCTGCCTCCGGGGCCTCTTCCTCTATGGTCCCCCCTCTTGGACTTCCTCCTAAACTGCACCAGGGCTGGACCTCTGGGCTCCCTGAACAAACAGGCTGGGCTGTGGTCTTCCCCCCTAGGGGACCCTGGAACACAAGCCCCCCCTAGGATCTGAGGCTGGCTCACAGGGCTGGATACTGATGGGCAGACCACTAAGGTCCTCCCAATCTTCCCTGCACTTGGTCCTGCAGACCCCAGCTGCAGACCCCTTGAAAACAAAAAGTCAAAGCAGGAGATCAATTGAGTGCAAATGTGACCAGCCTCCTTACCTGCTCAGGACACCAGATGATACCCAATGAGGAGCTGCGGCCTCATCACCACCTGCTACACTTACTACACTTACACTCCTGTCCTTCCTCTATTTTAAATCTGTTTGCAACGAGACTTCCCTCCCTATTTATGCTGAAGTCCCTGGGGCCGATCCAAGGAGGGGAAGGAAACACAGGGAGAGCTTCTTACCGTATGGTGCCAGCAAGGAGTGGATTAAAGGCATATAACCAGTCGTTCATGTCTTTGTCATTGAGGGCCTGCAAAAGGACCCCACGATGCTTTGTGAGTACAGCAAAGGTGTTGGGTGTCTGAAAGAGACGCAGGGAGATGAGAAAGTTACAAAGGCTATGAGCAACAGCAAAGACCTGACATATTCATAGGAGGCACGCAGCACCTTACACTGCAGGTTCAGATATACAGGTGATGCCATACCACACAACGGGGTCCAGAACTCAAAAGGGATGGGCACGCGAGGCAGTGGAAAGCCAAGAGAGGGCACAACTGACCTTCACCATGGTCTGCTGGTCCTCGCTGTATTCTACCTGCGCTGTGGACAGGTTAATGATGCCACGTTCCACTGGGTCTTTGTCACTGTTATAGATGAAGACATAAGGGCGACGGACCACAACAAAATGTTTAGCCCAGTTGCTGGAAAATGGCTCCTTGAAATGCAGGTATCCCTTCTTAGAAACCACTGAGCTGAAAAGGACAATACAAGAAAGGTTCGTTTCTCACAAAAAGAAAGTAATCGTGAGCTGAGGACCATCAAAATGACTCACCTAGGCCAAGTCCCTCATGTGACAAGAAGGGCAAATGATCTATTTGGCCTAGAATCTTATCTGCCAAAGTAATTCAGCAGAAGAAAATAAAGCACCATGTGACATGCTAAACCAGTCTGGGGGTGCACTGCAAGATATAAGATACAGCTGGAGCAGAAACCTAGCACAGGGCGACCACCCTGGATCTGCGGGCATCATGCTGTAACACAGACCTCATGGAAGAACTGAAAATACCTTCTTGCTGGTTTGTTTTTATACCTAGCATCTCTGGTCAATATAGTACTCACCCTGGTCTAATTTCTTCAATATCTGGAACAAGATTGAGAAATTCATTTTTTCCCGCTCGGGCCAGATAGGGTGTTTCCACGGGTGGAACAATCTGGAACTGTTCAAATTCTGGGCAAGGACTAGAGGCCCGGGAATTAGCTTCTGGGGTCCTTTAAAAAAAGAGAGATTAGGGGTAACAAAAGCTTCAGTGAGGTCAACAAACAGTGTGCACAAGCATCGTGTCAGGAGGAACAAGGCCTCTCCCGGGACAGCAGGGGCCTGGCAAACACCAGCTTCAGAGAGCTCAGCTGGGAAGATGAGCTGGTGTCACTACCTCGGTACTCGTCGTTAATTCGTTCCAGAACTCGTGACGAGTGTCGACCGACGTGTATCGAACAATGGAACATTTTCTCTTGTGGCGAGACGTCCTGACTCATGCAAGTTCTAGCGAGTGAGATGAGTCCCAAGCAAGCGCCAAGCGCTGAAACATTTTTTCTCGTCAAAAGGCAACTAGTACAGGGTTTGACGAGCTCTGAGGCCAAAAAGTACTGAGGTAGGACTGTAATTCCAAATTCAACTTCAGAGGGTAAAAGGGAAGATGATCGCTGATGACCACCTCGTCACGCAGTCCCTCCTCCTATTTGAAGCCCTCTGACAGCGGTCTCATGAACATGAATGACATTCCCCTGCATTTCTATTTGGTCCCAAGGCCACACCGAGCAAAGTGGTTCTCACGGTGTGGTCCCCTGAGCAGCAGCATCAGCTGCACCTGGAAACTCATCAGAAAGTCAAATTCTCAGGCTCTAACCCAGACTCACAGAACCAGAAAGCCGCTGGGACTTTGACAAGCCAGCCAGGTGATGCACACCAATGCCTGAGAGCCACTGCCGTATGGGGCTGGCAGAGAAAGCGGACCAACAGGAAGTTCCTGAACGACCGGAGGTGCAGAGCCGCACACCACCCTGGACCAGTCCCAGACTGTTAGGGGAGAGGTAATTCCAGTGGTCTGCTGTGTTAGACGCCTTACCAGTCCTCAGGTTGGGGTGCGTCTTAAAATCAATCGTGACATCTTTCAGTGGCAGTGCTTTTTCTTTCTTAGTGGCACATATAATAATGTCTTACATTCAATGGCATCTTAGAGTTAATCAGATTGCCTGGTTGTGGCATTTTCTCTAGCAACATTCAACTGCGGGAGTGCTGGAACATCACGGCAGAGCTGGGTAATAATAGGTGGGTTCCGACAGGTGAGCATAAGGAATGGAGACAGGGCAAAGGAGTCTCATGGTGCACTGCAAAGAAGCGACTGCAGTGATAAACTCGCGGAACACAGACTCAATTTGTCTCCATTATTATTACCTACAAATTTCGTGTGTCATCAAAATATTTTTATCCAAAGTAGTTTTGAAATAATTCTCCCCAAAATGGGGATTCCTATATCTGGTATGATTGGGGAGCTGAGCAGGGTGGGAATGGAAGGATAATTGAGCAGAATGGGACTAAGAAATGGAGGCAACGATTGGGGGCAGAAAGTTAGAAGACATGATGTTCAAAGTAACCGGCAGCATCGCCCCAGTCACTGTGGTATCTAGAAAAGGCTCCCACAAAGTACCAAACACTGCCTAGTGGGATGGGGCTGCCCTCGGTTGAGAACCGCTGAGCCAGAGGAAGACCGGCATTCCCTGGGTTCTTAGACCAGCTTCTCTCAGTGAAACCCGGGCACCTACTTCTGATCCAGAGAGTTGCTCCTGGAGTCTACCAGAGAGGGGCAGGTGGAGGAGGGCGTGAGGGTTGCGCTGCTGAAACTGGACACCGAGGGATCCCGTCCGATCGGAGAGATATCAGACAGCTGGAGGCAGACAGAACACAGCAAGTGAGGTTCAGATGGAGAACGGCCTCTGCAGTAAGCAGCTCTGACAACCCGTGGACTCGCTTCCACAAACCTTCCTTCTGCTTTAGGTCATTCAAGAAATCAAGCCTTACAAGGAAATATTTTACGGCCCGAGAGTCACGTTAGGAACCAAGACATTTACAAAAGAGGCAAGGCTGGCTTTTTATATTGCCACTGCCCTCCTGCATTAACTAAATGACCCACTCTGTACAAGCCGAGCACTTGGGAGCAATAGGTGCTGTTCTGAGAGAACGGCGGAGGCCCTGCTCTGCTGGGGCTCGCGTGCCCAGGGAGAGGCGGACCTGAACCAGTCACTGTGCACATCAAGAAGGGTCAGGCAGCGATAAGTGCTACAGCAAAAAACGAGGCAGGGGAAGAGTCTAGAAAGTTTAAGGGAGCTGTTGGCTTTACACTGAATTGTTAAAAGGAGGCATAATTTGAGCTGAAAAAGACAATACATAAGGGAGCCAATCATGGAACATCTGGAAGACTATTCTGGGCAAAGGAATAGCACGGGTTCAAAGACCCCCTAGGCAGGAATGAGCTTTGAGCGTCTTCAGAAACATCAGAAAAGGTCAAGATGGCTAGATAGAGTGTATGACCCGGAAGTTCTCTGAAGTGTTCACCTCACTCTGTGGAAGGCAACAAGAGTTTTATGCCACCAAGAACCTCGGGACTTCCTATGCCCTATCATACACTAACATATACAGAATATTCTCCAAGGGAGTCAGGAAAAAGCCAAAATAGTTCCCATCTGATAATTACTCTAAGAGTCACAGATACATAACTTTTATCTTCATAAGTCAGTGTTCTGAAAAATCAGACCCAAGAGCATATATGTCATACACCCTCAATACCATGCTACACCCACATCAAGCCACCTAAAAGCAGCGTAAGCTGGAGACAGAAAGTCCGAGCTGCTCACCTTACAGTCACTGATGCTGCTGTGCACCTGGCTGAATTCTCGGTTGAAAGTGTGGGTGAGAAGTTGCAGGCACTGGGGAGGAGAAAGGGCAGTGTAAGTCTCAGTGGTTATAAGCAGCCCTGGTACAAGGCAAGAAAGGAAAATCACTTGTTTAAGTCCCACAGTGGAGCTCAGATGCTGCCCAACAGCTCCAGAAACTAACTAAACATATGGCAAGGGAGCTTGTATATGCCTAATAAAAAGGATAAAATGAGTGGATAAAAAAGCTATTCTCAAATCTATAAAAGTGAATACTGCAACACTATAGCTTGGGAGTACTTAAAAACACAATAGCATCCCTTTCATTCCTAACTTGCCCTGCTCTAAAAGGCATGGGGGCTTCTGGACAGACATATTTTCCTAAATCAGTTAGACCATCATTTAATTATTAAAACAAAACAGACACAAAGTCCCTCTTGTTTGCCTGGGAGTCATCCTCAACAAGCCCTCTGCCTTCTCCAACCACTTCCAGGGGACAAGGAGTGCCAATTCTAACCCCCAATCGTCTCCAGCATGACCCTCCTTCCTCTTCATTCCACACACCTGCCTCAGATAACAACCTTCATTGTTTCTCACCTGGGTTATTGCAGTAAAGAGTTTTTCTGCCCCTAGTCTCTCTCTTCACCACAAATCCACCCTCTTTAGTGCTGCCAGAGAAGTCTTTCTAAAACTCAATACCTGCTTAAAATACTCCCATGGCAGTGGAAACTCTTTAGAATGGTACACAGACCCTTCACAATGCCCTGGCCCACCTTGCTAACGCCACCTCTGGTCCCCCACGGGATTCCCGCACCCTGACCATGCAGCACAGCGGGCCCCCTCCTTATACATCCTTCCAAGGTCAGCTCACACCTGCCCCGCTGTGGGGAGGCCTCTCCTATGGCTCCCCCACACCTAGACATACATCTCTATCACATGCTTGTCGCCACTTGCCTGCAAGCTTATTAAGGGTAGAAACTGAGTTTTACTTATTTCTAGATTCCTAGTGTTAGCGCAGGCCATGAAACAGAGGCCCTCCAGGAAAGATGAACGTGGAACTGACAGGTCAGCTGAGAGTCTCACTGGAAAAACGCTCAGCCAGGGGGCTTCGCACCTTGGTGGCCAGCTCTTTCTCTCGATCCACCAGGCTCTCAATGTCTGCTGAGTCATAGCCACTGCTCTCACTGGGTGTGATGGCGCTCTCAAAGGTGGTGGTTGAGATCTGAGAGGAGATGCTGGTGGAGGTGCTGAGGGTCCCACTGCTCAGGCTGGGGGACAGCGAGTCGCTCAGGGACTTGGGGATGCTGTCATCAAGTCTCTCACGCAGCAGCAGGAAGTGGCGGGTTTTCTCCACCTAAGAAGAACAACACTGTTGCCTCAGCAAACACGAAGCTCACTAGGGTTTTGGTGAGTACAGTATTATGCCTCATTGTGACCAGAACCGAAGAGCCAGGACCACACAGAGGCAGGCCTGAGATGGCCGACACGTGGGGACGCCCGCCTCAGGGCCCGCTGAACGTCCGCTGCCTGGGCTACCTCGTGCAGGAGCTCCAGTTTCTCCAGCTCCCACTGGTGCTCAAGGATGAGGCTGTCTCCGCGGGGCCGCCAGCCTGCTAGGTTCTCCTCTCCCCGCACGTACGCCACTGATGTGTCCAAGACTTTTCTCCTCCTCCTCTGCATGCCTGAGACAAGAGGAAACGATTCTTTTTTTCAGAGAAATTCGATTCCAATTTTACCTCAAAATGAATGAATAATCGATGTATGTGGTGAACCAAGATTTGGTCTCGAAATACATGGGATTTGTTAATTAATAACAATTCATTTTCTTTTCCCCAAAGCTGCTCTCTGAATTTCTTTTAAAACTAAGTTTTATATTCCTTGGTAATTATGAAAACTGCAATGCAACTTGAGAAAAAGTTATTATGTTAAGGAGGAGATTAAATAGTCTGTACACTATGGTACCAAATATGTAAAAATACACTCGTATAAAAAAACTGAGGACTACACACATGCACGCACATACATAGCCCACCCCACACTTAAGTAGTTCAGTTAGAATGGTAGATGACAGGTGGCTTCAACCTCTGTCATCTTCCAGTACTGTTAAAACTGTTAAGCTGCTTTTACACATAAAAGACATGAATTTATATTAATTTTAAAAATCCCTCAAAAAACTCCCTGGACACTATAATTAGCTGCTATTGGGACTCAGATTCATACTCCAAGTCTTCTTTTTGTAAAATCTAAATCATATCTGTTGAGCTCTGACCTCTTTCCATATATGCTCTCTAAAATGCTTCAAAGTCATATTAACCAAAATTTTTTTACAAAAATCCTGACTTTTGCCCTGGCCGGTGTGGCTCAGTGGACTGAGTGCCAGCCAGCAGCCTGAAAGGCTGCTGGTTCGATTCCTGGCTGGGGCACAGGCCTGGGCTGCAGGACAGGGCTCCAGTGAGGGGCGTGTGAGAGGCAGCCACTGATGTTTCTCTCCTCTCTTTCTCCCTCCCTTCCCATCGCTAACATAAATAAGTAAAATCTTAAAAAAACAAAAACAAAACACAAACCAAAAAACCCCCTGACTTTTGTCCATGTCCCAGTTTACAAACATAAAAATCCAAAGTGCTGCTTAAGACTACCATGTTGAAGGAAAAGAAGTCCAAAGAGACATCAGAAAGAACAAAAGTTCAACTTGCTTTGTCTTCTAGAGCAGAGGCAGTTCACATTCTACTTTGACATCACCTGTGAAGTGAAACTGCCCAATTACCTTTGGGGCTAAGACAGGAGGAGAAATGGTTATGAAGTCCTCCAAGCCAATTTCATTCTAATACACTTGAATTTTTAAATACTATTCCAGAGCCTGGTAACATTCTGTTTGATAAAGTTTTTATAACTATATTGTACATTATAAACCAAAATGTTGTAACTGAGAAAAGGAGAACTCCCAGCACCAAAAATCTGGCTTGTTAAAACATGCTTGGTTTCTTAAAAAGTTTGTATCTACCCCACATGGGTAGGGTAGATTTTCGGTATACTATAATTCAAACATATGCAAAGACAACTATGACACCCCCCATCCATAAGATCTTACCTGGACTACCTGTGTCTGCCATTTTGCATAAACTGAGTTCATAAATTCCAGTGACTCGATTGCTATTAGAATTAAAACAAACAATTGCTTAGTATCTCACAGCACAGAAACAGGAAAAATCTCAATTCTCTCTACTATGAGGGGTGTCTGACCCACGGCCCGCAGACTGCATGCGGCTCAGGATGGCTATGAATGCGGCCTAACACAAAATCTTAAATTTACTTAAAACATTATGAGATTTTTTTGTCATTACGTGTCACAATGTATTTAATGTGTGGCCCAAGACAACTCTTCTTTCGGTGTGGCTCAGAGATGCCAAAAGGTTGAACACGCCTGCAAAGCACTGTTTCCCTGTAGAGACTACAACTCACCCTCAAACATAAGTATCTCATCTCTTCTCCTATTCTGAACTTAAGAAGTATATATTTTTTCCTACATCCTACATCTATTTTCATCTTAGCCTTTTGAACATATTTAAGAGGATGAGTAAAACTGAATGATAAACTAAATATAAATATAAAAATTAAAAGCGTGCCTTTTCTTACTGTAAGAGAAAAGGAGGGGGGAAAGTCTGACTAGAATAAAGTGATAAACATCAAAATCTGAGGAGCGCAATTAGGCAGGGGTACTAAACCTTCTATCATATTAGTAATGCTTACATTTAATGCTGGGTGGTGATGCAGAAGTATTCACTGCATCATTCTTGATATATTTTTGTATATCTTAAATATGAATGAATTTTTAAAAGAAAAATCCTAATGGTAATCTGTTAGAATAATGGTGACATTTTGTTGTTAAAAAATTTAGACCCAGCAAACTATTTTGGAAGTGCTCACAACGTAATATTCCTTCTTCCCTTAACCCATTAATATTCCCTTAAACGCCAGCGTTCCAGTCACTGCACTCCAGGTGTCAGTGCCACAGTGACTTACAGGCTGGAAACCACCCCTGAAACAGCAAGCCAGGGACACCTAGGCTCTGCCAATTCCTTATGGGGCAAACCAACCGCAAGCTGACCCTGTCTCAAAAACTTACGCGTCTGGTGACTTGGAGTAGCCGCTGCCAAAGAGGCTGCGCAGAGAGCGCGGCGGCGAGATCCTGGCATCGCGAGAGTAGAAGACCATGCACACATCCTTGGTGATGACAGCCGGCTGGATGCAGTGATCCAGCTGCAAGCAGACGGGAGTGGGCTCCGTGAGCGGCAGAGAAAGCATCTGTGACAGGTGTCTGCGGACCACCGCATTTGCAATGCTGGTCCCAGACACGGGGGCTGGAGGGCTTCAGCTCTACCAACTATTTCAGCAGCCACGCCGTGGACAACACGGGCAGGACTGAGTGCCATTCCTTGCAGATGCATTTAGTTTTCACAAATTTTTTCAAAGTGTTTTTTGTAATAATGGCTAATGTGTATTATTTACACACTTCTAAGTCCTTTTACATGCTATTATCGTCCAGCTTAAGAGACGAGGAAATTGAGGCACAGAGAGATGCAGTCATTTGACCACAGACATGCAGACAGTATTCGGCAGCACATGGGTTCGGACTCACACAGGCTGCTTCCGAGTCTGCATGGTTAGCCCCTACGAGGCCCTGCTCACAACCACAAAAGCAGGGGGTGAAGTGTTCTTAAAACCATACATTCTTTGAAGAATGGTGATTAGGCTGCTGAAGCTCAAAGAAATGTCATGTGACCTTTTGATTAGAGAGAGACTGGGAACAGACCTAAGACAATCAGAGCACTCAGCCAAGGATAATAAAAGAAGCACCTCAAGGATGCAGACGGAGGGGGAGGCCAGCGGGGTCTCTCCTACCCGTCTCCTGCAGGAAGCCGCCCCGCTCAGGGCTGCCTGTCTGTAGCAACATGAGTCCTGGCTCTCCTCACCTCTAAGTAGGCCGACAAGGTCATGTAGATCTTTTCCCCATACGGTGTTACTCGGTTGAGGAGGAGGGAGTTGTGGAGGGAGCTGTCCCACACGGCCTCGAAACGGTAGAAGGTCCTAAGGTCAGAAAGCAAGAGGGAGTCATCCAAAAGAAGCTGAAGTCACCTCAGTCCAGATACTGTCACTGTCAGTAACATTACAGGATCTTATGCCAATCAATGCTTTCAATTTACTGAAATTTAACAGCAGAGCGGAACTGCTCTTCCACCTGGGAGAAAAAGGTACCCCACCCCCCGACCCCACCCATGATCAAGGGACACTTAGCTAGTCTATTTTTTTTTGGACACGTTTGCTTCTCCTCTGACTAAAATATAAAAATGGCGAGATCAACCAAAGAGATTAAGATGAAAAGGGTAAGTGAGAATGGACAAAAACTGAAAGAGGAAAGAGAGACTAAGTATGCCCATCTGCCAGGCAAGAGCAGGAAGCAAACACTCAGTAACTTGTAAACTGCAATCTTCATATCACAATCCAGCTCTGCTGAGCCTCAGAAATGTCTCGCACCTATCTGGGAGAATTCATGGGGGAAACAATACAGACAGCTTTGTTTTAAATAAAAGAACAGGAAGTTATTCTTAGCTGAAGTTTCAGTAAATAATTTTTAACAACAAAGTTAGTCAACTACTATTCGTCAGTTTTCAAAAAAAAAATTCACTTGAAAGTCAATCTTACATTTAAGTAATTAGAAATTTGATTTAATAGACATCATAACTTTTAAAAGTTGTTCTAATAGCTCTTTTCTTGCCACAAGTAGAACAACACAGACCCTAACTGACATCAGCCCTCCACACCAGCACATCTCATCAGAGGCCATGGACTGAGTAACAGCGGTGTTACAGGTCAGCTCCCAACACCACGCAGGCTCCTGCTCAGACCGCCGTGGCAAGTGTTGGGGAAGACACCTTGTCGACCCAGCAGAGTGGATTTCCCACTACCATTAGCTCTCTCTATGTGTACTATACCTCACCCGATTCAACAGAAGTCTTAGACACCTGTTCTAGCGCTATACCGTCCTCCTGACTCCTTCCCACCGGTGCTGTCTGTTCCAGATTTCCAATAACAAACAGCTGGCATATCTTATCTCTAAGCTGTCCCCATGTTCCTTTCTCCAGAAATGATCAGGAGGAAAACAACTCATTTCTAAAAGAACTCCTTAACCGCACCGCGTTCTCCGAGTGCCAGAGTGTGAAGCCTGATCACTTCATTTTGTAGCTGCTCCTAGATCTAAGTCTTCTTGAAGTACTCAATACTTTCTCAAAGATTTAGTTTCCCAGGCCACATGTATGGATCGAGAAAATTCTCTACAAGGCCACCAAAGGAATGTAGGTACAACCAACATGACAAAGACAGAGAAAAAAACCAAGAACCCTGAATAGTAACCATGACACAGGACAATGGAAGCCTTTCCATGACTCCTGAGCTCACTGGACTCAGCACAAGAAGGCTTTATGCATCCACAAAGCCTTGTTTGGATCAAATCTTCACTTTACTTTGGTTTGAGACAAATTCAATATTGGGTGGCAATTCCCACCATGTCGGTGGAAGCCACCGAGGGCTCTGTCACCTTGAGACTGCACTTCCATTGCATCCCTGTTTGTGGAGGTGGAATGGGACCTACCTGATGCATCCCAAGACCTGGATGCACCCAGGCTGAGGTGGAAGGAACCCTCTTCTCAGTGGGAGGGCATTTGTTGGTGTGGGGTCACCTGACAGACAGTCCTCTCACTGCTGCCTACAACCTGAGACCACACCTGAGCACCTCCCAGCGCTACCCTGTAGGCTTCTTGGCTCTTTCAAAGGAGGCAAATGTTTTAAATTTGTGTAAGAAAACCTCTTGACATTTTTGTCTTCAGGTTTTTCCTTAAACTAAGGAGAAAACTTCACTGGTAGAAACTTGGCTAACATAAAGGAATTTTTAAAAACTGACTTGAGAGAGGAAGAGGGAGGGGGGTGGGAGAGAAGGGGTGGATAGAAACATCAATTTGTTATGCCATTTATTTATGCATTCATTGGTTGACTCCTATTATGTGCCTGATTGGAGATTGAAACTTCAACCGTAATGTATAGGTACAATGTTCTAACCAACTGAGCTCCCCAGCCAGGGCCCATAAAGGAATTAAAAAAAAAATTTTTATTGTATTCTTTCTTTTTAAAGATTTTATTTATTTTTAGAGAGAGGGGAAGGGAAGGAAGCATTGATGTGCAAGAGATACGTCCATCGGTTCCTCTTGCTTGCCCCCAACTGGGGACCGGGCCTGCAACCTAGGCATATGCTCTGACCGGGAATCAAACCTGTGACCTTTTGGTTCACAGGGTGATGCTCAATACACTGAGCCACACCAGCCAAGGCTCATAAAGGAACTTTTGACTCCACTAAACTCCTCTTTATTGTGGGAAGGGGAGTGGTTTCTTCTTTGCTTTGTTTTGTTTGGTGCTTGGAAGTTACTGCAGCACATTCTTTTGGAATACCCACCAAAGGTGGCAATTCTTGACAGGTGGTTGTAAGAAATACAACCAAGTCAGGTAAGAAATGTCAACTGAATCAGCTAGCAAGAGATTTTAGAGTTAGATACAGGGCCGAATCCTGAGACATGTTTTCCTATATGGCTCTTATGTGGTTAGAAAATGGTATCAAATGGATGTCTCAAATGTCTGAACAATGCGAGGGAGGGCAGGGGGTGGGGGTGTGTGCGTGCGTGCGTGTGTGTGTGTCTTTTTCAAAAAACATTAAAACATTTTAGGCTATATTGTCATATATCCCTTTTTTCTTCCCTAAATTGAATAAAGAGAGAGGTGGGAAAACTTTCCTTCATTTTTTTTTCTATTCAAAAGAAGAAAATAAATAGATCAGACAAGCATCCCTGACAGCAGAAAAGTTTAACAAAAAAATACTTCTCACAGACTCAGCTACCCAAATAGCTAAATTGGTCTCTACTACCATTTAAGGAGAAAAACAAAGAAAAAAGTTAATGATGCAAAACTACATACAGAGCAACAAACCTTTCAAGCTTTTGACAGAGGACAAAGAGAAGAGAAAACAAAGCCTGAGAGTCTCTATGAATGAGGGGAGGAACATTCTGTTTTGTAGTGCAGAAGGGGAAACCCTGACGTGCACAAGAATAAAAATGGACAACCTTAGTAGATGCAATGAGAAAATAAGGAAGAATTCTACAAATCCTTTAGGAAGCTATATGCAAAATTCTACACACAGCAGAAAGCCCAGGGCACAGCAGGTGCAGGGTAGCATTTCTCTATTCCAGGTTTGCTTAGGTTTGCGTGGGAAAACACTAATAAAAATAGCAGTCAAGGCAACATAAGACATAAAGCACTGATAAACTAGAATCTCTATGTGCAAAAAAGCAAAAGCAAACAGAAAATACCTAGGAATATCCTTATCAAGAAAGAGCCTGCAAAAACATAGAAAAAGCTTTTGTTAGTGCAGCAAAAGAAAAAAAAGGGAGAGAAAAGCAGAAGAGAAGAAAATATATAAAAAAGGCCATTAAGCAAAGTGAATTCAAGTGGACATTTAGCAGAGAACACCATGGGACACAATATATAGAGGGATTACAATGACATGCGCCCCTTTCCCTAAGACATTCAAATAGAGAAAATGCTGGGCACGGGGCGGGGGCGGGGGGGCGCGGGACGTTGGAGACCACCTCTATCAACATCCCTTTTGGAAGGGGCTGTGTGTTGGAAATGGCGGGAAGCTGCTGTGGATTAAGGGAAAACAAGTCAGGTGAGCAACATAAACGAGGGACTTGGAAGAAGAGGAGTAATGACCTGTGTGAGTCACACTCCACTACCAGTATATCAGAAAAGCCTCTAATGTATATACACAATACACGCACACTGGAGTTCCGGAAGTTCAACTGTAAACATTAAGCCCTAGGCAAAGAGAACACAAGCTCTCTTCACCAAACTCCATCTAGTAACTTACCACATTGACTTACGTTTTCCATGTCCCTAAAATATAAAGACTGATGTCCATTTCTCATTGAACATTCGAAACTAGAGGTATTTCTTATTTATTCAGACTATTCCAAAGAGATGACCTGTAAGCTTATCAAGTGTAATATTTGGTTCCAAACCTGTTTATGCAGTTTTATTTGTGAACATAATAATCTAATTAAATATTAAGCAAATCAATGAGACATGAGGGCAAAAAGAATTTTTGTTCAGTGTGAATCAAAATTAAGTGTAAAAAATCAGATGACCATTTTAAAAAGGTTTGATAATGGCAAGTTGTATAAAAAAGTTATTAAGTGTGGGTGAGGTCAATGTAAAAGAAAGGGAAAGTAACAAACTTTTAATGTTAAATGATAAAAAATTTAAAAGATTTGGCACTTAGATTTTTTAAAATTATATTTTAGTGATTATGCTATTACAGTTGTCCTGATTTGTCTCCCTTTGCTCCTTTCTACCCAGCACGCCCTATCCCCTCAGACAATCCCCCCACCATTGTTCATGTCCATGGGTCATGTGTGTCGAGTTCTTTGGTTACTTTATTTCCTACATTGTACTTTATATCCCTGTGGATATTCTGTAACTACCTATTTGTACCTTTTAAAAAAAAGACTTTATTTATTTATTTTTATAGAGAGGGGGAGGGATAAACAGGGAAACATCAGTGTGTGGTTGCCCCTACTTGCCCCTACTGGGAACCTGGCCTGCAACCCAGGCATGTGCCTGGGCTGGGAATCAAACCCACGACTCTTTGGTTCACACGCCGGCACTCAAGCCACTAAGCCACACCAGTCAGGGCCTATTTGTACTTCTCAATTCCCTCACCTCTTCACCCATTCTCCCACACTCTCCTCCCATCTGGCAACCATCAAGATGCTCTCCATCCATGATTCTCTCTGTTCTTCTTTGCTTAGTTTGTTTTTTAGGTTGAATTGTTGGTAGATCTGTATTTACTGCTATTTTATTGTTCATATTTTTGATCTTTTTCTTAAATAAGTCCCTTTAACAATTCATATAATAATGATTTAGTGATGATGAACTCCTTTGTTTTTTGTCTGGGAAGCCCTTTATCTGTCCTTCGATTCTAAATGATATCTTTGCTGGATTGAGGTGTCTTGGCTGTGTACCTTCATTTCATGACTTTGAATATTTCTGGCCAATCCCTTCCAGCCTGTAGTTTCTTTTGAGAAATCAGCTAACAGTCTCATGGGGACTCCCCTGTAGGTAACTAACTGCTTTTCTCTTGCTGCTCTTAAGATTCTCTCTTTAACTATAATCTTTGGCATTTTAATTATGATGTATCTTAGAGTGGGCCTCTTTGCATCCATCTTGTTTGGGACTCTCTGTGCTTCCTGGACTTGTATGTATATTTCCTTCACCAAATTAGGGAAGTTTCCTTTCATTATTTTTCCAAATAGAGTTCCAATTTCTTGCTCTTGCTCTTCTTCTTCTGGCAACCCTATGATGTGAATGTTAGAATGCTTGAAGTTGTCCCAGAGGCTGCTTACACTACTCTTGTTTTTTTGGATTTTTTCTTCTTCTTGTTCTGATTGGTTGGTTTTTGCTTCCTTATGTTCCAAATCATTGATTTGATTCTTGGCTTCATTCACTCTACTGTTGTTTTCCTATAAGTTGTTCTTTATTTCAGTTAGTGTATCCTTTGTTTCTGACTGGATCTTTCTTATGCTGCTGAGGTCCTCCCGAAGTTCCTTGAGTATCCTTATAACCAACAGACTGACAGACTGCTTATCTCCATCTTGTTTAGTTCTTTTTCTGGAGTTTTGATCCATTCTTTCATTTGGATCACGTTTGTCTCCTCGTTTTGGCAGCCTCCCTGTGTTTTTTTTCTATGTACTAGGTAGAGCTGCTCTGACTCCATTTTGGTAGCATGGCCTAATGTAGTAGGTGTCATATAGGGTCCAGTGGCACAGCCTCCCCTATCACCCAAGCTGGGTACTTGAGGCGTGTCCTTTGCGTGGGCTGAGCACACCTTCATTTTGTAGCTGAGCCTTGGTCGCTGCTGGCAGATCAGTGGGAGGGACTTATTCACACCAATCAGCTGCAAGGACTGGCTATGACCACTGACTAGCAACCTCTGCCCTCCATGGAGGATGAGCTGTGCAGGGGTAGGGTACAGGGGCAGCTCCGACATGGTCTGTAGCTGACTACTGGGCTGTAGGCTCTGGGGTTTCCCAGAGGATGCAGGCCAAGGTCAGACTCCACCAGTGTTCCAGGGCCACACTGCCTGAGCTCTACATCAATCTGAGATGGCTGCTACTTGTGCTGGGCTTGGAGATTCCCAGGCAAAGCCAAGCTGTGAATCTAGGCTGGCTGCCACAAGTGCCAGGCCTGGGGCCACTTAGCATGAGGGACAGGGGTGCCGGGGGCTCACTGAGGCCGGCTCTTGCTTGTTTGACAGGATTTAGGAAGTTGTGAGGTGTAAGCCAAAACCAGCCATTCATATGGAACAGTCAGGGTTAACGGTTTGCTTTGCCCATGGGTTGGGAGTCTTGGGGTCTCCAGGGAAGGGCAAACAGTGCGCGCTTGGATGATGGAGTCTCAGGTATGGCACCTGCCTGCTGGCTCTGTGGCTCTGTCAGGGGAGGGCTCTGAAAAGGGACAACAGCCTCTTCCTGCCTTCCTGTCTGGGAGAAAACCGCCCTCCGGTTCCCACCTTGATCCCTGACCCTTCAGTTCCTCCCTGTGTGCCACTGGTGCCTTTCAAGCTGCTACCCCAGCGTTAGAGCTCAGAGGGAGTGAACCTAAGTAAGTGCCTGTGTGGATTCTTTAAGGGGGACTGCTCGGGGCTTAGCAGGGACTGAGTCAGTCTAAGTTTCCTTCCCTGCTGGTTTCTGCAGCCAGAAGTTGTGGGGACTTATCTTCCTGGCACTGAACTCTGGGCTGGGGAACTTGGTGTGGGGCTGGGACTCCTCGCTCCTGAGATACCCCTCTCGAATTTTTATCCAACACATGCAGATGTGAGACTAGCCCATTCCACGTCTCTGCCCCTTCTACCAGTCTAGATGGATGTGGTTTCTTTAATTCCGTAGCTGTTGGACTTGTATTCACCTTGACTTCTGACGGTTCTGAGTGATGGTTCTGAATGATGGCTGTTCTATAATTTAGTTGTGGTTGTGTGAGGCGGTGATCCGATTTTACCTATGCTGCCATCTTGACCAGAAGTCAGCACTCAGATTTTCATAACAGGTTTCCAGTTCTTGCTCCACCAAATTAAAAATCATAGATGATAACTTATGGATGTGGTTTCGCAAGAAAGATAATCAGACATCCAATAAATGCTCCTACAGTTGAAGAAAAGGTCTTGGCCCGACAGTAGGAGCTTGACAAATTAATGTACACTTACAGAATTTAAATTAAAACAAAAATATTTACAGTGTTCTTGACTTAAGTCAACTTCTTTGATTAAAGCTAGGTTTGTATCATCAAAGATAAGCTGCTCCTGACAAAGCTGAATTCTTCTCCTACAGAGCCTGACTTGCTACTGGGCAGGAAACGAAGGATTCTTGAAGGTTATTCTAACGTAGGCAAGTTTAGCACAACCAGCATTTCAACCTAACACTGTGTATTCTGCTAAGTGCCCAGGGAAATTTAAGATATACTTCTCACAGTTGCAAAGAAAATGTGGTAAATGTCACTGATTTTCTGCTGTAAATGTCCAGCAGAATTAAAAACACTGGGAGGAGTTAATGCTGACTTGTGAGAATGGTATTGCTCAAGACTTTGCCCAGGAACAGGCCGGGGAAGGTTGACGCTCCCTTCTTCATTCCTGCCGCTCACCCCTCCCCGCTCCCGCACCTCTGCCCTCTCTTTCCACAGCCCCTGCCAGTGACTCTTACAGGCAAAAAGCAGGCGCTTGTTACTTTTTTTTTCCTTCTTATGCAAAACTATGACACATGGAAACCAAGAGAAAAAAAAATTAATCCTGGCCCAAACTTTTAATTCTGTTTTTCCCTATTGTCTTATTTTTCTCTGTCTCTTCCCAACACAGCTCTGAGCAAGTCCTTCAGGAGCAGACAGGCACAGGTAAGCCCTGTGATGCAAAGACAGCGTTCTAAGCCTGCGTGAGAACACACATGCCTCCTTCCCAGCACTTAACGAGGGAACGGAACGCATCTCTGTGCACAGTGGCAGAGCTCCTTTCCTGGGGAGGTAAGAGGGCCCAGCTGATGGTTTCCAGTTTGACACGGGAACGTACAATGGTTACTTTATACAGTATCTGTCATCAACTGACTATAAAATGGAATATTAAGGAAAACTAATTTAAAATTAAAAGGCAGACTACACTGGCAGCAGCAACAACTACACACAAGCAGGTTCACCATACCCAGTAGGTCATGTTTCCAGGACAGCTAGGACCGAGAGAACCTTCTCCACAGAAACCACGTCACAGGGAAACTTTTAGTCTTAGCACTAATGAACAGTACTTTTTGCACCACTGGATAGCATGCTGAGTTTTCTTTGTCTGCTTTTTCTCTTTCACTGTGTTATGTCTACTCCACATAGGAGAGAATATTCCTACTCTCTGAGGGTGACTAATCACACACACAGCTCTCTCATTATTTCTGTGCTTATTCGGAGGAAGCAGGGGGCAGGGAAAGAAATAGGAGCTTTGAAGTAAGAAGGGAATGAGCTTCTTCACCTAAACGGGAGCCACTAATGAGTGAGGAACCTAAGGGAGCGCCCATCAGCCCCACGGGGCCGACTCCTCACACTCCTTAGGGTGTCCCACCTGCTGGAGTTGTGGGAAGACTTCAGGTACTTGGCAGAGATGATGTTTAGGGAGAGGATGGCATCCACTGCAGCTTCATCCACCTCAGCCTTACTCCTAATCCGGCCTAGAAGAAATAAAGAAACCAGAAAAGGGGTATATTGAAAAAAGAAAGCATCTCTTCTGTTTTGTATAATAATTTTCCATGTAAGTAGTAATTTTCCAAAAGCTTGAAAACCACTGTCCCAGACAGGGGAAGGTATAATCTTCCTTCCAAGGGTTCTTGTTAATATGGTCCACAGACTCCCAAAGGGGTCTACGGATAGAATTCAGAACGTCTGTGAACGTGACTAGGAAAAAAATTCCAACTTTATTTTCATGAACCTCTACCTGAAATTCAGCACCTCCCTCAATCATGGAGGGAGGGGACAAACCACAGGAGAATCAGCAGTACCCATGACTCCACCTCCAGTAGAGATCACAGATGCTTTCATAACGCACTAATGTAAAATATCTTCGCAGTCATTGCTACTCTGAAACTATAGAAATTCAATCTACTGTTTACTTAATGCAGCAATAAGGAAGAGCTTACATTACAAATGTTTAGTATTTTAACAATTGTTTCAATATTATTAGTTCCCCCTGCAATATTAAATACTTTATTTTCTACCTTTAAAAACGTAATTCTGAGGCTTTACTACTGCCGAGGGCCGAAGGCGACAGGAGGCTCGGGCCCCACCCTCCTGCCCTGCAGCCTGCACCGTCCTGCGGACGACCCCCTCACTACGCCGCGCTTTAGTTTCTCCACTCTGCCTACGGGTTACTAGCCATTTGCATGTTAGACATTTACCTTGTTTTCATACTTTAAATGTTTCTGTGTGGAAAGCAAAACAAATCCCTTCTAATTTCTTTGGAACCTATTCAGATCTTGTTCCCTTGTTCTCATTCTGGCACTAAGGATCAAACTGCTTTGTCCATATATATGTTGTCTCTTCAAACAAAGGGCAAGCTCACAATGAGCATAGACTTCTGGCACAAGACCATTCCCACAATAACTGAGTAAAATAATGGCTGAATAACATATCCCTAATGATGGAGCTGAGGAAAAGTAGTAGTTTCAACCTCATGGCCTCTGTATTCTCCAGTACAGTCTCACACAGTCCCTGGGCTCCAAACAGGAACACCTTAATCTCTACAAACCCTGGCTCCATCCTTAGCCAAAGGAATGCACTCACCTACCACCAGTTCACGAACATCTTTCCAATGAAGCTCACTCCCCTTCTCATGGATAATGGTCACTGTGACTCGTCGCTGGATGCCCTGGATAACGGAGCAGGGTTGTATTTTAGTAGGACAAACTATTATTTCCTCCTGTTTGTTGTTTTCTGGATTGTCTTCTATAGGGGAAGGCAGCAAAGAAAGGGAAAGAAAGAGGGGGGATGTGCTGTCCACACTGTTATCCTAAACAACAGGATGCAGGTCAGGGAGCGAGGAAAAGCCAGGTTCTGCTATGGCTTTAAGCAAAGATGGACAGATTATATGCCATAGACGTGAGGCTCCCAGCTCCTCTGCCCTCAGCTCCATTCCTACATTTCATGGCCAGATTTTTGTCCACTGAAACCTTCACCCTCTATCCACATTAAGAACTTTCGGCTGTAATAGCAGTTTCCAAACATCACAAAATGAAAACTGTATGAAATGACATGGAAGCTGAACAAATTACAGTGAATGAAGCAAAATCTCTTATCAAAATAGCTCTCCTTTATATTTATATATAAAAGCCAAGGGTATGCATAAGCCAAGATCTGAGGAAGAAACATTAAAAACAAACATACAAAAGAAAACAAAAAAGAATTGGACAATGTCCCCTCATTTCCAAATCCCTCAGAAAAGGAAAGGAAACAGAAATGAGCTATGTTCCTTTTCTGAAACCCTTTTTCTCTGTTTCCTCCTAGGCCCTCTTTTGCTCCCCTATTGGTACCTGGTGAAGCAGAAACGTCCCCTGGCAGGGCAGGCCTGCTGTGTGGTCAACCACAGCTGGGATGTACCTGTGAAAACAGAAATGCAGGAGGAAGGAGTTAGCTAGACCGTCCACATGGACTAGTGCTGCTTCACCGACAAGGTCATCCCCCGGGGTCTTTGCTTATCTAAGCCCAGCCCCACGTTTTTCTCACCGGTTTCGCACTGTTTTAATCACCGGTCATTGGCATTTAGTAAACCTTTTCACAGGTCTGTGTCCCCTCATCCTCACTAGACTGAAGTACTCAAAGGACAGCAACATCTTTTGGCTTCATCCCAGCCCCTTGCATGACAGATATGCCATCTATAATGGGTAACCATTATGGCAAGTGGGAGGCAGTACGAGATCATTCCAGATTCTAGATCATTTCACAAGAATTAGAAAGAAATTAACTCAGTAAAAATCATTACTGTAACTACCTCTTTCTCATAATGGAAGTTATAATCACATTATAGATCTGTCTAAGCAAAGTCACATTTCTTAAAGCAACACTTCTGACAACTGTCCACAGGACTGGCGGAGTCACACCTCACACGTAGCAGGAACTCAGTCACTGTCTCACGGAGATGAGCTTAACGGTGGCGCTCATGCTATACAGCACAGGGAGGCTCATGAGGACCACACTCACCCCTGCCCTCCGCGCTAGCTAACAGAGGCCTGTGCCTCTGGTTCAGGAGGGGAACGTTTTTTGTGTTTTTTCCAAAAGCATTTTAGAGATAACTATAAGTAATAACATTCACCGCTTAGCTCATACAGAGAACGTAAGCTGATGCTGATCATTTGGATCCAGGACAATGGTCCTCAGCTGGGAGAGATTTTATTCTCTAGGGCAGCGGTCCAATGTTTGGCAATGTTTGAAGACATTTCTGGTTGTTACAGCTGAAGGGGAGGTGCTACTGGCACGAAATGGGTAGAAGCCAGGGTGGTAGCTAAATAGTCTACAATGCACAGGACAACCCTCGACAACAGAATTACCTGGCTCCAAATAGAGCCAAGGTTGAGAAGTCTTGGTCTCAGCACTCACTCACTTGACAATGTATTATGTGCAAAGTGCTTCTGACTCCCTTTGCTTTACTGCTGGTAAAACCCAGTAGGTAGGTTCTCTTCCCTCCTGACAAAGTGATAGTCCGCATGATCTTGCTGTTGTTAACAGGAAGGTAAATTATTATACTAAGTATTGTGTTGGCCAAAAAGTGTTTAAGTTTTTCTGTAAAATAAAATACGTATTTTTCATTTTTACCAATAACTTTATTGATTTGGATATTTTGAGTATGTTGGCCATCTCCCAAAACTGGCTTCCAGTAGGTAGAGGCCAGGTGTGTGGCTGAACATCTTCCAATGCCTAAGAAAGCCCCACAGCAAACAACTTTTGACACATTTGATCAGTCACAGTAACTTCTTCATATACTACAAAAATCTTTTTCTGTGTTTCAGTTGCCTTTTTTTGCCTTTCTTGAAATAATAAAGCGTAATATGCAGAAAATGTTACATATCTTCTTCCATCTTCAATATTAAAATGGCTGCACAAAAATTCATCAATTTTGATGTTTTTTAATGCACACTGATATGACGGCTGTCACAATGCAATCTAACAAAACTGTTTCAAATGAAGTTTAAGATAACAAGCACTACTAGAGCCATGGTACAGAAAAAACTAAATAACCTTTTATGGCCAACCCAACAGTCAGCTCTCTGACAAAGATCTGATTCAAAGAATAATATCAAGACCACCAAAATTCAATTCGAAACTGAATTTGACAGTGACAATGATTCATGAACCTGAATACAAGAAGAGAAACTCAAAATTACAATTTCTAATTTTGAAAGTTTGCCTTTCTTTAAAAAAATAAAGAAAAAAACCACTTTGCCTTCATTAAAAGTTTATAAAGTTGGACTTACTCTCCTGTAGGCTCCAGTTCGCTGATCTCAAACCAAACCAGGAGGTCATACTTGCTCATGCTCTGGCCAAGACTGGTTTTGCTCATGGTGTTTAACTTGGTGGCTGGAACTTTTAAAAGTTTTAGAAAAAGTAAAAAATCTGATTCAAGTCTACTCCATAAAAGAATAAGCTTCTCAAATGTCAGACTTTAAGGACCCACTTGGGAAAGGCAGCAAGGGTCAGGGGATAGATCGCAATGCAGAAGACCCAAAGAAATTTCAACGTCAACTACGTCAGAACCGCTAAAAGCAGAGACCGAGGAAAGGGCAGGGTCGGCACCCTTCTTCCTCTCAACAACCGCACCCAACGGTAAGAAAACAGGTTTCGCGCCAAGTGAACGTGCTCACAAAACCATTAAAAACCTTCAGACTCTCGCAGGGCCCCGTACCTCACAGCTGGGCGGGACCTATCCTCCAACCCAGGGGGGTTCCTGAACCTCCCTGCCCAGGAATCACCCAGGATGTTAAAGACGGCAAAGCCCATGCCACACTCCAGGCCAATTAAATCACAATCTCTAGGGCTGGGACTCAGTCCCCTGAGAGGTCTGAAACTGCCCAGGTGATTCCAATGTGCAGACGAGTTTGAGAACCTTTATGACCTCTAAATACAGGGTTCTGTAAATCTCTTGTCACGCATTTTCTTCAGATTTAAATTCCATATTCTTAACTGTATGTTATGATGAAGTACATTAGCCAAAACAGAGTATTTCAAGAATTTCAGATTCTACATCACGGGCACCTTGAAACACTACAGAGAACCTCTGAAGACCGGCGATGCAGCGAGGGCCCTCAGCTCAGTCCCTGAGAGCTCTGCAGTGAGTGAGAGTCCAGTGACTTGGGATCTAATTATTGTTCGACCTCTAAAGAGCTATGTGAGGTTGGTTGAGTCGCCTACTCTCTGGGAGACTGTCTCTTCATCTATAAAATGTAGACCCTAGTATTTCACCTGCTATCTCAAAAAGGTATTATGAGGATCCCCTGACACAGTGGAGGTAACAGGGCTTCATGAGTGACACAGCACTGTTCACACACGGAGCCTGACAGCATTACCCATCCTGGCTGAATTCCACGAGTCGGTGATGCTAGTCAAGAGGAAAATAGGGTTAGTGATTCTGGCAATCATCTAAGGGTCGGGAAGCAAAACCGGAAGCATTAAAACAAAAAATACACATATACTAGTAAAAACCTTAAAGTTAAAAATACTGATGCAAAGGCACCAAACGAGCAAATACAAGGAGCTCTCACCCTCAGGGTGAGGTGGAAGAGGCACAAGTGAACAGGGTGCTTCCTAACACGTGTCTGAAGCACACGTGGCAGGCTCTCGTCAGCGCGCTGAACGCTGCATTCAGCTCGGGTGGCAAACAGGAAGGTGGGTGTCTCACACAGAGCCAGGCTTTAGGGCAAGCCCCCGAGGACAGCTCCGCATCTAGGCTCTACGTCTAGAGCTAATTTAGCTACTAACCATCTGCTTTAGGTACCCTCTTACTCTGGCAGCCGGGGACTGGCAGGAAGAGAAAAGGCGGCCCCAGACCAGCCCCATCCGAGAAGCGGGCAGCAGCGGAGCACGAGAGCACACCTGCGGCGTGCTCAGAAAATGCCTCCAACACGCGCGCGTTCACAGAGCCAGACACGAGCAATCGCATCACGGCAATCTTTCTCTCATGGCCTGAAGGCAGGATGGAGATGAGAGCACAGAGGTGGGGAGTGAGCACAGGGCGGGGTGGGAATGTGGGCAGTGAGGGAAAAGGGTGAAATAAACAAAGAACAATCAAAACAAGGTAAGTAAACATGCAGGATAAATTTAATGTGCAAAGAAACGCCCAGTCACCTGACAGTGGCGGGGAGGTACACACACAGTGGAGAGAGTCAGGAACAGGGGGCTCATGAAAGCTGACAGTAAGAGGACCAGAGACCGGCAGTCACAGAGTTCTACTGTTTCTTACTTCTTATTTTAAACCATAAGCCAAAAGCTCTAGTTCCTGCTAGACACAAGGATACGTAAGGACACACAGAAATGGAGCAGGAATTTGAGTATGATTTTTATCTGAAAAGCCATTCAGAATAAGAGATGCATTCACACAGGGAACATCAGGCAAAGAATGCAGCCGGCGCTCACCTGGCTTGGAGAGAGGCATGGGCGGAGGGAAGAATCGTCGCGATGGCTGAGGCGGACTGCAAAAGAAGGAAGACAGAGGTCGTAAAGACAAGATAATGTCTCAGGCTAATAATAATGGTATATTTAAGTCCCCTTTAGACAGAGATGGTTTGTACTTTCAACTCCAACGTAGTATCAGACACCAGGCATAATTTTCCTCAGAGTAAAACTGAGGCTCAGACATTTTACTAAAAGTCTCCTTCTAAGTCATAGCTAACAAATGGAATAGGAGAACTCTTCTGTTAACACTGACCCCCTGCTATCCTCCCAAGGCACCCGCTGCTGCTCTCCTCGCCAATTTTCGTATCTCCACTGGGAGCTTATGCTTCATGAAATTCTCGGTGGTTAGGAACAATTACACACAATTACATGCCGTATCTCTGTCACCTCACCTTTCAGTCCTATTCAAAGTCTCTTCCTACAAAAAGATAGTACTCAGGATCACGTGGGAAAAATTCAATTTGCTTTACCTAACATTAGTGATTAGGTGGCTTAGAAAGAAAGGTGGTGAAGTTTCTAAAGAGGAGACAATGGGCAGCAAATATGCTGTTATTTAGTTACCTTAATTCCTCAAAAGATTTCTTTCTTTCCAGCAAATGACAGTAACAACAACGATAATAATATCAACAACAAAAATCTATGCTCATTTGGCCCTAACCTGTTAAGGTCCTGTCCTTGCAGGTGAGGTGGGTGCTGCTGGTAATGCCCGAAGACTTCAAATACGATAGGCTTGGTTTTGATATATTCCACAAATGACTCGGTGACCTCCACTGCAATCTAGTAAAGAATAAAGCCAGCTAGGTTAGGGAAAGATTTATCTGAAGAAAACACTTTTGCTGCAATCAGAGCTTTAGCACTTTTGAGTACTCGGCACGCGCTGGGTATTTTACTATGCAGGCCTCCCACAACAAAGATCAGCTAGGGTCTCTTCTGGTTTTCATTCTGAAGTAACTTGACTGAGCTTCAGGCATTCAAGACCCTCCCTCCCTCATCTCCCTGAACTGACCTCTGCCCCCTGCTGCCCTTCACACTCTGACCATTCCCCGTAATCCAACTCACCTGCTCTTTCCTCGTGGCGCATGAAGCCGGCCCTAGGCTGCAGCCCTGCCTGCAAGGCCCTCCACACCCTCACACCTCTAAGGCATTCCTAGACCTCAAGGCCCAGCTTAGATATTGCACTAACACCACTAAGGAAAACACGGCTGTTGACAGTGTGCCAGGCACAATGCCAAGTCCGACCCACCTCTTTAAAATTTTATTGTACTTTTTTAGATAGGGCGAGGAAAGGAGGGGAGAGGAGGAGGAGAAAGAGGTCAATTTCTTTTATGCCACCCACTCATGCATTCATTGGTTGCTTTTTGTTTGTGCCCTGACCAGGGATCAAACCCACAAGCTTGGCGTTTCGGGACAATGCTTTAACCAACTGATCACCCTGCGCTTTTCTTATTTACACTACATCCTCCAGAAAATCCCCCCACTTCCTTTCTATACCCACCCATTCTCCCCCAACAAAAAAAAAGTAACTCAAAGTACCTTTCTGTTAATGGAAATTATTTTCCCTTCTCTTTACTCCCATTGCATTTAATGAATATCTTTCTAACGTCTCTAGATCTTGTACTACCATTGATTAAATGAGCGTTTTATTTCCCTATCATAACGGTGAGCTCTTCGGGGATATAATCCTCTGATTCTTCAGGGCACTCCCCAGGGTATCAGGCACAGTCCTCATGCCCTGTAGCCAATCAATGTTTACTGGATACATGCCTGCTCATATTTACACAATTAAACATAAAAATAAAACAGTGTGTTCTGTGTTTGCTTGTTCCATTTCTGGAGTTGTCCTTCCCTCTCATACTTTGGAGAATAGACATGGGCAACGAGAATGAGGCCATTTCATGGGGTGGTGAGGATCCGGGGGCCAGAGCCACATGTCTCTGAGTTCAAACTCATCTCTGCCTCTTCCTAGCTCTGTAACCATGGCGACTCTGACTGCTCTGTGCCTATGTACGTTATCACAGCTGTGACGTGGGGATTAAGATCATCTATGGCATAAAGGTGAGAATTAAATGAGTAAAGACACAAAAAACATTCATAACACTGACTGACAGAAAACAAGCTCTCAATGACTGTTAGCTGTTGTGATGAGAGTGATGACTTCTGAGTAGAGTTTGAGTGACCCTTCTAGAAGAGAAAGGAGGTCTGTTTTCTTCCTCCAAGTATGAAAGAGCTGTAAAAGGCATCAATGGATTCATCATAGTATCAGTGGCAGGGAAGACAGAATTTGAATCTTAGTTACAAAGGTATTTGATAGTTATTTCCTTATTTGTAACTGAACAATGTAAGCACCTTAGAGTTTTAAGGACAATAAATATATTAACTTTAACAAACTCATACTAAATGCTTACTTGTCTAGGAAAGAAACACTGAAACAACTCAGCACATTCAAAGTGATGGAAGATTTCATTGGCAGATCAGCCCGGACACTGCTCATGAGGCCCATTGTAATTCGGAGGCGGCCAGCTGCTCTGCCCACTCCCTCCATTGTCTCCTCTCCCCACAGAGCCTGCCTCGCACAGCCACTGCGATCCCCATCTGTCCTGGGCTGCGAAAGCCCCTGGGAGCCTGCACGTGACTACCTCACACCAGCCACTTCAAGGTACCGCCAACCCGCAATACACCTGGCAAACACGTCCATGTCACTTACATTCTGCACATGATAAAAGCCCAGAGGACTTCCTCTGCCATTGTTTTTGAGGGGTTCAGTGGAGAATGCTTCATCATGACGATGCAAAAAGCTTAATGGAGAAATAAGACGTGAGAATTTTTCATTAAATGGTTTCATCAGGATCTATGTTGAATAAGCTCAAATTGGATCATATGGAAAAGAACACCCACTCAAGGAGAATCTTTAATTGAGCAAATTATTTACATGTCCTTGGCAAAACATTTTCCATATCACTCAGCATTTAAGATTGTATTTCAAAAATGACTGGAAAAAATGCGCCAAGCCTGACCATTTAGCTACATCGATGTACATGCAGAAATGCCTGAGAGCGCGTGATAAGTGAATTCAGTGACCTCCTCTTCCTTTCTGGTTTTCACTGAAAATAAAAATTATGAATTGTTTTGTATAGGAAAGATTTAGCAGATTCCAGCTCACACAAGATAGTGGTAAACCTGTAGATGGCGTACCTGCCTAGGAGTCGGAGACTCCTATTAAAATATGGTCATTGCTTATATTTTCTGTCCTTTAAGATGCAAATGCCACTCCTTGCAAAAGGTCTGTCCTGACTCACCCAAATAGTTGTGTTCCTGCAGCACTAGAAACCTTTTTTCCCTCAACAGTGATGATTTCACTGTTTGTAATAATGTATCCATAAGCCTATCTCCCCAAAAGACAGTGAGTTTCTCTCACAGGCTTGAAATAACAGAAGATACTCCTGAAATATCTGTTGAATCAGTGGGCTATGTTTATCTGTTCTCACAAATAGCGAGGTTTTATTATTTTTCTCTCCCTCCCTGCTCTAAGTCTGAAATAAAAAGAAGCAAAGAATTAAAGCATCCTCAGTACCAAGATTCACTGCCAGACAGAAACACCCATTAAAGAACATCCCACATCCCCTCCAGAAAAAAGGGAAAGAATACTTTGAATCGCGGGGTAGAGGCCAAAAACTTGTCTTCCAAATTAGTTCCTTAAGTCTGAGGACTACACATTTTGCCCAGCAGAGCTGGACGATCTCTGACCTACTCTCCTCCAATGCTCTGCAGGTGCAATTATCCTGGGGTTCCACATGGGTGACATGTGGTATCAGTCACACTGCTCTAGAGCTGTGTCTTCCCTATGCAGGCCAGATAACAGTTTATAAAGGCCAAAAAAGGATCTGAGTTTTCTTTCAGCATGAGTCAATACGCTCTTTCCTCTAGACATGTTGCTCTTTTTTAGGTGGTTTTAGGACAAAAGTCAACATACTACCACTACTTCAGACCAGTTAACCATGTAGGGTTTTTTTTCATTAAATACAACAGGGTCCAGCAGAAGTAATGCCTGCTTGAGTGTGGTTGGTAGGGTAATAATATGGGTGTAATAATTTATAGTGTTAATTTGAACATTTCATCTAAAATGTCATATGGTGTGCCTGAGTGTGATAATGTTATGTTAGAGAATTACATGCTTACAATTTTGTAATAAAAAAAAAAAGGGGGGGGGGCGTTATTTGTGCCGGGCCCTAAAAAAAACTGATTCACCTATTCCATCTAGCCAACTCCATCTCACTCTAAATTTGAAGCTTATAGTGAAAACATGTTAAATGGACAAAACCAAAAGCACCAGGTGGATATTTTAACGATTATGAGTTATAGAAAATTATATTTGTAGTAATCACATTTAATTCAGGACTTGGCTAAACGCTACATAAGAGCAATGCTTTGTAAACTCCCTTAGGACCCCTCTGATGACCACATAAGGGAGAGGGACGGCAGAACTCTAAAGCAGTCTTTTGGTGGCATCAGTGGCAAACTGGGCTTTAGAAATGGGACATCATTCTCTTGTACTGTGGCCCTTTCCAAATACTGCAAAGATATGTTGATGCTTGGAGGTATTAAAACTTAAGATTCTCAAAAAAGTGTTCCTTCCGTAGGGAGGCTGTGAGAAGGAAGCGCCTAGAATATAGGGTCAAGAGGGTTACAGGATAGAAAAAGCTTGTAAGTGGATGAGAAATAAGACCTGTCACATCTTCTCTACATGCTACTTTTTTTTTCAATTGATGTAGAATATTACTGTTCATTATGTTATTTAAATTTTCTGTTTCCCAAGTATCAATTAGGCATAATTGGTAACTAAATAATTCACTGCTTTCAGATTTGTTTATTAACAAAACATTTCAGCATAAAGAGCATTAGAAAGGCTAATAAATAGGCTTATCTGGGTCAGAGCCTATATTCACTGCAGAGAGGGACAGTCCACAGCGGCACTTTCAGCAGGAGATAAGGCCACATTCCTCCCCGCAATGAACTGTTTCATATCATTGTAGGTTTCCAGTTCCCATTATGATCTTGAGTGAAGAAAGTGTTTTATTTCAGAAACTGGTAGCACGTATTTCTAGGTGTGTCAGTGCCTCACAAATGTAAAGCAGCCTACAGAGCACAGAGGGCGTGGTCTGGGTTAACAGCTAGGTAGGGAGAGCGAGGGGCGGCTTACTTGAACTGACAGAAGATGTCTGCGTACTCTGGGAGGATCCCGCTGGCCTGCAACACGGTCACACGGAAAGTGAAGGCACTGCCCAGTTTCAGGTGGTTGCCAATCTCCTCAGAAAACCCTTCCATTACCATCTTCCCATCCAGCAAAGTGCTTGATTTTAAATCTAGTGAGGGTCAAATAAGCATACATCTGGTTCAAATAATGCACAGAACACTCTTCATAGAGGAGAGAGTAGGGCATTCTTTCCATTCCTAGTGAATGAAAGTGACTATCTCCTTGACAATGGTTGATATTCTTCTCTCTTTGAACATGTTCCTAATCATAGTAAACTGTGTCTACGCACCCAAGTCATTCATTCGATTGATTTCTTCTGGAGGTGTGATGACCTCGGAACTCTGGCCCTGTCCTTCCACAATCCTCAGCTCTTCCAAGGACAGACCAGAACGAGTCATTGCAACTGAAGAAAAGTCACTCTGAAAACAAGGCAGGGGGACGTAGATGACAAAGTAGCATAATAACACTTTTCCCCTAGTTTCCTTTCTTTTGTTTATTTGCCTAAAGATTAATAGTAACTATAAAATTATGTGGACTAAGAGTTGCCTGAGAAAAGACAATATAAAAAATATGAATTACTGTTGTAATTCTTAGACACCCTCTGGTTACCTATACGTTTTAGATCTAGGCAGAAGAACTGATCTCCAGTGCTGAACATCCTTCCTTCCTATAAAGCAGTCTACTTTCTTCTCCTTCCATCAGGTGTTCCTCTTCCTGGAAGGTTTCTCACCTGATTAAAGTACTCGTTATCAAAAGATATTTTGGCTGTTCCTGACTGTCGAATTCCAGAGCCATAATCAGGAGCTTCTTCATCCGCTAGGTAGGAAAAAAAAAAAAAGGCAAAGATTGAATGAGACTACCTATGGGTTGGGGAGGGGGACAACTCTTACTGGATTATAAAATAAATAATAAAGTAGTGGAAGCTTAGGTTCTAAGAACTTTAACACAAGAGGAGACACCAGGACAAGTCCTTTTGCTTAAGAAAGAAAACTAAGAAAGTCACACAGGCTGCTTTAAACTCTACTCAGTTAACTTCACCAACTCCCTTAGCTCATATGAGACTAGTTAGTAAAGAATCAGTTTTATTCTTGATATTGTTCAAATGTCATATCTAAAAATACTGATCCCGTCCTGGCTGGTGTGGGTCAGTGGATTGGGTGCTAGCCTGCAAAGCAAAGGGTCGCTGGATCGATTCCCAGTCAGAGCACATGCCTGGGTTGTGTGCCAGGTCCCCAGTAGAGGGAGCATGAGAGGCAACCACACACTGATGTTTCTCTCCCTCTACCCCTCTAAAAATAAACAAATAAACAAATAAAATCTTTTAAAAAATAAAAATACTGATCCCTTCAACTTGGTAAGATTATAGTCAATAATACTCAATAAATATTTTAAAATATTAGATTGTACTTGTGGAAACTTCCCTAAACTCAACAGTGGTGACTAAGTTACAGACTTCCATGGGGAAAAGCTGAACACTAAACGCAGCATAGCATTTAGAGATTGAAGCAGAAAAATGGCAAGAAATGGCCACATTCATCCCTCAGAATGCAGGTTGGATCATGGAGAAGTATCAGACTTTTGATCCATGTATTACAAAATAATAGCCGAAGGAGAGAAATGTCTAGAAGTACCCTGAGAGAACAATCAGGCAAGAAAAAATCTTGAAAATCCTGTGTTACTTCTGAAGCAGTTAATATACATGATTTAAAATGCAAATGACTTTTATAAAGTTTATCTAAGAACTGTCTTTCAAGTTAAAGGAAATCCCTTTACCCCATTATTCCAAAAGCTGTAGCCCAGACTAAACAGAATCTATTTCTGGTGCTTGGGAACAACAGCCAGAAAGGAAGCAATAAAGGCTTTCTCCAAGACACACAAATGCATGGCAGTTTGCATGTGTGACTGCAGCGTGGCCCACACAGAAATGCCTGCTGTGTCCAGGCAAAGAATCCACAGCTCTTGTGTCAGAAGAGGGCCACCTACCTGCAATGGCCTGTACAGCCACACGCAGAAATCCCCGTACTTCCCCCTTCTCACTGACAATGGCCACCCTGTGGATCAGGGGCACGGGGTACAGCAGATTGCTCAGGTACACAAATGCCCTAGGGACAGAAACCAGGAGACAAACATCTGAGCATCCCACAGACAGAGAAGCTGGCTGTGCAATTTGTCGAAAATACCTCTGTGAAACGGGGCTGGCTTCTAGGCCCTGTCTGAAGGTTACCTCTCTCTCTGCTCTGTACTCAGGCCACCTCCTGTCTCTTGTTAGCACAGTAAGTATATAAACAAATGCAAATACTTCATAACAGTTGACAGAGACCAACTTACACCAAATTAATTAATCCCTATAAAAACTGCTGCTGTAGGTAGAAGAGTAACAACTGGAAGTAGACTTTCTAGATACTAGTCTATAAATACTTCTAAGGGTGGGGAAAGGCAAACACATTAAAGAGCTTTACCTTTTAATGTAAGGAATTATAGAGAGGTTTATTTTGTTTTTCCCAATAGATAAAACAAATCAGGAGATAAAAAAGGCAGAAGAATGTGACTGAGATAAGTGTAAAATAGATTCAAGTCACAGTTATGGATCTTTATTTTTACTCTAAGAAATGACTACTATCTTTAGGCAGGGTTACTGGCATCCATGGGAGGAGAGGCTATGTAGCCAGGAGTTTCTGAGTAGCCAGCTTACAGGAGACTCTCGATGGGAATCAAGATAAATGAAAAGGGAGAAGACAGCGGATGCCTAAAGGGTCGCTTTTGCTGCTTAGATCCAAAACCTAATTCGGAAATGCATATACAAAAGGTAAGTAACTGATCTAACATTTTCTATTTTAAATGAATGGACAAAGTCCTATCACATTTGTATTCTTTTTTCTTCCACTATTTTGTAGCTATTGGTTTTTTTAAAGCAATAAAGACAGGTGATCACAAAGCTTAGTGAATAAGAAATTGGAGTTCCTACTGTTACTCCTCTGTCTTCCCACTTGACACATGCTGATCTTTGAACACAAGACAAGACAAAGAATAAACAGTTGCATCAAGAAATCAAACGTAACTAAACATGACACATATGTCTGTCTGATTTTTTCCTGCTCTGAAAAGTCTACTTTAAGACAGAGAAAAGGAAGATGAATGGGTTCTCGGGATTTCAACTCAAAATAATGAAAACGATTCTGAAAAAAGACAAAATACACCACAGAAAAACAAATGTTAAAACTTTAAGAGAATAAATAAAATATGAATGAAAAGTATTTTAAAAAACTGCAAATGAACATTAAATCAGATCAAATGATATCTACTTCCCTTTCAGTCTGCTCCAAAGGTGGGAGGGCAATGCTAAGAAACAAAGGGTTAAAGCTTTGTTGCACAAAAAACTAAAAAACGAAAAGTCTTCTTAAAAATTTACGAACAAGACTCTCAAACATCAACTACTGTGACAGAGTTTAGAGACTAAGAATTTGGCATAAGGTACCAAATGGATAATTTCACTTCCAAAGTCAGTGAACATACAAGACCACCTTCCTCTCTTAATGGCGATCCAGCCAGACGTGCCCACTTTCAATGCCTTGGCTATAAAGAGCCATTGCACGTGCTCATCCCCGGCCTGGAGTCCTCTCTGAACCCCACGGCCTGCCTCATGCCCTTAATGCCACATCTTGGGCGCTTATTCCAAACACCAATCTCTCATGCCAGGTCCCCCCAATGTTATATGATCTCAGTAACACACATGATTCCAGCATTGCTATGATTTACATTTACTTATTTATGTGATTATTTAATTTGTCTGTCTCAGCTCCCAGACTGTGAACTCACGAGGGCAGGAACCATGTCTGGCCTTGCTCGCCACTGATCGGTGACTGATTGGACATCTAAGTACATAAATAAATGGGAAAATGAATTGTCTTCCATCTTTAAGTATAGGTAGATGATTTTCCTAGAAAAGTGGGTTCCACCAGAGACAGCGAAGCAAAGCCGTCCAACTTTATACTAGGTTGATTTTTCAAAGCATTAGCAATAATGAATACTAACTGTACAGAACATGTTTAGATTTTTAACTATGCTTAACTAGTAATAGTTACTTTTTGATACTTAAAAATAGCTATTCAAAAACAGGAACCCCTGTTTTTAATTTTAACAGAGATTACCACTTGAGGGCACAGCATATCATGTTCACACACACACATTACAATGAAGTACTGTTTGAGCACACATTAAAGACAAGACTGTCTTTTCTGCCTATGGCAATGGCCATTCCAAAAGTGGAAGAATAGAAGTATTGTTACAGATTTCTCCTTTTAGAAAAGAGAATTCTATAATTGTATGATAGTGGCAGGGCTATCAATGCTGTATAAAAACTCTCCTCTGAAGTTTTTGAACTAGAATTTTAATAATTACTCCACATTCTTGAGATTCTTTATACCTTGACCTAGCAGACTGAAGGAGAACAGGGATGAAAGAGGGAAAAATGTAAAGGATATATTAGCAGAAGTTCTTTGAAGTTACATCAAAAAGGGAAACAAATTTTGTCAACATAAAGATAAGGAAAATCAGCATGGTTATGGTTCTAGCTACAGAAAGAATGTCGGGTCAGGTAGTTAGGTCACAGAATAACCATCTTTTGCCCCCTTTTAACTCAGGAGTGCAGCTTAAACACTTTACATGTCATCCCAAATTATGATGGATGGTTCATAACATCCCAGCATGCTATAAGAGAATAGCTAAAGGGACAAGCTCTTTTAATTTTCATATAAAAATTCACTGGAGGCAGCCAAGGAACAAAACTTACAAATGGAATTTCACAAGAAACTGGAAATTTTTATAAGTGAATTGTATTTGTAATTACATGCCAATAGAGGAAATCCAATCCTGTGAGTCACAAGAATAGGAAAGAAGTTGCTCCTCCCACATGTACAATGACCACTTTATAACTAGGTGATGTTGCACTGTTATAAGCTGTTCACAGATGAGAAATGTAGCAAGAAGGAAAACAGAGAGCTCTCCTTCACATTACCGAGGGCTATGATTTCACCTCCTCCTCTAACCTCTTGCAAGCCAAAGTTAGTTTTAGAACCTGGGAACCCAGACAAATGGGAAGGTCAATTCCTGAGCCATAGCGCCATAAATATTATTTTTGAAAGTCTGAGTTGAGTCGATTGCTTTATATCTACACTTAAATCTGATATGATTAAAATGAATAAAATGAGAGAGGAGATATAATACGTATATCTTAAGCCAATAAATTTCCACATTAAGTGGGGTTGTGACTTAAGTTTTCTATACAACTGATTCAAAATACAAATGCTTCTGGGTAGAACTTTTGCCCAGGACACCTCCTTTTGCCAGTGTGGATGACAGTGAAAGACAAAAAAGATCCTTAAGGCTCTTTGTTCCCCTACCTAACTCTTCGTATTACACTTGAGAACCCATCAGGGCTCAATGCGAGTTGCCTGTCCGGAGTTAGGACCCAGACTCCTCTTGACAATTAGGTCAGCGTTCTTCCCACCGAGCCGAGAGATGACACTCCCCATTCCCTGCTGTGCGGTGCAGAACGTCAGTGAGCAGGGTTAGAAGCTGTGCAACTGGCACCAGGACCAAGCAGTTTATGGACAGACCCTTTTAGTATAGGATTCTAACTTCTGACCCTTTTAGTATAGGATGGAAGTGTGCTGATGGACACACGCGGCCATAAAATAAAGAAAGCACCATGGTCCCATTATCTGTACATAGAATTATCTTTCTCAATTTTAATATAAATCAGCTTCTCTGAAATTCTAAGCATCTGTTCCTGGCAATACACCAGTAGAAAACAAGATTCATGGTTATATAATCCCTTTATGCTTATTCATGGAAAAGCTGAGTGTCTCTTCACCACCGTAAAACCCTGAGACTAATATTACAACTCATAGTCATAATTGAGGTTTTTATTTCTATCAAAAAGCTTCTATTTCCCCCCTTTCCATAACAGTGGTAAATCTTCTACATTATTTGCTTAACTCTAACCAGGGCACCACTACCACCCTCCAAGCGAAGTGTTAGAACCTTCTGTTTCTCCTGGGTCAGGAGGCCACTGGACTTTAATTTTTAGGTGACTGGTACTTATCCGTTTAACTCTGACATAATTCCCTTATTTTAAAAGGGTTCAACAATATGTGGTTCTAATCAACCATTACATTAAATTTAATACCTTAAAACCTGGACATACTTTTTGGTTAATCCAGTGAGTGTTGCTCTGTTGAATTTAAATGTGTAATTAAAATGACTTCAGCATGAAGACTGGATGTAGACAAAGACACCAGTATTAGGAACGTGTGCAGGAGAGCTCTGCGTCACTGACAGATGGAGCCCGAGACAATGCCTCGGTTTGGTGAACTAAACTTACCACAAAGCAGTTTCATGTACTGCTGAACAAATACCCATTGTGGATGGTGCCAACAGATAATTTTATGAGCTTCATCATTACAGAGCCTACAGGTAAAATTTTAGCAGAAGCCAAAGATCTACAGATAGGCTCAGTGAAACTGGCTAAGGAAAGGCATCTGTTTCAGATGAAAAGGGGAAGCTGTGTTCTTGATTCTTTTTTGCACTCATAGACTGAGGAAAAAGTAAAACCTACAACTACTCCTAATTCCACTTATGTCCTCTTGATTCCTGCTGATGTCACAAATCATCCAGCCTATCCTGGCTTGCTCTGCTCACTGTCTCAAGTTGTCACCTAGGCTTCCTTACTCACATTCCTACAAAAAGGAAACATCAGACCACAATGACATTCTTCAATCCTGTAACCTTTGACTCTTAAGCTTTAATCACTTTCTCCTCTGGGGTTTCCTCCTTTAGAAGAATATTACTGGGCAATTTAAGGCAATGAGTCCTCCATGCAGTTTTCACACACTGCCCTGTGCTGCACCAAGTAGACCCAGTACCTCACACACACTGGCTGGGACTCTCTAGCCGGATCAGCGTGTCATGAATTGAATTGGCTAAAGCAAGATCATCCAAAATTGCACAAGGAGCCTCTTTAGAGCAAGAGCTGGTCCCTTTTTGCCTTTCTCACAATAACCTCACCAACCTTCCCACTAAAATGAACCATGGGGATCGGTCGTAAAACGGGTCATGCCCGTCACTGAAGAGATCTGATCCCTCCTCCGTCCCTGCGTCAGAGCCGGTGTCATCCACGAATGCCTCATCATCAAAATCCTCCATCTCATCTTGCTGCTCGTCAGCCAGCTCAGTGATGTCGGAATCAGCCGTGGAAAAAGTGGGGGAGGGTGTGCGGTCGGCAAGGCGCTCATTCACACAGCCATGGAAAATGGGGGAGCTAGACACCAGGTAAGACGCCAATTGACACAGCCAAGGAGAGAGGAATAGTTGGTTAAACAGGAAGCTACAGGTGCCAACAGCACAGAACCCACTGAGGAATCAACACAATAAAAGCAAGTGAAAAGCAAAAGGATAAAATAAGCATAAATCATCTGATTCAGGTGAAAGGGAACAAGGACTGATTCTTAGAATAAGAAAGCAAAAGAAACACATGAGTAGAATATCCCAGGTAAATAATATGCCCTGAAATGTTTATATTCTCCAGTTTGCACAAAAGATCAGCAGCCAGGCCTCAAAAGAGCCACTCAGTATCAGGTGAAATGATGTCTAAATTTTTATTCCAGTTCCAATGGCATCTGGGGGCAGAAAACAAAATGTGTGAACTGGTGCATGGCAAAGCAAAGATGTGCCTTGCGTGGGAAAACTTGCTTGGCCAATTAATCTCTTTAAAAACATTCCACTATCACAGTAGAGTGAAAAAGACTTTGTCTTTTTCGAAATCCTATGCCTTCAGCTCTTCCTTTTTTTACCCAGGTCCTATAAAACTGTCAGGAAGATTTTGCAATTGAAAAGCAGTTTAAATTCTGAAATCATTAAGCTCAAAACTTAAATTTCTCTGCTTCTTAAATTCTAAACTTTTAAGAACTTGCCTCAATATGGACACTCACAGGGCACTATTTATTTTCATTGAATGCTGAAAGTATGTATACAAAAAAGAGGCTCAAAAGGACTACCAAGGTGTGCAACTCATCTACCCTGGCAATGACTAAAGTGAGATGAATTGCTTTAAAAAAAAAAAAAAGTGAGATCATGGAGAGGGTGCTGTCTGGTAAGTTGTAAGTCATACTACAAATTAAACTGTAGGATATAGACACAGGTTTTCTTTTTCTTTCAAATCTATCCTGTTCAACTATAATACATTTTGCGAATAAGTTAAGAGTCTGGGAAGACTGTCAATTACTTTGAAAGTTTGAGATTTAAAATAAGTGTGCATGTTGAAAACAACCAAAAGGGAACTATACCAAATGACAGAGTGGTTGTGTAGGAGTGGACCAGACTGTAAATGGGGCGGCTGGGTATGCCTTTTATTTCCATAAAATTTTACGGAAGTTTTAAAAAATTAAAATGAAACCATTCATTATTTAAAAAGAAGATGTCAAATAAAATCATCACATACCTTCCTACAAGTTTGAACCAATGGAACCGATCATAGAACGGATCGCTGCCGGTCAGAGCTGCCTCGCTCTCGTCCGGGGCGCTGGAGGCCATCTCCCCCGCCCTGTCGTACATCTCTCGCATCAAGTCCAGCCTCTGCCTACGGAGTAAACACAAAGGCACCGGGTTCACATCACGAGACTGCACTGACGTTTCACTTTGGAAATATGTTCCATGCAAAATTTGAAAAAAAAAAAAAGAAAAAAAAAAGGCTGCTCCCGTCATTTAATGATATTAAATAAAAGGAAGTCTAAACGTAGAAACCAAAACAGCATCCAAAGTGTCTGAGTCTAGAGATCAGCCACCAAACGTCAAGAGTGGCCACCTAACCTTTACCAAGTCCTAGGAAAAACACTGTTCAATGGTGTATCTCAAATATACTGAAACGATGAAAAATACCTCATCATACTAAAAGCAAAGGAAGCTGCTTTATAACTTTCCTGCACATTACTGGTCATCCTGAGGTCCAGGACAGAAAAGATTAATAATTACTGGATCTAAGACATAAGTAGGTACCATGAAATTGGAACACTCAAAACATAAGAGAGTCTCCGAAGGGTAAATTTAAGTCCTATCTACAAATGACAGAGGTGTGTGTGAGTGGGATTCACTCCCTCAGAAGAAAACGGACGGAGAGCAGTATCACTGGCCACGGACAGCATGTTGGAGCACAGAGAAGGAAGCAGCAGTGACCGCTCATAGAGAGCCCAGGTTTGAAAGGCCCCTCCTTGAGCCCATTAGTAATTCCTAAATAAAACAACTGGCTTTAAGAGTGACATTTCATACTTGAGTTTCTCCAATGACCAATAATGCGTTGCTCCATTCTTTAGATCCTGGACTTCTACTGCCACCACGGTACGAGGGAAAGGCCTGTCTACGTGAGTTTTTTCCATCTCAGTGGGAAGTAATTCAGGCGGCAAAGGGGAGTACAATGTGTCAGTCAGCAGCACAAACTGAAACTGGACCTAAAGAGAAAGAACAAACCAGCAAAAACGGCTTTTGTTTTCAGCATGTAAGCTTCAGAGACAGGAGATATAATCATGCCCGATGGAAAAGAAGTCAAACATACAGTGTATCTTCAACAAAGAGCTTGTGGTTAACTGGAAAAAAAACCAACAACCCACAAAGTCTCAGCCACTTATAAACTCATCGCAGAGAATAATCTAAATTTAAAATTAAGCTACTTTAAAATTTTGTTTTCCTAGCCTGCCCCTGTGTTTTTGCACACACTAAACTCACATATATATTTTGGCTGACTGAAGACTTCTACAGGAGGCCCAAGAATGGATCTCTATCTAGTCTCTCACTACCGGCAGGGAGGGGAGCATGTCACAGTTTTCAATTTTAAAGTCAGACAATTACAACTACGACTCTTAAAAGTATTTATTACCCTGGCTGGTATGGTTCAGTGGACTGAGTGCTGGTCTGAGAACTGGAAGGTCGCAGGTTCAATTCCTGGTCAGGGCACATGCCTGGTTTGCAGGCCAGGCCCCCATTTGGGTGTCTCTGAGAGGCAACCAATAGATCTTAACACATGTTTCTCTCCCCCTTTTTCTCTTTCCCTTTCCCTCTCTCTAAAAATAAACAAGTATAATATTAAAGAAAAAGTGTTCACTGTATGGTAAGTACTTTGTACACACCATGTCGTTTATTCCTCACTACCACTTTATATTTTCACCAACAAATATTTAATTAAATGCTAACATATAGCAGCAAGAAAATAAAAGACATAGTCCCTGCCTTCCTTTAGTCTACGGAAGGAAGGAGTAATTAATAAATAATCACAAAATGAGATGGGTGGTGGAGATTATGAATGAAGACATCTTATCCTCATCTTGCAGAACTAGAATACAGCCCCAGGAGCAGATAATGAATTTTCCCCAAGTCAGGCAGTCTCTGCTCTTCTTACCTACTACACAATATTGTCTTTTGCTGTTATCTTAGCAGTCAGAACACTGCCAAACAGTGGAAAGTAAAGAACATTCACTCTTTTACCCCTCACAGAGTCCCCGCGTGGCCGGCACTGTTGCCAAGCGCATTTCGTAGCCGAGGGAAGGGAAGACAGGGCTGCTAGCACCCTCCCAGCCAGGAGACCTGCGACTGGAGCCCTGCTGTGAGGGCAGAGCACACGTGCTTGCCCACTGCACAAAACTGCCCACGAGGCCCTAGGAGGGGAGAGGCACGTGGGACTTAGAGGTGCAGACTTCATAGTAAAAAATTAAAAGAAAACCGCCCTGGCTGGTGCGGGTCAGTGGGCTGAGCACTGGCCTGCAAACTGAAAGGTCACACGTTCGGTTCCCAGGCAGGGCACATGCCTGGGCTGCAGGCCAGGTTCCCCTGCTGGGGGCACGCGAAGAGGCAACTGATCCCTGTTTCTCTCCCTTTCTCCCTCCCTTCCCCTCTCTCTGAAAATAAATAAATAAAATCTTTTTAAAAATTAAAATAAAAATGAAAATTTCAAAAACCCAAGGGAAGCATATTTCTACTAACATGCTTCTTTAGCACATCAGGAATACAGTCTCCTTATTTATAAAATAAGCTGGAAAACATGTTATTTTAAGAATTTCACTTAATAAACATATCATTAGCACCTACTATGCTCCAGGCACATATATTAAATAAAGGCACATATGAACCAGTTTCAGAGCAATCAGCAGCCACGTCCACCTAAGGGAAAGGCTGCTTCGCGACGAGCGCCAGAGCGCCAGCAAGCTCGGCTCTGCCGCCGGGTGGCCCGGCCTCCCTCTCCATACCTTCTTTTTCAGCTCCACGCTCACAGCATTGGCCTCCTTCAGGTAGACAGCATTGCCCCAGAGTAAGTCCCTTAAGGAAGTGAACTGGTGAGACTTCCACTTCCGGAAAGCCCACTGGGCCAGTTCAAATTCATGCTGGGTCCAAGGAACTGAAAGAGCAACAAAGTATTTAATGGTGATCTCATAAGCATGTAGAAACTAAATCCTCCTCGACCTCATCTCTTTTAGCAAGCAAGGTATTTCTCAGTTTTTCTCCAGTCAGCTGTTTTTGTTTTTCTTTTTTTTTTTTTTTTTCTTTTTTTTTTTTTTTGCTTTTTTTTTTGCTTTTTTTTTTTGCTTTTTGCTTTTGCTTCACTCAGACCCAAAGTATCAACACTCACTAGGTGAACTGCTGTTGACGAAAAATGTTACCATCATTGTAGTGTTTTTCTTATTTTTAGTAAAGCTTACTACATTCTGTTGATATTATGAAAGTAGTATATACATTTCAGAAAACTTCTTAAAAATCCTGTTTATTTTAAAACATAAATCAAAGTTTCTCTTCCTTTTTATTAAAGATAACCTCTAATGTGTGGATTATAATGTATAAAAACCCCTAGTATATGTACAATGCCACGGAATCTATTTTTATTTCTAGTACACGGGGAAGCGGTCTTATTTCACCTAGACATTTAAAAATAACGAATTCAGTACATAAATTAAGAGTTGCTTCAAAGCTAATTTGGAGCCTGAAATTTCTGAGGTTGAGTGACGAAGTGAAATGTGACAAATGTTTATACTGTAACAGAAAGCAATAACTGAAAAAGTCCTAATTCAGCTAAGAAATTCTGGAAGAATTAAGAGAGGTAGACTTAGTGTATATTGATATGTTCCGAAGCCCTCCCTGGAAAATCCCTGACATAAACCATAAATCAGAAAGTAGAACAGAACATATTAACAAAGACTAAGCTCTGTGTTTGTCTGCAACACGTACACGAACTTCGCGTGCACAGCAATACTGGACAGTGTAAGTGCCCGAGGGCTTTGTATGAAGGCTGCTGAGAACCTTCTGTTCTGAGGACCACAGTCCCACCCCAACCTCATACAATGCAGCTTGGGCTCTCAGCACTGAGCAGCCTTAGAAAATCATCTTCTAATTGGTACAGTAAAATGTCAATAAACGGTAGGGTCAACCATGGTCACAAATAAAGGATGGATCTGATTATATGGATCCAAAAGATATACACAGGAAAGTGTCAATCTCTAGATTTCACCTTCTTCTTCCTCTTCTTCCTCTTCCGTTGTTTCTGCAGCCAAGGATCGAGTCTCAACCTGCTTCTGCAAGGCCTGCAATTTGCTCTCATAGTCCTGAAGGAAGAGAAAGGAGACCACATGTAGGAGAGAGGAGACAAGCGGAAAGGAAACAGAAGGAATGTTGGGGAAAGTAGAGACAGCAAAAGACAATAAAAAAGAGAAGACAGAGACAGGGAAAAACAATAAAAAGACAGGCATAAAGGTAAATACTAGGGGGAAAACCCACAAAGCACATAAGGTAAGTCTATAATGGGTAAGGGCTTAAAAAAAATTGGTTAACTGCAGTCTCTGCTTCCTCAGATCCAGAGTTCTTTACTTGGGGTTGCGGTAGAGAAAGCGGCGGTTTTGAGGGAAAAAAACACACTCTTAAATATTGTAACATATTTAAACAGTACCTTTATACATCAAGCAATTCCAGAGAAAAACAATACTGGGAAAGAGTAAATCCATAAGTATCAGCAACTATTGTCTAGCTGTTTGGATGAGAAAAAATTAGGACCGTCGACTCTGAACTCCCTTCCCTAAGGATGAAATATAACTATCTCGGCAGCTGTAGGATGAGCTTAGCCTTCAGGCAACCAAAAGATCACAGTGCTATTAGCATTCAGTTTAAATAGTGTATTTTAACATATACTGTTATAATACTAAATGTATTGTTATAATACAGATCAGTTTTATCCTTTATTTCTCCATCTACTCCATGCATTCTCGATGAGGGCATAACCCCAGAGAAAGCAAAAAGCCATTCCTGAGGGATACTCTCTCTATATGTAAAACACAAATATATATATGGTATGCAAAGAGACATATCACATATCTGTGATATTAAAATTACATGGTGGGGAAAGACTGAGAGAAAATGGCTGAAAATGTTCCTTGTAGTACTAGTGGAAAAAAGCAGTTTAAAAAAATAATAAAACAAGTAAAGTTAGGAAGAGAGACCTTGGCAATAGCAGAATACCAAATCATTGTGTAAGCATAGCATTTTAAAATATGCTGCCCAGCCCTAGTTGGTGTGGCTCAGTTGGTTGGAGCCTTGTCCCCTGGACCAAAAGGTCACATGTTCAATTCCCAGGCAAGGCACGTGCCGAGGTTGTGGGTTCATCCCCATGTTGTCAGGGCACCTATGAGAGACAACCAATAGATGTTTCTCTCTCACATCGATGTTCCTCTCCCTCTGCCTCCCTCTCTCCCCTCTTTCTAAAATCAGTGAGCATGTTCTTGGATGAGGATTAGAAAAAAAAAAAAAAAGAGACATCAACAGATTGATACTTCAGGGGATAACATTAAAAATATATATCTAGAGGACCAAATGATGAACCATCTCAAAACACATAAAGTCTTCTTAAATGGTATCAGTACACTATCAAAATGACAGGCAATCCGTTTAAAAAGTTTATTTTCTAAGCATACCTGGCACCAATACCATTCCCCACTAAAAGGAACCGACATTCCTTGGGAAAAGGGTTGTTACAGGTTTGGGACAAGGAAAGTACAGGGGAGCCTAGGACGCCTTGTGCAAGAAAGCACTGAGTATTCAAAGACCAATGGGGCCATTTCAAAAGGACACAGATTCCCCCTGGCCAGTAAGAATAACAGAAAAAGAATATAGTCCATTCTTAGCATGAAAAGACTCCACAAGTCCACAGTGATACTGAAGGAAGGGGGAGGGGTGAATAAAAAGAGAAAGCTCTTGTTAACAAAAAAAAAAAAAAGAAAGAAAGAAAGAAAGAAAGAAAGAAAGAAAGAAAAACGAAACGAGCCAGTCAATAAATGCAGAGGGAATGACAATTAGAAAATCACTGTACTGCACCCCAGATGTAGTAATCGAATCAGGCCAGGCTCATTAATAAATGTTAAACAATTGAGTGAAAGGTGGATGGAAGGCAGAATATTCGCACAATCCCAAGTGTCACCCTAGACACCTATTAATGAGAAAGAGAAAGAAGCCCTGGCTGCTGTGGCTCGGTGCTGGGCTGCGAACCAGGGCGGTGCCAGTTCAATTCCCAGTCAGGGCACATGCCTGGGTGGTGGGCCGGGTCCCCAGTGGGGGGGGGCCCGTGAGAGGCAACCGCACATTGATATTTCTCTCTCTTTCTTTCTTCCTCCCTTCCCCTCTCTCTATATAAATAAATAAAAAACCTTAAAAAAATTTTTTTAAGGAAAAAGTGGGAAGCATCACATTAACTAAATTTACTTTAACGTTACTGATTATATAAAAATTGACACGTCTACTGATATGATGCAATAGAAGTACACAATACCACTTTTATAGCATTCATATCAAAAATGTTTAACTTAAATCTAATCTTGAAGAAACAACCCAACAAATGAGAATGGGGCCTAGACTCCAAAAACACCAATGTAATGAAAGATAACAGAAAAATGAAAACCAAATGCAATATATAAACCTCAAATGGATCTTGGATTATAAGTCCACACACTTCCAACACTTTTATTTTAAGAGACAATTAGGTAAATTTAAAAATAAACTTGTATATTGCATGATATTGAATCAACATTACATTTCTTGGATGATATCATCCAAGATATCAATGATATCAAGGAAATATCCTTGATTTGAGAAGATACACTTAGAAGTATTTAGGAGTAAACTGTCATAATGTATCTTACTTTCAAATGATTCAGGAAAAATACATGCATATGGATATACAAGGCTTCACTGTATTATTTTTTTCAGATTCTCAGCAGGTTTAAACTGTTTCAAAATAAAAGAGGGGGGGTTCCCTAAAAAAACCTATGTTATATGGGATTCTTTAAGCAAAAAAGAGAAAGTACTGGTTTACCTACAGATCATGAGGTTAAAAAAAATGTTAATTGAAGTAAAAAAAATGTTAATATCTTGAGTAATTTTTTGTTTCTTATTTTCCCCCATTATTTTATTGTAGTAAATAAAGTACACATAACATAAAATTTACCATCTTAGCCATTTTTAAGTATACCGTTCCCCGGTATGAAACACATCCATAATGCTGTGGAACCACCACCACCACCCATCTGCACAATTCTTTTCATCCCTGAGACTGAAACTATGCCCACCAAATGCTAAATTCTCGCACCCACCCCACCCCTTCCCTCGGCAGCCACAGCAACCGCTATTCTACTTTCTGTCCATGATTCTGACTACACTAAGTATATAAGGAGGATTATACAATTTTGGCTTTTTGTGACTGACTTAATTGGAGAATTTCTTCAAGAATAGGTTTACAAGCTGGTCAAGCTACCAATGAAAACAAAATCTTTAGGTTCTGACAGTTAATACTTTAGTGGCATTAAACGGACATAAAAAGATTTCCGTAACACGATGGACTTGAAACTTGAACTGCTTTTGATCAGGGAAAATTTCCATCTGCAATTGTAGTCCAAACATCAGCACCGTTTCCTGAATTGGCCTCCTCCTCTCCAACACAAGCTGCACATGAGCTTCCAACAAGGACATTTTGTATGTCAACGAAAAAACTCTAAGTGTTCAATTTTCTATAAAAAATGGATAAAGAGATTTAGATACTATTGTTTTGCAGATTTCACAGTGAAAACTGGGATAATTATGGAAAGCGCCCTAAAAATTAATGTGTATCGTAGCCTTTTGTATTTATAGAAAGTCCTAGCTAGTTCAATATAAAACCTATATTTACAAAAGCACTGTACTGGTTGTTCCCTCTTCTGGAATATTCTCTCTCACCAGCCCACCCTTGTGTGTAGGCTTACTTTGTGGCGGAACTGTTCTAAATGTTGAACATGGATTATCTCAGTATGCTCAATAACCCTATGAAGATTGTATTATTGTTATCTTCATGTTAAAGAAAAAGATTTAAAGAAGTTAAGTAACCTTCCAAAGATCAGAGTTAGCAAGTTGTCTGGGATTTGAACCCTGACAACTGGACTTTAGAGCATACTCTTTTAACTACCATCCATCCATCCAGTTCCACCCCTGCTACATGTCAGATGCTAGAACACAGCGGTGATGGGGAGAGACAGTAAACAGTAAACAGACACCACACAGTATGATTTCAGCATGGAGAAGTACCATGAAGAAAGGGAGACGTTAGGGGTTAACAGGAGAAGAGAGAACAAGAAGACTTTTACATTAGGTGGTCAGGGAAGTCTCTGTGTAAGGTTAACATTTAATCAGAGATCTAAGCCAGCGTGCTAAGATCTTTAGGGGTAGGTGCTATCCCAATCAAAATAGAACTAACAGTAGGTATTGGGTTGGTCAAAAAGTTCATTTAGTTTTTTCCATACAATGGCTCTGGCAGTGTTTAGCTGTCCTTAACATCATTTGCAATAATTTTGTTAGACTGTATTGTGACAGCTGTCATATCAGCACGCATTAAAAAAAAAAAAAAGTCAGGTGGAGGAAGCCAAGAGGGGTAAAAAATTGGGACAACTGTAATAGAATAAATAATAAAATAAATAAAACATCAAAATTGGTGAACTTTTGTACAGCCATTTTAATATTCAAGACAGAAGAAAATATACATTTTCAGCGTATCATGCTTTATTATTTTAAGAAAGGTAAAACACAACTGAAATGAAAAAAAAGATCTGTGCAATGTATGGAGAAGGTGCTGTGACTGACAGAACATATCAGAAGTGGTTTGTGAACTTTTTTGGTCCTACTGACATTTTTGCCAAATAATTATTTGCTGTGGGACTATCTTATGCACTGGAAGGTGTTTAGCAGCACCCCTGGCCTCTACCCACAAAAGCCAATATTGGGAGAAGCTGACATACTCAAAACACCCAAATCAATAAAGTTATTGGTGAAAATGTAAAACGTGTCTTTTCTTTTACAGGAAAAACCTAATGGATTTTTTGGCTGACCCAGCGTATATGACAGGATGGCAATACCTACTGCGCAGAGGCTGAGAGAGGAGCAAGGCCAAGTGAGGGTACCGGTGCGGCGGAACCAGAAGTGGGGAAAAAAGGAAGTTTCCTTCGGACTGCTTCTTTCTCCCAGTGAAACAAAGAAGGGCCATCAGCTGAGGGCACGGAAAGGCCCCCCTGCATCCCCTGAGGCACCTGGTCGCGAG